CTTGTTCAAGGGGAAGGGCTCGCACATCCCATGTGAGAGATGTGAAAGATGGCAAGTTCTCCCCTGTGAAAGTTGGCCGGCCTGGTGATTTTCAGCCGCACTTCCAAGGTGCATCTGTCCGACAAGCCCAATGGATAAGGCAGCGTCGCCGATTCCAAGCCTACATCCGGTTTGCCAGTAAGAATGCAGATGCCGACTTCTCATATGGTAACCAAGTTTGGGGTTCCATTCTCCGTGCCAAGGGGTTTCGGCCCAGCTTTGCTGTGTGGTGGACTGAGTGTGAATTCAAAACAGCTGCTGCTCCCAGATGTGTTCCTGTTGCGCCACCGACTGCAATAGTTGCCCAAGAGATTTTTGATTCCATTGCCCTTGCGGTTCGTGACCTGGAGAAAACATTGATTGCAGAATCAAAACAGTATGCTAGGCTCCGCAGAGCTGCTGACCCTTGTTTGATTTTTCAGGACCTGAAACCCCCGAGCCTGGTAGGTGCTGATTTGCTCGCCTCTAGCTTGGACACCCAAGTTCTTGCAGTCAACCCTGGTGAATGCAGCATTACGCTGAAAGATCCCATCACCTGGAACCTGAACCTTCCCATTTTTGCGGGGGGACAAAAGTTGGAGGTCATTTTTGCCGATCATGACTGCATTTGGCTTGAGACAGTTGATTCCCTGGCGCCTGGCATGACGGTCACCCAGACCCAATGCTCGGGGACAATTCCTGAAATGCATGAAGCCTTCGTTGCCACCTGGAAGGAGAGATGGCTTCGCCACATTGATGTTCCCCTGGAACGGTGGAATACCATCATTCAATTTGCTAGGGATCGATTGCCACAGAACCGGTTTGATTTGCCCCCGTGTGGGGCCCATGAACTCAGGGCGGTTATTCAGAAAAAGCACAACAAGACCTCTTGTGGTTTGGATGGTGTTTCGGTCTGCGATATTAAGCGCATGCCCCCAGTTGTCCTGGCCAATTTCTGTTCGATTTTTGCCGATGCTGAGCAAACTGGTGAATGGCCCTCTCAGATGATCAATGGAAGAGTTGCTTGCATCCCCAAAATTGATGTCCCCAAAACTGTGTTGGATTTCCGACCCATTACGATTTTGGGAGTTCTCTATCGTTGCTGGGGTTCCCATCATGCTAGGAATGCACTGAGGGCTATTGATGGAGTGCTTCCACCCACTTTGTTTGGCAGCCGACCGGGTTGTTTTGCAAGCCAGGTATGGGCTCAGTTGATGTGGAGCATCGAGCATTCATATTCCCATGACATTGAAATGTGTGGAATTGTTGCTGATGTTCAAAAAGCATTTAACTTTCTCCCACGCCCTGTGGTTACAGAGGTTCTAGCATGGATCGGTATCCCACTCCCAGTTTTGGTTGGATGGACCGGAGCAGTGCAAAACTTCACTCGTAGGTTTCAAGTTCGGGGAAGCCTCTCTGAACCAGTTCTTAGTGTCACTGGGTATCCTGAGGGTGATGCACTCAGTTGCTTGGCTATGGTTGCAGTTGATTGGGTTTTCCATGTTTGGCATGCTCATTTCTTCCCGCTGTGCCAACCAGTCACGTATGTGGATGACTGGCAGCTAATTGCTTGCCAGCCTGATGCCATCCCCCAGATCCAGTTGTGCCTTCAACAGTTTGCGCAACAAATGGACCTTCTTCTGGACATGAAGAAAACCTATGCTTGGTGTATCACTGCCTCTGGCCGAGCCCGCTTGCGCGAGAGGGGGGTTAGACTTGAAGCCAATGGAAGAAACCTTGGAGCCCATGTGCAATTTACCCGGGCCCATGCCAACCAAGTTTTGACCTCGAGAATCAATTCAGTTGCAGACCTCTGGGGACGCCTTCGTCGATCCCTTAGTGCCTATGCTCATAAGGTGGCAGCTTTGAGAGTGGCCGCCTGGCCTAAGGCGCTACATGCAGTGGCTGCGACTGCCCTTGGTCAGTCTTGGTTTCAACAACTCCGAGCCGGAGCAATGAAAGGGTTGGGCACTGATTTTGCGGGCGCCAACGCCCACCTGCAGCTAGGTATGGTGGAAGTCCCTGAAACTGATCCGCAGTTTTGGGCGATTATCCAAACCATTCGCCTTGCCCGTGATTGCGGGCGGCACAGTGAAGTTCGTAACCACCTTGGTGCAGTTGCTAATGGCCTGGTTGACCTCCCTAACAATGGCATCACCTCAACGTTGTTGGAAAGGGTCCAAACACTGGGTTGGCATGTTTCCCCCAAAGGTGAGATCTCTGACCAGTTTGGTTGTTTCTCCCTCTTCTCGAGTGCCATTGGTGAAATCAAAATGCGTGCTGCTCTAGCTTGGACCCATGTGGTAAGTAAGAATGTTGCTCACCGCCCAGGCCTCATTGAGTTGCACCGTTGTGACCCTGGCCACACGCGAAAGTTCCTGAAGGGTCTCTCACCATGTGACCGAGCCCTCATGCATAAAGCCTTGAACGGGACACATGTCACACAGGATGGTTTGAAATACTGCAAGAAATCTGAGGATGATATCTGCGAATTTTGTGGCAGTAGTGACAGTCGTTTTCATCGATTTTGGATCTGCCCTTACTTTGCTGAAATGAGGGCTGATGTCCCTCCTTCCTTGACTGCAATGATCCCTAGGTTGCCTGCGTTTTTAACAGAATATGGTTGGTCACTGCAGCCGATGACTATGCGGAGATGGTTTTCAATTTTGGCTGCGGTTGAGGTTCCAGCTTTCTGCGCTCCTGCACTCAGAGGTGGGACTCTCCAACTTTTTACTGATGGCAGTTGCATCCACCAAAGTTTTGCGGATTTTCGTTTTGCAGCTTGGGCAGTCATCTCTGCTGATGCTGATGACAGCGCGGGAAGCATTGTCCTTGACTGTGGACACCTGCCGGGGTTCATCCAAAATGCATACCGAGCCGAAATTTTTGCAGTTTTGAGAGCTGTCCGTGCTGCCCAAAGTATGCAGCGCAGTGCCATGATTTGGTCTGATTGTGAAGGTGTTGTCAAGAGAGTACGCATGTTGCTCAAAGGTGGGTACCCTAGGGTTAACTCTCCCAACTATGACCTCTGGGTTCTCCTGGCTCAAGCCTTTGCGGACGCGAAACCACACCAGTTTGCAATCACATATGTTGCTTCTCATAAGGGTGACCAAGCGGTTTCCCCTTTTGAAGATTGGTGTTTTCGCCACAACAATTGGGCTGACAGAACTGCTGTCCGAATGAACTTCAACCGAACGGGTGAGTTTTGGGATTTTTTCCACAGCCATGTTGAGTATGTTCGTGCTGCACATGACATTTCTAGGATAGTGCAAGGGGTAATCCTTAACATCAGCCGTACTGCGGTCCAATGCCCGCGTCCTGACAATGATGCTGCTGAAATGGTTGCAAACACACTGAGTGCTGCGGGTTGTTGGAAGGGTGTGCCTGAGATCACCTGTTTTCCCCCAGATGCTTTCCGCTGGTATCCTGAGCGATTGGTGAGGCTTATTTTCAGCTGGTTTCTCCAAACGGTTTACCATGGCACTCATGAAGTTGTGTGGATTAGTCAGGCGCAATTGTACCTTGACTTCCAGATGTCTACAGGAAGCTATGGCCCATACAAACAAGGCACGTGGAAAGATGGAGATGCAAATCCTTGTATTGATCTGGCTGGGCATCCGTTTCGAACACGAGTTCGTTGGTTTTCGAAGGTCCTCCGGGAATCTCTGAAAAAGTGTGGCATTGTTCTTCATCACATTTTTGGTATCCCATGTTCTGAGGCCTTCAAATTTCACACGGGTGTCCTCGCTGTTCCATGGCCAAAAGATCGTATGGGTGAGGTCGACAGATGGATCCTTGGACACTTGCCCCATGGTGTCAGACGTCTTGCTGGCCCTATTGACAGGTTGCCGCGTGCCAGCCGCAACCTGCGTTTCGACGAGGTCTTCCTCACTTGTATGTAGATGGTCCAAACGGACTGCCTTCGTGTGACCAAGGCAGTGCGCAAATGAAAGAGGTGAAAGAGGTGTTCGAGCTTTGGTGGTGGAATTCTTCCCTCGAACCAATTTAGAGACAACATTACTACAAATGATCCTCTTAGATGCTCTGCAAAACAAATGAAAAACGGCTCTTGGGAAGCTCCATATCTGGCCAAAAAGAACTATTTTCCGGATTTGTTCATGCCCTAATTCAACATGGCAACAGGACAGCCATACTTCTAAACACATTCCAGCAGACCCGATTCGATTCGATATATTGGATTGCCAAAGGAAATCAACCTGCTATAGTTATAGTAATTTCTCCTGGGCAAATTAAATCAATTTATATTGTATATATATAACCATATATAATATTATAACCCACAAACCTGAAACAAGCGAATTGCTGCATGATTCCTCCAATCCCAACAACCATCCCATCAATAAATCAAGTGTAAATTGGTGATACATGGTGATACAGTATATCGAGAAAATCCAACATCATGTAATAAATATCCCAACTCATGATTCCGTCCAATCACACCATAAATAGATACCCTCTGGTACTGTAATTTGACATTTTGCGGAAATTTACCAGCTAGATCATCGACAAAAAATGAGCCCGATCCATCCACGTTCCATAGCGCTAAATTACCGCAGGTGAAAAAATGCTAGACTTTTAAGATAGCAGATACACAGTCACCAAAAAGAAGTGACTGTGTATATCTGCTATGCAGGTATCTATTTGTTACATATAGCACCCCCGAGACATAAGTTGGAAACCTTGAAATATGCTGGACTCATCAACGGACCGTCCTGGTGGCACACTTTTTGACATCTCGTCAGAGGTTTCTGTATCTATTCATCGGTTCTATGTTTGTCATACCCAGTATGTAGACCATTTGTTTGAGGGTCTAAATATAAATTGTGCATTTTGTTCATATATGTTACATATGTTCTAAATATTGGGTAACAAATGGGTAACAGATATATGAATAGATACAGAAATAACCATGGGTAAAGAGACTGATGTTTTTGCGAACCAAAAAAAGAGGGTCGGTCGTCCTGCACCGCCTGGGCGGCTGAGATCTCGCCCATCTGCTCGGCACCTCTCACGAGAAAGTCCACCTGTGCGGCGGGCCGACGAATGTCGGAGTTGCTCAGATGGTACTAAGGTTCAATCAGTTAACGATTGGGTTTATGGTGTAAATTATATCAAATAAATCTAAATAATCCCCTAAAATATGGTTGACAGAGAAATGCTTAGAATGTGGTAGGTCCAAAATGTCTGGGCAGATGAAGATCAATCCCAGATTTGAGGCGACGAACTGAGGATGATACCCCTTGTACTCGTTATTGCTAACAATCAGTATAGTGAGGTTGGCCAGTGATGTCGCTGTAAATTATCCAGAGATGATTAGGCTACCCAACAAGGGGGAACCTTACCTGCGCGGCTGGACAAATCCCAAGGTTTATCTATGAACAGGGCATTTTCCAATCTTCTGATCTGACGTTAGATTACCAAAGGGCACGCCCCATAGCCCCCATGGTTAGCTCCAGAATGAGTTAATGAGATTGATATCAGAATCTATTCGATGTGGTGGCCAATGTCAGATGCCTTGACAGGCAAATGGAGTTACACTGGTTGATTCTGCAATTGATGTGCTTTGTGGGTCTGAACACTGGTGACAGGGCCTTCTGGATGACGAGAAAATATTCATCCGTATGTAACCATTGGTTCGATCAATTCAGTGTTGGAATGCATCCACAAGACGTCACGAATTAGCTAGAAAGCTGCAGGCACCAAACAAACAAAAACTCACGACCTGTTCTGACCTGTTCTGACTTGCCTAAGCTGCCACGTTTTCCTGCATCCCGTATATACTCATCTTATGCTCATCTTATGCTCATCTCTCCTGCTTACCAAGCCATTTTTTTGGGGTCAAAATTGTTGATCTCCATGAAGCTGCTCGACATTCACTTCCCCTCAGCGTGCCGCCAAGTTGCAACAATGGATCCTCTCGTAATTGAGTTGACCTGATCGCTAGAAATCCCCACATGTTCGGTCATGTTAAAACATTCCATCCCAGTGGAATAAAACCAAGGGAAGCGATTAATGATTGGCTTATATAGTTTAAACCAATGTGGAAACATATGTGAATAATAAGCTGACAAATGCTGACCTGGGGAAGACCCACACTTCAAATTTTACCATCAAATTCGCACCTCTTCAGTGACTTCCAAGTGACTTCCGAGTGCCACTAGACCACCCCATATGCTGAGCTTCCTGACGATAATTCGATCTTTGGAAATTCCAGCTGCATCTGCCATGCCTTGTCGGAAACTTTCGCGGAAGGTGTCAATGTCCCTAGCTGCATTGCTGAAATCAGAGGCAATTCGCATCCTCACCTCCACTACGTTACTAGTCAGTGGTCGTCCAGTGACTGCGGTGCTTGCCGTAGTCGCCACAGTGGTTGCCATGGTGGTTGCTGTGGTTGGGCTAGGGGATGCCACAGGATTTTGGGGGGGACTTGGTGCTACACACGCAGCCTGGCTGCATGCTTCGGACTCCAGAAATGGTTGGCATTCGCCACCCCTGGAGCGCATTCGGGTGGCCGGCCCGCAGCTGGCAGTACACTGACTCCACGGTTGCCACGCACCACAGGCCGTGGAGGACCCTGGAGGGCTGGTTGGTGCAGCGGTTGCTGCTGCAACACACGCATTGGAGTTGCATGCCTCGGATTCTGAGCTGGTTCCGGAGCATTCGCCGCGAGATCTGGAGCGGGTGCCACCACCTTCGACTTGCTGAAGAGAGTTTGATTGAACAACGACAATAAATTCCCAACATATCCAACATACAAATTCCCTGGAAATGGTGTATATATATTGTTTTGAAACAAAACATAATAATTCTGCTGGGGACTTCTCTCCCCTAAATTGTCCAAACAACGATCACCAGCTGATCCTCCAGTAAATGGTTTTGTCTGAAAATAGGGCACCCATGAATCCATTGGTTAATCATCATGTTCCAATTATAGTAATCCCCAAAACACATCAAAAAACTAGAAAAGGTTCAAGTTATCACTATAAGTATAGGAATGTCTTATTTTTCCATTACATTTTCTATCTGCTTGGGTGTTATTCTCTCAACATTGCCAATATCTCTGAGGGATTTTTCGCCGTTCTCCAAGACACCGCAGGTGGCTGTGCAACTGGACCATTGCCCCCAAGCTCCACATGGCACAGGACAGACCTCTGAGTTACAGGCCTCAGATTCGGTGGAGGAGCTGCAGCCACCTGAGGCTGCGGCTGATTGGTTTGAAGCATTCAACGGACATCTTACGAAACCATGATTTTTAGGCCCAAACTATAGAGGTTACCATGGTTACCTCGAAATTTCGCAGAACCTGTTCATCTTTTTGGGATGTTGATGTTGTGTATCCTTCCAACTCCTCCCTTGGACTGTTGGACTGTTGGACGCCTGATCGAGATCTTGACCGAGTGCCACCGCCACAAGTCACAGGACACGCTGCCCACTGTGCCCATTCGCCGCAAGGCGCCACACAGGCGCCCTGGTCGCAGGCTTCACTTTCGCGGTATGGCGAGCACGAGCCACCGCGGCTCCTCTCACGACTACCCGATCCACAAGTCACTGAGCAAGCGCCCCAGGCACCTCAGAGGGAGATGTCTTCCAGTCACGACCTAGACACTCAATTGGCCCATAGAAATTGGATGATATTGGTGTAAGACTGTAAGACCCATACTTTTAGCACTTTCACATACGCTTTCATCATTTTTTCTGGGTGCTTCGAATGTCTAGGTTCTTTTTCAAGGTTTCATCTTGAGGATGTTGAAGGTAAGCCCCATACTTTTAGTACTTTCACATATGCTTTCATCATTTTTTCTGAGTACTTCGAATGTCTAGGTTCTTTCAAGGTTTCATCATGAGGATGTTGAACATTTTTGTTGCTTGAAACTCGGTTGAAACAAACATGTAAAAAGAATTAAAAGAGATGACATTGCTACAGTCACCACAGTCTCCACAGCTGAGCAACCCCAAGTTCCACACACCACTGCTGGTGGTGAAGGCGGAGGGCTTGGCATTGGCATTGGTGATGGCATGGGTGATGGCGACCAGCCCCATGCAGCATGCGCCAGTGGAACTCTCAGCGGAACTCTCAGGCTGCCGAAGTGTGCCAGCAAAATCCCTGCAGTGGCCGCAGCTACTGAGCTGCGACTTAGGAAGGTCATGGCACAACTGACAACTGCAGTGAAACAAGGTCGGCCAAAAAAGGCGGCCGAGACTGCAGTTGAGCCACTATACTTTGTGACGGGCAATGACTCTCATGCTGAACAGTGGCAAACATGTTGACACAGTTGACACAGTAAAACATGGATGCTTCTTGAAACCAGGCTCCCAAGAAGTTTCGGAATTTGCATGACAAATCAATGCTGGCATGATGGGGTCCTCAACTCGCATGTGGGAATTTTTGAGAGCCCAAACTTATCGAAAGTCGTCGACGTGACAAAAAAAGACATAAAAAAAAGAACATTTACACATTCCCTGGATTCTACTTGAGGAACCCGAACTTTTACTTCAGGAACCCGAACAAAAGACCAAACAAATAATCCCTTCTCTCATTAAATACTCCCCTAGAACCCATGGGATCATCAAGCTGGAAAGATTGGGACGAACTTGACCACGGATGCTAGATGGAAGACATCTTGACTATGAAAATGACCATAGGCAAACATCGGAAACTGATCTGGTTATTATTGGTCAAATATGGTCAAATATTCCGTCCCAGAGGACCCGCACATTTTGAACAACATGCAACTATGAAAACTTCCGTGAAATTATAATGTTTATACATGTTTATACCAGGAATCAACTAGATGGCGTGCTTAAAATACCTCATTTTCCATGATTTTCCCAGCCTTTAAAGGCACCTCGGCTGGTCTTCCCCTTCGCCGATGACGAAAGCTCATCCCGCCGGCCTCCACGCGCACATTGCACTCGGAATAGGTCGCTTGTCGGCTTTGCCTCGGGATTTTAAATGTTGGATGCACCAAGGGACTCGTCGACTCGTCTCAAAATGTTGGAAATCAGATTTGTTGTGCATCCAATGTGTGTTGTGTTTGAAGTTTTGGTGTGGTTGAATCCACCCGGCGGCTGGTTGGAAATCGGACTCATTCTGTGCTATCATTCTATTTCTGGTAGCAGCAAACAGGATCTTTGAAAGCAGCACACAACTCATTGATGATATACAGACACCACCCATGTCCCCATTCTGGGTCTTAAAATCCGCATCCCTTCGCGAAAAACCTGAGAATGGTCCAGGTGATGGGAACCCCAACGACTAAAAACCCAAGTCAACTTGTTTCAACGTATTTTTCTCATGATAAACTGCTTGGTGGTATACCAACCCCTCTGAAAAATGATGGAGTTCGTCGGTTGGGATGATGACATTCCCAATATATGTATATATACCCTAACGCTCCCGATATGATTGGGACCCTCCTGGGGCAAGTGACCCTCGAGGTGAGCGTGTTGAGGGTCCGAAGGGATATTTTTTTTTATTTAGGTGTGTAGTTTTCTGCAAATTCTCAGAACAATAATCCAAATGAAAGGTTCGCAATAGAACCATGAACATATCCTCGAGCAGGTTTTATAAAGATGTTGGACTACAGTTCTGTTTGTAGACATCATTGGCGCGAAGATACTTTTGCTTAAGTAAGGTCGCACAACGGGTTGGATACTGGATGGCAAGACAAAACGACAAAAAGTGCTTAGATTGCGTATGCACTGCAAACATCTGCAAACAAACCAACCTTTAGTAGATACTGTACCCCCAAACCTCCTCGTGAGTTGAAAGACTGGTTTTCTCGATGATTTGTGTTCTCAATGCCTGTTTTTTGGCCAAAATGTCACACTCCAAAAATGACATATCACTGGCACAACAGTTGCCAGCCAAGAAATCAATCTTTACAGGGTGCATCAGGTGCCAATGCGTCGTTTTGATCTTGAACATATGACAAACCAGTCCAAAGTTTTGGAGCTGACCTTGAGACCATACAATACCACGCATATGCATATTGTACTGTTTATAAACGTTGAGCACTATATAGTCTAACGTTATATTGTATAGGTAAACATGAGTAGTGGGAATGAAACCGAGATAAACAGAATGCAGAAGACAGGAGTAAATTCAACGGTGTAAAAACTTTAAATAATTCGAATAGATAAAGAATAAATATGCGTGTGGTTGAGAGGTGTAAAACCAACATGGTGGAACTAGAAGGCATCTGGGCAAAACACGGAATTGCCTTGTGTTCAATGGAGCAAACAAGGCAATATTAAACATACACACACCCAAAAAAATGCGCGAGCAAAAAAACATACAACAGGATAGCAAGTAGTATTACATATTGTGAGTACCGCTTGACGACGGATTTGGCCATGAAAAGCGCTTGGAAGCAGAGCAACATCCATTGCATAATTGCAGGACCCATGCCAGGCGCAACAAGCTTTTAAAGAGTATTCAAACCGGCACACATTAAAGCCAGGGTCGCATTTTGCGGGGTTCAGCCATTCTTCCGAGTGTAGCGGGATTTTTTGTTTGTGCTATACTCACTCTTTCCGACGTCTTTCCGACGCCTTTCCGATGTTTGGGCGGCGCGGGACCCTCAAAAGCTGCAGTTTTGAGGTTCCGATAGGTTCCGATGGAATGCTTCCCGATGCCTTTCCGATGTCTTATCTTGAGGCAGGAGGGTGTTGGAAAGAAAAAATAATTGGGAAGGGATTCATGAAAAGGAGTTAGGAAGGGATTTGAATGGTATAATATGGGGAAGGGATCGGCGAGGCATCGGGAAGGTATTGGGAAGGCACTCGAGACGGGCATCGGAAGGCATCGGGAAGGCATTGGAAAGCAATCGGGAAAGCATCGGAAAGCATCGGTAAGTCGTCGGGAAGGCATCGGGAAGGCATCGGAAAGCATCGGGAAGGCATCGGGAAGGCATCGGAAAGCATCGGGAAGGCATCGGGAAGGCATCGGAAAGCATCGGGAAGGCATCAGGAAAACCGGAAGACCCCTACCAACAAAGCCTAACAAAGTGCAGACTGTATCCATTTTTGGTTTCAAGGCCATTCTATCGGAGAACTGCTCAGTGTGCCCGTTCAGAAAAACACATATTATAGCGCAATAAAATGTAACCCTATCAGTAAATACAAGCAAGCTTATAATATAGTATTGGTGCACATTCTATCAGCGCAAGTCGGGCGGATGTGCAAAGTTGATATACTTGAAGAAATATGTTTTCATAGAGTGTCTTACCTTGTTTCATTGTTTGTTTTAATCATATGATGAATATGTTTTTGTAATATTGAATAATAATAATATATATATATATAGACTGGATGGTGTACATATGAAACACACTGTCCAACACTTTTTCGACTTATAAATAGATCATGGCCATAATGTTGGGATAAATCCAAGTGGGTGGATGACGATGGGTGATTATCGTTGCTGCTACACTGGTTTACTCATTTGGAATCATCGGGGCCAAATCCGGACCACGCTGTTGATAAGACTTAGAGTTTTAAATCATCCTCATGTTTGGGTGTCGAACCAATGCCCACATATCATCACCTCCATGCTCTCCAGCTAGCAATATCTAGCACACCTACGAACTAATGAGAGGCAGCTATGCTGATGTCCTCTGCGCTCCAGCCACTTTATAGGGGCAGCAGTATCAAGTGTCACAAGAGCAAAACATTTAAAGACAAGACCATGAATAGGACCGCAAGAGGGGTAAGAAACTAACCCCTGGACATCGTTGGACCCTCCTGGACCCTGTGGGATCGTCGGGTTGCTTTCCTGAGGGTCCCAAACTCTCGTCATGAGGGTCCAGGGTCAGAACCCTCGTGGGGAGGGTCAGAACCCTCGTAGGGAGGTACCCAGGAGCCTTTGGGTAATATATATATATAAATGGGAAAATAAAAGCCATGTTTGAAACCACCCACCAGTAAATCACCATATGTTTACTTCAGCCAATGGCATCTGAAGGCAGAAAGACCCATCGCTGAGGCAGCTCGGCTCTTTCAGCATCCCCTTGATGGCATTGCAATGCTCCTCCAAACCCGGGCCAGGGATCGGGATATGTTTTCTCAAAACCGGGATTGCGTGGGTTTGTCGATATGAGTTGGGACTAACATGATTATCAATATCTATCCAACAAAACAAGATAGACTAGTGATATTATGATAAAATATCTAAATGTGATTTGTTGATTACCCTCTGGTAAACTAACATAGCCATGGAAAATGGCCCATTTATAGATGGTTTACCTATTAAAAATGGTGATTTTCCATGGCTATGTTAAATAACCAGAGGGTATCATTTACAAGACTTCACCAACAACAGTGAGGATTTACCAACAGTCAGGATTCGACGACCAGCCCAATGCTGGGCGCCTCGTTGCGGCGCTCCCGGACGAGGCGATTCTCGTAGATCCTCCCCGCAAGGTGTCTGGCGTCTGAACTTGGGGTATAACGTATCAAAGACCTTTAAAGACTGCAATTCAATGAGAACATCATGGTAAAAAATAAAAATAAATTTTGAGGTACCTATAGGTACCTCGTTTTCACATGTTTTCACAAAATCCCAGATCTTATTTAACATATTGGCTTCTTTGTAAGTTGACAAGGGGCTTGAACACACTGTTGAGGCTTTTCGTGCTGCAATAACAAGCCATGTCGTACAAGGTGAGGTTCCCAAACGATAGCTGACACGCATAACTTGCCTAGCTATATGCTTTGTGGGAGACATAACTATACTATAGGATTCATGGGGCTTATAAACCAACAAACATCAATAGGGGGCCTCACCTCGTATCTTAAGTATATAAAAATTTAATCTATGCGAATCAAACCTATCAGCGGATGCCCTCATTGTTATCATTAGAAGATGTTCATAAATGATGATCTCCACTTGCCAGCGTCCAAAATTCTCATGATCCTCCCTGAGCATGAAACAAATAGAATTCTGCCTTACACTGGAACACATAGAACCAACATGAATCAACCACAAATTGGGGATGTTTTTTTGGTAGATCTCCCACTACCCTTAACACCTTCGCCTTGGGAGACTTTCATTGACAAAAACAACTCCAAATGTCCTCGGTGAAGACGGTCCTCCACTTTTGGGACGACATTGTCGAGCTACAAGCGCAAGCAATATGGACTTCAAGTTGGATGTGTCTTGGCTGTTGCTGGTTTGAAGCTACTGGTCTTAACATTCAACATCTCAACGTTCAAAGATCTCTAAACAGGTAAGGCAAGGACGTTAACACTGGGTTTGGAATTTTGTGAAGTTTGGATATATTTCCATTTCGACGTGGGTGTCTTTTCTTACAATCTTCGACTAGCTAGAGTAGGCATGCACGCCTTTTTGGCACTTGCTAAGAAAGATTCCCAACGATTCTCTGCTCGGAAACCCAGAAATCCACTGGATGGTCATCCTTTTCCCTATCAAACTGGCCATAACTTGGGGGTCCGTCCTCAATTTTTGAACAACCCCATGTCAGTTATGTTCCATTATAAAAAGCGCAATCACACGCCTTGACATCGAGAGCCAAAAGTGCACGATCAAAGATCGGCATGCCGGACATGCCAAGGCCAAGCTAAATGAGACGTGGATGCCATCCATTAATTGATTTCAGGGAATCTTTTTGGAAACACATGGTTTTTGTTGGTTAACCCCCTTGTTTACTGGTAGATATTCCCTTCGATCAACCCAGAGCTCCATGGCATTTTTTTGTCCACGCTCCGATGGTCAACCTGAAGTCACATCGTAAATCAGGTGCTACAGGTGTTCCTTACCATCGCCGCAGTTGCCTCCAAGATGAAAGCCATCCCTTCCACACAGCTCCATAAATTCCACGGCAATATGTCCCAGCAACTTCCAGCATCAATGGATTCAACTTCTTCAGTGATCAGTTTACTCTGCCTGGTGTCTTCTTGATGTTGATCTCACCATGACCATCCACTGGACTGATGGCTGATGGCTTGAAGAACCAGTAGCCGTCTCAGTTTGGGTACTTCCAATTCTTCCCGGACCATCAAATGCCACCTCGATCGTCATCCAATTTCTACTGTGACGAAGGGGAATTTTGTGTCTGCTCAAAGCTGCTTTTTTTCTAACCACAAGAGCCTAGAAGAAGCCATCCATGGACTGCCGATACCACGGCACTTCGGCATCCAAGCCATGTTCGTCGATGATGTCATTCAAATCGCTTCTCCAACTGTAACCGACCTCCCGTTGAACCAGCTGCTGTGCGTATTCATGGTGAAATGTCGCCAACCTGCGCCACCAAAAAGGCCACCAAACATGTGCAACAAATGGGTGATAGATGCAGGTAGATAAGCTGCAACTTATCTAGAAAAATTAGGAGTTCGAAGATTTGAACCATACCTGGAATCCATGTTGCACCTTTTGTACCATGGCCACTTCAGCAACTCATCTCTCACTTGATGGGTAAGTTCAGGAACAGAAATTGTTGTTGGATTTGTTGCAGGTGCTGTTGATAAAATGATTGATTTTCATTAGGCAAACTTATCATAAAAAAAAAAACACAACCACGGGATCGTTTTCGATGGCAGTACCATCCCTTTGGGATTCATCAAATTCTGACATCGAATTCACAACGACTGGTTGGTGGTTTTTCGCCCTACCCCTCTGAAAAATCATAGTCAGTTGTTCGTCAGTTGGGATAATTGTTATATTCCCAACCGTTTCTGGAAAGTCATAATCCAGCCATGTTCCAGTCACCACCCAGGTCACCAAGTATCAAACTACCTATCCGATTCATCCTGTTAGATCTGTCAGGAGAGGCCCTTCCGTTTTGTTGGTAACATATTAACATCACCATTTTTCTGCAGAATTGTAATGGATTATCATGGAGAATCTATAGTCATCAACCAACTCAATCCAACTCAGCTACACAGATCTCATCTTAAAAGTCTGCCGGTTCACCTGACTGCTTCAGCAGCACCATGCAGCTCGAAAACTGCGTGACGTTCCATGTTGAATAACGCCTGACTGTTTGTTGCAGTCCCATGTGTCGACTTGTGAAGTGGGGAATGTGGTTCGGATTCGCATCAACATGCATCAAAAAATCCAATTTTAGCAGAAACAATCTGGGAATTGAAGCCACATACATATAATTTATAATGATAAATTAAACCCCACCAAACTGGAATCTTGACTACCAACAACCATGTATCTCAGTCACTGTTGGTTGGTGATGAATTTTCAGCATAGCGAAGTGCATGGGATTTCTCATTGGCTCTGTTGTTAATGGTTAAATTTTGATGGTTTAATGTTTAATGCAAATAACATATTATATTATATATATATTATATATATTATATAATATATATATATACTATGCAGATGTTGTTCAACTGTTTTTTTATTTTGGTCCTGTGGTGCTCTCTTCTAGGAGCTCTGGGCTTTTTTCTGTGTCTGTGCAAAGCGGCAGCTGGCTGTTCGTGGCATCATTGACCTCTAACATCCCAAATCAGAGGGGTGTTTGTTCATGTCATATCCCCAATTTCATGGTTAATGATGATGGTTAATATATGGTCAATGATGGTTAATATATGGTTAATGATGGTTAATCATCACTCCTTTTTGACATCGCCACCACTTCCTTGTATCTGAAAGCCAACAAACTCCCACTTGGGGTGGCCTTGTACTCCAATTTCTATGGCCAAGATGCTGCAATATGGTCAAACCTGAAGGCATTCACCGCCATCATCTCCACTTGCCGTTGCAGCTCATCGTTAGCCTGTCTTGGAGACTTCGAAGCTCCCAACTGTCCAAGTGGGTTTGTCAGTTTGTCCAAAAAGGGGTGGTATATCAAATCCCATCAAACTTGTCAGTTTTCCAGTAGATCAAAAATTGGGATTCTCACTTTGTCGGTCTTCTTAGTTCAATGTTCAAAGATGTTCAAAGTCTATCGTTTTTCCATCAGTTTCCCATTCACGTTGTCATTTTTGGGGTACATTCTTTTCACGCACAAACCCCTATATATTTCCGAACCCAAAAGCCACCGGCAGAACTGGGACGCCTGCTGCCGGACCTTGGACGGATGCCAGAAGGAGTCGTGCTCTGGAAAGGGGCCAGCAGCGTCGCGGAGGAAGAAAGCGCCAAGCATCTTATAACTGACCTCCGGGATTGGGAGATTCGAACAGTTTTTTTGTGCAAATGAAGAACACATATTATTAGACATGGTGTTTCATTTTGGAGATATACTACAATAAGCTCTATCCGATTCTATCCCTTACACTCAGCATCATTGCGCGGTCGGCCAGTGAAGTTGAATATGTAGAGGAAGTTCAAACAGCTTCCATGGCAAAGAAACAGCACACTCTGCACGATGAATCTTCGTCAATTACCAGCCGAATGCCGATCGCACAAAAAAAAAAAACTAGGATCAATCAATTAGGAATCATAGTTATAAGGTGGTACTCTCATCTGTTTGTATAGGCACGAAAGGTCAAACCCACAGCGACTCTGAAGTCAAGTCAAGCTGACACTGGAGCTGCATCCGGCATGGATGCTTCTGACATCATCTTCGCCATTGGGCAAATAGTTGAACCTTGATGTCGAAAGCCAAAGCTGCATGACATGCCCATGACGGATCCATGGTGCTGCTATATATGGTAACATTTACCATCAATATACCCCCTTTATGTTAGCATATATACCATACATGGATCCGTCATGGGATGTATACATGAAGTCTTGCTAGAAACATTCACAATGACTTCACAGCCCGCAAAAAAATCAATCCAAGAGACCAAAGATACATGGTGCCTTTCCTCAAGCATCAGGCAGGAGCATCACAAGTTGTGATAAACATGGTTGTCATCCTTGCTTCTAAAACTGATATGTATCTCTTTTCTCTTTCCCTAAAACTCCCTTGGAAAACCATATTGAAACATGCGCAAGTGAATTTAGATGCAAATACACGCCACTCACTGTCTCATCAGTACCTCACATGTAGTTTTACAGATTGGAAGGATCATCTGAGTAGCTTCAGGCAATAATGTTCCACATTGGGAGTCGGAACCAGCATGAATTCATATGTCCAAACCTTCGAACAACTTGCCACAGGACAAACAGTTCCCCTGCAGCATTCACCAACACGTGACGTCAGGTCAACTTGTCCACAAGGGCTATTCCGCTAGGGATGAAGAGAAACCAGAATCAGTTGCTGTCACACCCCCCATCCACATGAGCTCAGCTTGATATTCCTAACCCATAGGATCCATGTATGGTATATATGCTAACATTTGGGGTATATTGATGGTAAATGTTACCATATATAGCATACATGGGTCCTATGGGTTAGGACATGATGCACACTTTCTGGTTCAATCCAAAAACTTTCCGCGGAAGCCATTCCCCATTCAGAACCAGACCAGCTTCTCCGGTAGAACGGGCATCTGAGCCATTCGTCCGCTCCTTTTCGCGCCGCTGTGTGAGTTTAGCTTGTTTTTTGTATGTGGGAAATCAGAAGTCACACAAAATGGAGTCAAACATCGACAAAAACAATGGGACTTAATCCATCACAAGGGCCTGAACATAGCTGATTTCTGGTGAACCACCATCATCCTGCATGGAATCTTCAGTGCAATAGCACCGAAGCATCAAGGTTGGATGGTTTGACCACATGAAGGTTGTCATCCCATTTCAACAGAAACTATAGCTTCAACAGTACTGTATTTAACAGTTTGCCATGGAAAATGATGGCCCATAGAAATAGATGGTTTTTACCTATTAATGGCATGGTGATTTTCCATGGCAAACTGTTAAATAACCAGAGGGTACTCATATTTCTACACCAAGAAACTATACAGTGTCACATACTGTGGATGGGCCAGCGAAATCCTGCATCACCTTGGATGGTTGAAAACCTAATTAAATAATGGGATGTTTACCATCTATCAACTGGTGCAGGATTTCGCAACCATCCACCGTATGTTCAGACAAACTATCGCCACAGTGTCACTTGGGCATATTCCAACAAACATTACCCTCTGGTAAATTTACAGTTCGACCCTGGCGGTCATCGGGGTTGGAAGATTAGTTTCCATTAAAACTAGGCTATTTTCAGAGTCCAACTGTCAATTTAAGAAACATTAACAAACCAATCCCAGTTGGTCATTTTCAGTTGGTTAATTAACTGGGATTGGTTTGTTAATGTTTCTTAAACTAACATAGATTGACCAACTGGTCAATCCCAAACTGTTAATTTAAGAAACATTAACAAACCAATCCCACCAATCCCAGTTGGTCGACCTGCACATCAGTTGCGCAGCTTCCAGCAGTCGATGTCGGAATCCCATCGGCTCGTCCAAATCCACACGACGGTGGGCCTAAGGCCATCGATCTGTTGAGTTCGAAACCCCTCTGGGGGATCACCGAAATCGGGTAGACGTTAGTAGATGTTAGTTCTCAAAAAACTGATCAACAATGATAGTACTAACATCTACTAACTATACTCGAAAAGAGGCTTTATTGATGTTTATTTGTGGATTTAACGCATAATTAATATATTCCATGAAACCGGAGATGGGGTCTGTTCGACTGATGTCTTTCAAGGACAAGATGCATACAAATCCGTGAGTTGCAGCTGGCAAGTTTCTGTAGTGTAGCCTGAAGATACGAACTGAACTGCATGGGGACTATACCTTGTAGGTACTTGTTTGGGAGCCCCCAATCCTCATGCTTTCTGATGATATTGTTTGCGTATTTGCAGCGTACACCTGTACATAGCCCGAAACCATCAATTGACCGCCAGCAGTGGAAGCAAAAATGCGAAGAAAGACATTGCACATGGCCTACATAAGCAGCAAAAGAGGCCTAGTGGTAGCTTCTTAACATTCCACAAACCTGATCAAACCTGCAAATTTCAGTACAAATTTGGTATAGTTGTGTGGGCTCGCGTCAAATCGGAATGCATCCAGGCATCATAAGCTTCTGAGTCATTCCTGACCTGACAAATGCTGCCCTCATCTGCTCATTGGGTCTACATCGAATAGCTCTTGGAAACTTGTAACCATGTCAAACTTGCATACCTCACAAGAATTCCATTAGCATTGAATAGATGGCTACAAATGGCCTGAAATGGTGCCTTGAAAAGATCTCCGAATTCTCCGCAGGTGCAGGTTGGTGCCTGTTGTAAGCGCTCCTCATTCAACACCCACTGCCACTTCTGGACTTCGTCATTGTCCAAGGCTAAAGTGGTGCTGCCGCCCGTGTCTCCTGGCGACCAACTTTCGACCATCTTTTTATGGGTTACCATTCTGGACCCATAAAAGCGCCACAAAATGGATCGCGGTGATTGTTCAAATTCGAAATGGTCGTTAAGTATTTAACCATATGTAACCCTCCCATTTAATGGAAGCCAATCAGGTTGAGCCATTCCAACATATGAATAAATATAAATAAATTACATCTGGTATCAAATTGACTGGACTCTGGCAAGATGAGGTTGGATTTGTTTTGACTGACCCAATCTTAGACCAAATATGTTTAAACTCAACAATTTATATGACCTTTACATTTAAGAAACTGAACAGTTTGGATGTCTCCTACCGCCCTAGCCTTAGCGCACCCTGCATAAAACCAACCCATTTGGTTCCAGGAGTGCCGCGTTGCCATGGGAATCACCACTCGGGGGTGCAGTTGAGGGTATAATCATGGTTATTAGCACCCATAATGTTGGGATTGGGGTGTATATATATATACTGGTTGGTGGTTTCAATCCCTCTGAAAAATATGAGTTCGTCAGTTGGGATGATTCTTCCCAATATATGGAGAAAAAACATGTTCCAAACCATCAACCAGATATATATATATATTATGGTTAGGGGTGGGAATTGGGCGTTGGTTTTTGCCAATATATTATATAACTCATATAACTATGGTTGTAGTTGTATATCCATTTACAACTGGAACTCCACTTCCAAGCATCCCAATCCTTCAACATAGACTGGAAGGAAAAATGGCTTTGAAGCAGCCAGAATTGAGAACGTACCCAGTCTATGCCGCAGTGTTCACGTTTCAATCACCACGTTTGGGCGAAACATCCCAGTTTGTAGGTTGAACTCATCACCATTCATGCATCACTTCAACAATCCTGGAAGTTGGTAAATGGTGATCCTGATTTGGTCGTGTGTCATAACCCCTAGCTTCGCTGGCTGCTATTTTGCTCATGATTTACTTACTAAGTTTAGTTCACCCATTTACTAACGGTTTGGAGTTGCAAGCGGGTATCCCCACTTGCAACTAATGATCAAACGGTGTCATTTCTCCATATCTTTCTGTTAAACATGGCCATGAATTGGAGGCTTAGTGGCATCTCGCAGTTATTACCCTCTGGTAAACTAACATAGCTATTGAAAATGGCCATTTATAGTGGATTTTCCCATTAACAATGGTGATTTTCCATAGTTATGCTAGTTTACCAGAGGGTAATCAATTTCAACCAGCCTCCCAGGAGCACAATCCCACCCCCGCTCCAAAGCTATCGAGCATGAGAGGGAAGACTGTACCTGCAGTCGACCCGCATTTTGAAGCGTTGCAGAAATATCGCCCATCCTGTTTTCATGGATATGGTTGGAATATATGGTTGGTATATCCCTCAGGAACATCTTGAACAAATCTGATATATCTGGATGTCATCCGCAGATGTCAACAACACGAAAAGTGGAATGTGACATAAACAGCTCTGATTACCCTCTGGTAAACTAACATAACTATGGAAAAACACCATTTTTAATGGGAACATCCACTATAAATGGCCATGTTCAATAGCTATGTTAAATTACCAGAGGGTATATCGTTAGTATGATGCATGTGGAGCTTCGAAATGCCAAGTTCACCATCAATTCCAATCCAAACTGGGTTGTTTGTTGGCCCCCTACTATTGCGTATGTTGTGGGATATATGATGTCAAACCCACACATCGTTCCCTCCAAAATAAAACTCCTAATTACTCTGAAGTAAAGACTATATTATATACTTATAACTATATTTATACAGTAATTGTATTATCATATATATATATATAAAATCTGGTATGTCAGTATCCTATCCTCGCCAACCATCACTGCCATCACTGGGGATTTCACACCTCCATCTTCATGGTCGTCCAAGAAGAGCGACACAGAGAGATAGCGGTGAGGAAATAGATACCTGGTTGCTGGTTGAGCCAACCCTCAAAAATGCATTTTAAAAAAATAAAGATTGGAGATCATCATCCTAGGGCTTTTCAAGAACGAACACTAAAACCTCATGGTTTCCGTATCTGACCATCCGCAGATACTTGTTGAAGTTGTCCAAATGCAAATTGGATGGAAGTGTCGCAGGCACATAGAGATGGTAGATGGGTTCCACATTGTTCGGATGCACTCCTGCAATCTTGCCCACTCGCTCAATAAGTTGATTCATGAACTCGGGAGGCTCCTGGCACGATGGCAACGGCAACTTGGACGACCACTACATGAGTGGGTGAACCATAGTAGTGCTTAATAATGGTTAATAGTGTTTAATAGTGGTTTATAGATAGTGAATAGTGGTTCTGACATTATAAGAACTATAAAAATAATAACCTATCACTCCATTGACACAGAAAAAAATGAAACAAAAGGTACACCCCATTTTTTGCTAGTACTGTCGCCATTTTATGATTTTGTAAATGGGTACCAACTGAATGTCTTGGTAGAACCAGAAACTTGGTAGAATACCGATGTTCTGGTCCATAAGACGGACTCGGGTCCCATCTTCAAAAGTTAGTGACTATATATATATATATATGTATGTGTATATATATATATATATATCAATTGCCTGAAACAAAGTATGCCCAAAATGCAGAAGCACTCCATTTTTTCAAGCCATAAATGCCATAGCATGCCATAGCCATCAGGCCTTGAAGTAGAAGGAAATGTGTCCGGTGTTTTGAGATCTCAACCAAGGCCTTGATCCCAGTTCACCAAAGGCGGCGCTCGCGTTTCGACCGTTGCGGATCGCGCCCGGGCGACTGGAAACCAAGGGGGTCCCCAAGTCGTCGAGGTAAATCAAGGCTTCTAGCCTTGGAAATGTGATGAAATTTGAAGATTACCCTCTGGCAAACTAACAAAACTGTGGAAAATCAAGACTTTTAAGAGGTAAATCAACTATTTTCATGGGCCATGTTCAATAGCTTTTTGTATGTTTACTAGAGGTTCAACATCCATAAAAACATCTGGTGAATGAGCATCAACTGTTGTGTTTTTTTTTTACTAACCAAATTCATGGAACATCCCATTTATGATCATTTGTGGCTTGAAAATTAAACATACGAAGAAGTAACAAGTTCAGGTTCGGATTCCATTTGGGAATGACCATCACTGCGCTGGAAATGGATGAAGTGGATTGAACTCCTCTCTACTGAGATCGCGGCATCAAGAAGCGCAGCAAAGCGCATTCCTGGCGGCGAGGACACGGAGCAGAGCAGTGTTGAAAACACCGTTGCTGGTTTCTGATGTTTCTGATTTTACAGGACGATAATGGGCATGTGATGGGATGATTTTAGGTGCAGATATAGTGCAGAGATCTTAACCATGACTGTCACTTCTTGGAGGATTATGCGGCCATTCAATAGGGCCTTCCCGGCCATTCAATAGGGATTTGAATCACGAATTATAATCACCCGTAGCTATTCAGTATAAAGATTTTTTAGATATGTTCACTATGGTGATCAACACTGCTCATACTGGGCAATAGGAATCGGGGAAAACTTCCTTGCGGACTCGAATGGACTGGACTGGCCATGTCGAGACACTGGCAGATTCCAGTTTTGGAGGTCCTCCTTCTTGCCGCACTCTGAGCATACCATAGCGCTAAAAATCATATAGATGTTGTACTGCACTAAATATCACCAATTGTTCAAATTCACAAAGTTGGGGAGTCTTGCACATTTTGCCCACATCATCCCTGGGGTACCCTTGGGGGTGTCCAAAAATAGTGGTGTATACCGTGAAGGGCATGTCCTTAATCATTTTAATGCAGTAATTAATCAGGAATGCCAAAAAAAACTTGGGATGGGATGGGTATAGTCTGGTAAACCCAATAAACATCAATAAACATCAATAAACATCAATAAACATCAATAAACATCAATAAACATCAATAAACCATCCACAAAATTATCAGTGAATGAGTGATAAAAATCATCAATGAGTTCATTGTTGGGATTGCTTTGATGTGCATCGCAGTTAGTGAGAACGAATCATATTATATCCCAGTTGTATGTGCCATACCCCAGTTATACCCCAGCTATACGAAGGTTTCCTAAGATGGGGGGATCCCCACCATCCATTTGTAGATGGATTTTCCATGAAATAAACCATCCAGCTATTGGGATACCCCCATTGTAGGAAACGTCCAGGAATGATGTCTTGTAGTGGTTACCCTCTGGTAAACGACATAACTATGGAAAACCACCATTTGTTGATGGCTAAATCAACTATTTCAATGGCCATTTTCAATAGCTTTTTCTATGTTTACCGCAGTTAGTGAGTACGAATCATACTATATCCTAGCTGCCATATATCCCAGATATACCCCAATTATATGATGTCTAGTGGTTAGTTCCAATTCCTGGGTCCCCAACTGGGGTCCGTTCCATCCTTGGCTGTCAGCATGCCGCGGAAGCGCATGACTTTGGGATGGAGGCTCAGCAGCGTCACGTCCAGAGCCGGGTCTTTGCCCGTCCACCCGCGGTTCATGGCGCCTGCTACAATGTGGAACCATCAATAGCTTTGACTTTATTACATGTGCTATAAGTAGCTATACCATATCATGTTTATAACTATAAGATACTATAAGTAGCTAGCAAACAATGTGGAACCATCAGTAGACCGTAATTTTGGGTCAACACATGAAAAAAAGGTCTTGTGGTCATCCCATTTTTTGGGCATCTTTGGTCGAGTCAAACGTAAATCTCTAGGGGTTGATGGGATTGATGGCCTTGATGGGAATACAACAGACAATGATCTCTATGGATTGGTTTCTTGGGGAAATTTGAAACCGGAAACCCATGGGTTTTTACCATTAAATATGGGGGTTTCCGGTTAAATTTTCCCCAACAAACCAATCCATTGAAATGAGAGTATGAAGAATTCCTCTTGCTTTGCCCTAGTGGCCGTTGACTCTGATTCCGCTTTTCCGCTTTCCTGCGTGAAGTGGCTGATGTGACCAATATTCATCAATTGGTTTGTCTGAAAGTCTGAAAATGTGGTATACCTCCAAAACGACAAATTTATACACATTTCTTGGGTGAAAACCAGGTTTTTATCCTTGAGGGGTACTCTATCTTTTCATACAAACCCACATATCAATGGGAATTCCAGGATCCTAAAATGGAGAGTGTGGGACGCTGTGGGTCCCCAGTTTTTACGTGATTTTTAGCTGTTTTTTTACTATTTTTTTCTAGTTATTTATCACTGATTAAGTTTCTAGTCCTAGTCTCAAAGAAACATCATATTAAACAATACCAATGGAATCCCACAGGAACCAAATAGAAGTCCCATAGAAATATCATAGAACTACCATAGACATTCTCAAGACACCTCATGGAAATCCCATAGAATTCCCAAAGAAATCCTCTGAACATATCATAGAAGTACCATAGAAATCCTGTTTAAATCCCATAGGAACCCCATAGAAATATCATAGACATATCATGGAAAATCCCACAGAAATCCCCATAGAAATATCATAGATATAACATGGAAATAGTATAGGAACCACAAAGAAATCCCATAAGAATACCATAGATTTCCCTCAGGCATCCCATAGAAATGCCATAGAGATATCATAGAAACATCATAGAAACACCATAGAAATCCCATAGGAATCCATTGGAAATCCCATAAGAATACCATAGAATTTCCATAGTATTCCTTCAGAAATCCCATAGAAATGCTCCAGAAATATCATAGAAACATCATGGAAATTCCGTAGGAATACCATAGAAATCCAATAGGCATACCATAGAAATATCAAAGAGATCCAAAATATATTTCACAGACATCCCATGGAAATCCCTTGGCTGGCTGAAGCTCACACTTAGGAAAAAACTTTTCATTTAGACATTTTGAGAATTCCAAAAGAATGAGCTAAGAAAGTAAAAAAGAGAAACGTATTAGCAAAGGAAAAGGGAAGGAGAACATGATTTTGGAAAATGTTTACTGCCAAAAAAAAGCTGGACACAATAGAGGACCACCACAACAAACATACTATTGAAGATCATTGTCATTCATGGATTTTGTTGGTTGGCTGAAGTTCATCTTTTTTGGGAAACCTTTGGTCTTGATTCATCTCTTGCTCATGGACTACCCCCTTGAAAAAATGTTTGGATGTTGTTTTTTCACTTTAGTTTGAATTTATTTTGAAATGGTTTCAACTTCCTTTCAATTGGCACCCCATAGTAATCCCATGGAAATATCATAGAAATCCTTTAGGAATCTCACAGAAATCCCATATAAAGATCATAGAATTAACATGGAATAGCACAGGAATCCCACAAAGAAATCCTAAAAGAATCCCATAGAATTCCCTAAAGAATCCCATAGAATTCCCTCAGGAATCCCATAGTAATCCCATAGAAGTATAGAAACATCATGGAACTCCCATAGGAATGCCATAGGAACCCCATTGTAATCCCAAAGAAATCCCATAGAAACATCACAAAGACACCTTAGAACCCCCATAGTAATCCAATGGGACTCCCATGAGAATACCATAGAATTCTCATAGCATCCCTTCAGAAATCCCATAGAAATCCCCTAGAAATATCATAGAAACATCATGGAAATCCCATAGGATTCCAATGTAAATCCCACAGACATCCTTTTGAATCCCCATAGGAATCCCATAGAAATACAATCGGCATCCCATAGAAATCCAATAGTAGTCCCAAAGAAATATCATAGAACTACCATGGAACCCCACAGGAATCCAATAGAAGTCCCATAGAAAATATCATAGAACTACCATAGACATTCTCAAGACACCTCATGGAAATCCCATAGAATTCCCAAAGAAATCCTCTGAACATATCATAGAAGTACCATAGAAATCCTGTTTAAATCCCATAGGAACCCCATAGAAATATCATAGACATATCATGGAAAATCCCACAGAAATCCCCATAGAAATATCATAGATATAACATGGAAATAGTATAGGAACCACAAAGAAATCCCATAAGAATACCATAGATTTCCCTCAGGCATCCCATAGAAATTCCATAGAAATATCATAGACATACCATAGAAATCCCATAAGAACGCAGTGGAAGTCCCATAAGAATACCATATGAGGCTGTAGCAGACAAGATGGCCCAGAGAGCCACCTAGAGCCACCAAGATAGCCAAGATAGCCCATCTAGGGGAGGGGGGGGGTCAGCCCATTTTTTTTTTTTTCCCGTTTGTTTTCTGTGTGGCTCCTTCTTTCCTGTGAGATTTGGAAATTAGGTTATGGCCAGGTGTCCTTCAATCATTTTTTTTAGTAACATGATATATTCATTTGTACAAATTCCATATATGTAGCATTGTTTTACTGAATATGTTTTCTTTATATTTATCTTTACCTCATCCATCCAGACATGTGTAAACGTGGGGACTGAGAGCGTCCCTTTCTGAAAATGGAGGTACTGTACCATACAAGGCCATATTTTGTGGGGATATCCCCTTACATAGGCCATTGATGATGGCCTTGATTCAAGCCCCACTTTCAGGGTCTCAAATTAAGCCAAGCCACATGGATTTTTAAGGCTTCGATTCCCATGGATCAACATTGAAACCCTGCACTGACTTTGGTAATTTTAAGCAGTTTGCGAACTGGAAAATGACCATAGAAATAGTTGATGACTACCTATTTAAAATTCTTGATCTTCCAGTTCGCAAACTCTTAAATTACCAGAGGCTATTCCCATTAGATCACCAGGAAAAATCCCATGAAATCACCATGCCCTCCGTTCCCCGGTGTTTTTTCCCCACGGCTGTCACGTCATGCCGGTGCCGACGGCGCCGACTGAGCCGGCGGTGCCGCCGCTGGGGCCTAGCCACCATCGTTCGGGTTGGAATGGATGCCCTGGGCAGGGAAACGAAGGATATCATATCTATACAGGTTGGTGGTTGACCCACCCCTCTGAAAAATATGAGCTCGTCAGTTGGGATGAAGAAATTCGCAATATATGGAAACATAAAACATGTTCCAAACCACCAACCAGTATACAATGATATCTATAATGATATCTATGATGATATCTAGTCTAATGAAATCTACAATGATATCTAATGACATCTATAATGACAGCAAAGTATTCCCAATGGTTTTGGAAGCGTACCACAATGGAATTAGATCTAAACAGAATCATCAATCTACTGTCAGGGTGAGTCATGAACGCTCGAGGAATATTTCGTCCAATACTCCATGAATCTAGTTCATGTATGCACTCTTGTGTATCCTATGAATTTGTTGCATGATGAATGATACCTGGAGAAAACATTTATCCCAGAACACCAAATTCCAGAGGCGAGGCCGTTTCTCACCAGATGTTCCAAGCATGGACTCCTTCCCATCTCCAGCCTCATGTAAGTTTGAAAATGCCGTGGAGGCCCGGGCCTGATGATTTCGTTGCAGCTTTCAGGTGTATGAGTCGTGGCATCATTGAAAAATAAGAGACTTCTGAAATGTCAGAAAAACATAGAAAAACCCTAGAGCCAACCAACTATGAACATCTATGAACTACCAAGATTGGGAATCTTGAAACGGTCAAACAAAAACGTCCTTTTTCAATTGCTCCAAATCAAGGTCCGTCTTCGCCCGCTTTGGAGCCCTCCCTGATCTGCAGGTACTCGTTCAGCAGAATCTTGCCTGGCAAGTCATCCCCATAGTCACATGGCTTGCCCAAATGCTGCACAGAAGATTTACCCTCTGGTAATTTGTTACATAGCTATTGAAAATGACCATAGAAATAGTGGATTTTCCCATTGAACATGGTGATTTTCTATAGTTATGTTAGTTTACCAGAGGGCCCTTGCCAAACTCCGTCACTTCTGGGTATCTTCTTGGAGTGTTTGGCCAAAAGCACTTGTGAAAAGCGGTGGAAAACTAAGATGATTGTTCTTGTGGCATGGCTGAATATCTGCAGCATCAGTCATGGGCCATCATCGGCCTACACCTGCCACACTGGCAAGGCTTGAAATCACCGCAGCGTAGCCGATGATACCAACTTCTCCATTGCGAAATCTTGCCAAAAGGAGAATAAAGAACCTGTCAGGAAATGGACTTGGAATGACCGCTGTGACCTCCATTTAAGGTGGACTCTTAGCTTCGCAGTCTGCCTTCTACATGTGCATTTCACTAAGTGGTTAGAACATGTTAGAACAAGCTATGTGCAACTGGGCTTCACGCCATTTTGGGTTCAAAGTTAGAGACGCGTAGTTCTTCTCCCTCCATATCCCAACATCCACATATCCGATATATCCAAGTCATCAGCCCTTAAGTCAATGGATTTACCGGACACATCAGGAAACCATCCGTCATCCGAGTTTTCCCGGGGTTTTACATACACAGATAGCTGGTAGATAGCTGGTAGATAGCTGGTAGATGTTCCATGAAAAGTTTCCCAAGACTTGGATGACACTTGGCGGATCAGCCTGCAGATCATGGATCCAAAGTTTCGAAACTCTGTGACGCGCACATTCACCAGGTGGAGCCACGACAGCAAGCTGCTCAACCTGCAGGCAACACATGGTCGTCCCAGGGTCGAAAAGAACACACATTATATATTATATACCAATTATATATATATATACACGTATATAAACGGTACATATATATAATATATTTATAATATCAAATACTCTTTGTTATGACATTCTATCTATAACATTCTATGACATTCTATATCTTATATCAACTTATATTATATCTTATATCAACTTATATTATATCTTATGTCCATCCATATGTTCCATACAAATTACTAGCAGATACCCAATTGCTTGGGCAACTATATAATGCCAGGGATGCCCGGCCGGGAAACTTGGTCTTAAACACTTGCCTAACATGATGCCATATGGCTGCGGGTCAGTGGATGTTCATTTTACACTCAAACTAGTCATTGTACGTATGTAGTATCTGTATGTATCGGTATGGCATGGACCTTCCAGGGCCCGTAGAACTTCAGGTACATGTGGTTTTCCAGGGGTTTCGCCATCCAAGTCAGCAAACTTGTTCATGCAAGTGGCATCATGCCGCTGACTGCCAAACAAAGTTCCGGCTCTTGTGGAAAGAATCGTCCGCTATGATCGTAGCCAAATGCCTCGAATCATCTCGAATCCATTCAATCAAACATGTGTGCTTCAATGCACATCCCGCTTCATAAGTGGATAGAAAGCAATCTTACAACCTGGCTATACGGGGATGTTATGCGATGTTCCTAGAATGAATAGAATGCACATCCAAGGATGACTCGCAAGACAGCAACTCTGGCCACTGGATCTTCCCTGCACAGGCTCTGCCGAACAAAAAGACTGCTTGGTGGGTTCATTTTTTTCCATCCATCCCAGGTAGTGGTCAATTTTGCTCGATTGTTGATGATGTCATCATCGCAAACGCAGTGGATAAAAAATGACGTCACCACCACCACCACCACCACCACCACCACCACCCAGCAAATGGTAGCAATCCTATCCCCCTTTCATAATCATCCCCCAGTGGATGGTCCCGAATATATATGTGGTTTCATCATGTTTCATTCCCTACCTAAAACACTATCTATACTGGTTGGTGGTGCAATAACCATCTTGAAAAATATGAGTTCGTCAATGGGGTTGGGATGACATCCCATATATGAAATGGAAAATAAAACATGCTTGAAACCAACAACCAGTATCTCTCGGGGGAGTTTTAAATATGAACGGTGGAAGAGATGAAACTATGCCAAGACCGCCCTGAGATGTCTGTGACTTCGTCTGTTGCATATGCAGTCGAGTAGCGACAATCACACGGCAAAGAGTGGCAGAAATGAAGCACACGAGGCCGCCGAAGAAACTCAAGCTGCACACCAAATATTCGAACTCCTGGCGAAAAAACGCAAGGCCTAACCCCACATCTCCACAAGGAAGTGCAGTGGATGGTACACCACCAGGCCACAAGTGTTGGTTGAAGTCGGATCTAAAGTTTCACAGCTGCAGAACCGCCTTTGGCCCCTTCGGCCTATCTGGATGAATCACCGTATCACCCTGCCATGTTGGCCATAATCTGCCCAAAATGCCCTGGTAAAGTTAACTGGTTGGTGGTTTTAACCCTCTTGAAAAATATGAAAGTCAATGGGAAGGATTATCCCATAGATTATGGAACATAAAAAATGTTCCAAACCACCAACCAGTTGATTCAATCAATTTGTGTTTGCTTTTTTCCAAGCGGTCTGGTTGGCGAACTCTTACCCAGACCCGTCACCCGGATTTTTTTGGTTTTCCCACCATGTTCGACGGTAATCTCCAATTTTTGATGGATACTCTGGTAATTTAACATAGCTATTAAAAATGGCCATTATAGTGGATTTTCCCGTAAAAAATGGATATTTTCCATATAGTTATGTTAGTTTACCAGGGGGTAAATCGGATAAATCACATACGATAGTGTATTGGTTAAATCCCAGTTTTGCATGATTCAACCCCGTTATTGGCTGGAACATATCCCACCAATCTCCAGTTTTGTTATTCCATTTTACTCAATATCCGTGGTTAAATCCTACGTATTTTGTTGACCATTTACCCAGGTATCCCAGGTTACACCCTATGTCAATCTTTTCTGTTGGTGAAATCTCAATTCTGCTTGGTTAAATGATCATGTTTAGTTTGCTTCAATCATTCTTTTTGCTGATCCAATCCCAAGTGTGTTGAACAAAATCTAAATCATCATTTTTCTTGGCTTGGTTAACCCCCCCATAGTAGAAAAGTCCCCATCCCCCCGGTGCCCCCCGGTGGTGCCATATTCGCCATGATGAGGTCCATGGCCGTGGGTTCCAGTGCCAGCCGCCCATGGCGTCCCAGCTCCAGCAGCTGCACGTGGGCATTGGAGGTCTCAAGGACCGTGGTGAGCTCCAAACAGATGGTGCTGGCGGCCAAGATCACATAGACCTGCGAAAAAACGTGGCGACCCTGATAAATGGATTAACCATGATAAAAACCACGGGGAAAACGATAGGGAAAAAATGAATAACTTAACTTAACTGGGTGTTGTTGAATGGACACAGTTGCAACTTATCATGGAACACTGGTGCCACTAAGAAAAATATGATAGTCTTCAAGAAAAACAAGTTGACCTTTTGGGTGCGGAAACAACTTGAGCTTCCAAGAAAATAGACTGTTCAGCTGAAGAATCATTAATTACTGTAAATGCTTGAGGTCATTTTCAGGGGACTATATCTTTCTTTGATGAACTAGGGCTTCAAAGTGTTTGGCCAAAAAGCAATAAGAAACAGTATGTGCAAAGTTGGACAGCTGGAAAAACCACATGTGTTTGAAACCTTTTTTGGGACACTCTGTATTATCCATATGCTCTTGGTGAACAGCTCTGAGGACGAAGTCTGGCAGGGAAAAAGCCTTCGGTCTTTGAAAGACAAACACTAAGGTTGTGACTGCTGATCAAACAATTGCACCTGCAAACCTTCCACGCATTGCCTTTTCAGCTTCATGCGTCGTTCATTCTCTGAACGAATCAGATATGGCCAACCAATTCGTCATGGACACAATGGACACTGCGAAAAAATGTCGCTGTTTGAGCTGGCATAAGTCCCAAGATCATATTATCTACAGCTAGCATCAGCTAGCGTGAAATTGTGTGAAGTACACAAAAAACAAAAGCACATCGAACCATTGCATGCTTCTCAGAGTCTCAAACAATCAACAATCACACAGAAAATAATAAGAAACTGAATATGGTTGACGCTTCCCAGCCCAACGATCTTAGACCAAGATCGTAGCAAAGAAGGCAAATTGCAGACAGGATGCCCTGTATAGAAATTGAAAAATGCTGTAAGGTTGGTCCCGCGGGTTGCAGAAGGCAAACTTTGCCGGTTGCAGAAACAGCAAGCCCAGTGCTGCTGAACCAATCAGTGCAGCAGGCGTGAACATGGTCTGGCTGAAGAAGCGAACCGCATCATCCTCGGTCAAGCGACCCTCTCTGTAGATCGTACTATACCCATAGGCTTTAATGGAGTGGACAATGTATTGTGCCTTTCTTCGCGTACGAACATCCTAAAATCATGTATGTCAGCAAATCAAACGCAGATTTTCCTATGGCAAAGCTCAGTCTTCGCATGTCATGATCCATCTGGATCAGCGTGATTCATAGATAATCTATTGTACAATAGATTTATCATGATTTATCAAGCTCAATTAAGGTCATCTTGGGATAGTTTCCCCAATCACCAGTTTTCGGTCCAGCATTAGCCAGCTATAGCTGCGAAATGCTGCGAAGCTCAGACCACTAAGCTCTGGTCCAGCTGGTCTTTGACCTCCGGTTTCAAGGGTTTTGACCAGTCATCTTGTTGTCCAAGATGCACACCGCCAGAGTATTCGGATCTCGCCTCGCCGACTCGCGCAGAATTTCTGTCTGGCAATTCATCCCAGCTAAACTCTGATCATCGCAGATATGTTTTGGACATTTTTGGACAAGATAGTCCAAGATAACTGAACCCCGTATAGTCATCATGCCAACAGGGCTTTAGCAGCCCTCGGTTGACACAACGGTGGTCCCCTGTGGTCCGTTGTCCAACCGGCAGCCCGATTAACTGCCAGCATCGGCCGAGGGATTTGGGTCAACCCACTAAGGTGTTGATCTCAGCAACATCGCTGGCCTGCACGTAGTCGTTTGTAAGATATATGGAAAACCCACAATTTGAAATTTGGATATCATTTTCATATATTTTCATAGGGAAACCTTTGGTTTTCCATATGCTACTTAAAGGACTGGAGGGTCCTCATATTCCCCAACAGATCTCAGGTCGTTGTCGTTGCCTGTCGTCTCACTCGCCGTTCTTCAAAGGAATTCAACGGTCTTCTGGCTGCTTGAGCGGCTCGCTTTACTGCTTCAGCCTCAATTGATGCCAATTCCTTCAGTTTTCTCTTCTCTTCCTCTCAAGAATGGGCAACTGGATGAAAGGGATAAAGCCTATTAGAACATTGCCCTCCTGTTCTCATCATGACCTAACCTAATATACATTCCATAGTCAAACACGGCTAGCTGGAAAATTCCCCATTTACTTCGATGATTTTACAGCCGGCTATGTTTGATGACACCGAAGATTATACATCCCATTAAATCCAATTACATTCCTATATAGAGTGCCATTAAACGTCATTAACCCCCCTTTTTTTATGATTGAATCCCCACTTGGAGAAACCCAGTCCTCTTCTTCGTGTTTTTGCTTCTGCCTTCTGGCCTCTTCCTGCTCTTTCTGCCGCTTCTGCCGTTGCTTCTCTTTTTCCTTTTCCTCCGCTGCCGCTTTCTTGGCCTCTCAGCTGGTTGAGCCGTGTTGAGGGGAAAGCATCAATGATTTGGGGATCATCATCCCAGTTTTCATCGGGGCGAAATATGACTTTGTATATCTTAAAAAAAACATGTTTGACACATTTCGAACCCACCAAGTCTCAACTCTTTGTACCCTAGGAAAAACCCTGGTTGCGGGTGTCTCGTTTCACTCCGCGGTCCTCAATCTCAGCTTCTTTGGCCCGGCGTTTTTCTTCGCCTGAAAAGAAACACCGCAGAGGATCCACTTTTCGGACCTCAACGCGGTGAAAAACGGGGCGGCTGAGGCAGTTCGACACCAGGACGGTAACGAGGAGGGCGCATGCGCGGAGCGGGCCGCGGGTCTGGGAAGCACAGGACCCCAGGGGCATCTTGATCCGATGGCTGTTGGAATCTGTTTGAATGGCATGGTCAGCCACAATGTCACAGGTCCAAACGGTGATGAAATTTTCCTGGATACTATCGAGAACGGGGACACAACAAACGTAATGCGTGAATTCAGTTTGGCATCTTGAGGTGCATTATATACCTATCCTGAATTCCGGCTCGGAATTGGCCATGCGCATCTTCACTTGGCTGACCGTCCCAATTACGTTGATTAGAATTTTCAAAGCTTCAAACATTCAGCAAGCTCAACCTTTAAAATTTGTTCAATCAGGCTAATTAGTAGTAACATATCTGGTAGTACAAGTAGCATATTTCAACTCTACTTCCAGCTATACCGGCTATAGCTATCCTCCAAGTGCTACCCTCCTTGAGTTGGTGACAAACAAACCACTGGCCGATTCAGCCGCAGAGCTGAACCTCTCAACGACGGAACGCTGCGCTTGGGGATGTAACTCAAATGTGTCGTTGCCCATCGTTTGTCCACTTAATATATAATTACATATTATATGTATCATATTATATCATATATAGATATTAATCAAATAAATATATGTATTGTATGTATCAAATCATTGATATAGCATTGATTATACCTTGTACACTTCATCTTGATCTTGATCCTTCTTGACTCCATGAACATGTAAAATTTAGACATCTCCGGAATGGGGGAGGCATTCATAAGCAATCGACCTGGGGATATGGCTCCAAGCCATGTTCTGACCTTGAGCAATGCTCAAGTGGAATCCCAGGGTCCAAATTCGCGTTGCAAACGTTTGGTCAATCTTAGCTGGTCCTTAGAGCCTTAGATGCAGTCGATTTTTGGCGTGGAATACCCGAATACCCAAGTGGTTTTTCCTACAAACAGGCTAACCTTGGAATCCCATGGTTCAAACACGTTCAAACAATAATATAAATATATAATTATATCCTTTACAATGGCAATAAATTGAAGCAAATCCCAATTTTTGGACAACCCCGAAAACTCTGTCTTTGCATGCTACTCACCGAGCTTAGGAAAAACTTGAGCGCCAGGATTTCCCATCGCAAAACATGGGATAGTGAGAAATTGAGAAAGGATGATCTAAAAATATCTAAAAGCTCTTCGAAACCTTCTGAAGCAGCCAGAAACAATCAGAAAACAATGAGACACATATAGTATGTTTCCATATGTTTCCCATGGCAGTTTGGCATCTTTTGTATAGACTTTATAGTTGATGCTACCATGTTTTCCCATGAAAACCTGTGGGATTTCGGGATTTCCCTGCCTGGCTGCTGCGGTGTTGGCCTCGGTGAGAAGAAGGTGGGTTTTTCTTCACGTTGCCAGACATTCAAAATGGTGGTTTAGACAGTTTAGACCGAAACTATATTCAAAACATGAATCAACAGAAATTTAAACATGATGTTTATTCACATTTATTCACAGACTTGTCAGATGAAGCAATACCATCCAATACCTTGATCATCAATGGTCCTAGATCCGATCGCTTCCAATAAATCCAAGAACTGATCTGTCGCGCCATTCAAACGATGGTTCCAAAGCGAATGAAACGTGTTCTGCCGATTTTGTATCCTGATCCAAACGATTCCAAACGTTGGTTCCGGTTTCCGGTTGCACTCCCTAGACTTCCAGTGTGCGCCTGACGGCCTGACCTGTGGCTCCCACAACCCGCAGGGCGCAGGTCAGGCCGGTCAGGCCGTCTCTTCCACAAGACCCATGTATAATATATGTTTACTGTGGAATAGTGGTAGGGCTGTGTGCCATACAAATGACCTGGGTCTTGAACCCTGACATTTTGGGGGTACTCAAAAAAAACCAAGTAGCTGTCTCTGACGTGGCGGCTTCTGCGGCAAACCTCCCAAGGGTTCGCATCCAAAGTCTCTCTGGGTTGGGATACTTAAAAAGAATCAGTGTTGTGCTTGAAGATTTTGAAGTGGACTAACAAGTAATAAACCATTATTCATCGTTGGGGGATCTGACCATGATCATTGCTCACATATTCACTTGTCAGTATTTCTCCATAGAACAGAAACAGGTGGGTTAGTCTGAAAATCGGCTACAACATTTGGTGCTTTCTCATCATTTTGCCTATGAAAGTAGCCATTTTGGGGATAGAAAATGCCCATTTTTCCAGGACTGAGCCGCCCGGCTGCTGTCCCTTTGTCCGCACAGTTTGCCAGAACCTGGGGAAGCCAGCGTCAAACAATGTCAGACATGGAGAAAGTGGTCAAGAAACACATCAAATGGGGACATAACCAGCAAAGATGTGGATCTAACATGTGGATCCAGTGGGGCTTGAACTAACTACAAACAAGAAACTGAGTCGATGCAGTAATGCTGCAAATAGCAGTTGGGCAACAAGGCCCTACAGATCTCTGCGGCGTATTTTGTCATCCAGCTGGCGTATTTTGTCATCCAGCTGGCAGTACTGTAAAGCTGGCAATACTGCAAATCCAACAGCACGGATAGGCCTGCCTCTGGGAAGTGCGTTGTTTTGGACATGGGAGGCATATTGGCTTTGTCTAACAGTAGTTTCCGCAAAAGTCTCAGTCTCATGGTATTATCATATGTTTTTCCCGCAAAAGTTCCAGATAGTGGGGTGTTGTATAATTGTACCATACCCCTCCATACCCCATGTTGAGAAAGAACTCTGTTCGGAAAACATGGTGACCACGACGGCAGACGGCAGACCCGATCCAACTGAAAAAAATCGGATGAGATCCCAACGACGACAAGTGGCTTTGGGCCTGGCGTCAAGCCCACTGTGAAACAAGGCTTCAAGGGTCTGAGAGCAGGGTGCGAATTATATAGTACCCTCTGGTAATTTAACATAGCTATGGAAAATCACCATTTTTTTATGGGAAAACTCACTATAAATGACCATTTTCAATAGCTATGTTAGTTTACCAGAGGGTACACTTCGACCTCCGGAACCTCCAAAAAAAAGTTGGTGTCATGACCGTTTATCAAAAATGTCGAATAGTTCTGAATGTTTCATGGTTTCATGATACTTCATGGTCAGTTTCAGCTTAGACCAACTCATCCATTTCAGTCACCTTCCCATCTGCCGTATCAGCCCCCTTGGGGCCCTGACTTGTTCAAAGGCCTCTTTCCGAGCAGGTGCAGTTTCGTGCAACCAGCTCTGAAGGGCTTGAGCTTTGTCCTGATTCCGCGGGAGTGGCTTGTTTTTTTGGAGCGTGGTCAATTTCTGCACTGTAGACCCTTGATGATCTTGATGTTCATCTGTATAGATCTTTGTAAAATTGCCACAAATCATGATTAAATCGAATCTCAGTTCGTCAATTCTAAGTGGCACTTAGATCGCAATTTACCGTTTTGATCTTCAAATATCCACATTGTCCCAATAAAGCCTAAAATCAATGGGAATACATCAAGTTTAATCCCCCCCAAAAGATATATATCCCCCATGTAAAGGTTCCCATCAACTCCCATTTTGATCCCGATAAAGCTTGTCAGATTTGGGCGTGGGTCAAAAAATGCGATCAACGGAACGGCGGATTTTAGACATGCTTTTCAGAATAGTATATCATCATGAACCATCTTTATATTGGTCATGGCTTCCATAGCCTTATATAACCAAAGAAAAATATCCTCTTAAGTGGATTATAATCCCATTAAATATCCATTACATACCATTAAATACACATTTAATCCATTCTTGGGGAAGATCTTCACAGTCCCAAGTCCGGCATCGACTCAACATAGCCCGCACCTGAACGATTTCAGAGGCCTGGCCCGCACGTTCAATGACCACTGGTGCAATCTTCTCCTGGCTGACACGTCACCAGGAAAATTGATATGAAAATCTTAACCGGAAACCATTGATTTTCCTCTGAAATATGGGTGTTTCCTGTAATTTTGCCCTTAAACCAATCCATTGACTCTACAGTCACTAGGGATTTGACATCACGAGGATTTGCTCATTGAAAACTCTGGATTTAACCAACACACTGCTGACATTCAACGGATTGGTTGAAGGGAAAAATCTACAGGAAAATATTGACCGGAACTCACGGGTTTAAGCTCCAACTACTGCGAATCATATGGGTTTCTTGAAGATGTTCCCTTTCAATTCTGCTAACGGTGGGGGCAAGGAACCAAAAACATACTGATAAAACTTCACGGATAAATATGACCCTGCGTTCTTTTTGAAACATATCGGAATAACTAATTTATGATCAGCAAGAAGAACAAAAACATCTGTGAGGGACTGCTAATTCATCACCAAAACTATGACTGTGATTGATCAGCAACAATGAATCGACCAAACCAAAACAGCAAAGCATACGAAAAAAACAAAAACATCTTAAGTTGCCTTTCAATATCTTTCAATTAAGCAAGAGCCGTGAATTCCAAACGGTAATGGTTCGGCCATTCGCCGAAAAAAAAAGTGGCGTCACGACATGAGGTCGTGGCAAAGTGTAATCCTTGAAACATATTGGGGCCCCCCATTGTAATCCTTGATATCAAGGGCCACCCCATATATGTCCCATTACATCCCAATTATAACACCACTTGATCATTTGGTTGGTTGAATCCACCATGTTTTTTATTTTTTTTCCATGTTTGTTTTTGTTCCTTGCAGGCTGATGTACCAAGGCCACAACTAATTTGAACATGGACGCTCGCAGCACCAAGAGATTGAATGGTTAAAAGATCTGGGGTCCAACATCTAGTCATCCTTTATAATTTGGTATATTCTTGGATTGGCCATACTATTAGCCATACACTAACCATGTAGGAACCGTTCTATATTAACCATACAAGTTTTAGTCGCAGTATTAGCCAATATTAGCCATATATATGCTAACCATAATTTAAGCATGCATATTATTGGTTAACGGTTAGATGTGATCAAAACACCCTTTGGTAATTGAACGGTGTGCTCTGGAAAATCAGCATTTATAGCTAGGTACAGTAAAACATGTCAGATCATCCAAATTTCCAACATAACCATAGGGGAAATCATCAAGAAATCACCAAAAATCATCATATTTAATATTATAACCCTATAATTATGATGATTCTTATGATCCTATAGTCAACATCCTATAAATTCCCTATTCAAACAAAAAAAAACATCAATCATCCTAGGGAAATCACCATTTTTAATAGCTAACTCATTGTTTTTATCATCTTCATGGACCCTGGCTGGAAGTTTCCCATTCTCTCGGTCTCAACGCCTGGATGTTCTTGGAGACTTCATGGCCCGCCTCGCTGGCCACGGCCGCTGCCTGGCAGCGCATGATGGAACATGTCCATGGTTATGGGTTGATAATTCATAATGGCCTTATCATGGTTGATGATGGTTAATGTACGTATGTTTTTGTACATAGTTAATATGGCATAAGCATGGTTCAACATCATGTGTTGACATGATTTCACTATGTCACTGTGTTCATCAGGGATAATAGTCGATGTTCGGGTCTCACATGGGTAATAATACATAATAATACGCTTGATACATGGCTCATCATACGGTCCCATACGGTTAATGATATGTTTGATTGATATGATTTCACATGGCTGTTTCCTAAGTCATGGGGGACCCCACGAAAACACGAAAAACCATGCCATCTCTTGGTCATAGAATGACCCGGGTTTTTCACCACCGCTTCAAGCTGTAGCCCCAGTTTTGACAAAGCTTGAGGGCAATCCGGGAGAAATATCATGTGAGAGTTCCAGCTAAGCTGGCACCTCTGAGGCTGCAGCAGCAGCAGTGCTCGCCTTAGGCACTCAACAATATCATCCTATAACCATGCTGATGTAGACAAAATATGGGATGTTCATGGATTTTCAACCATCTGACTTTTTGCGTGTTTCTTTTTTGTCTGAAAGTGCCATGTTCTATCATACTCCAGGATGACTGTCGTTCTATGCTTGAAAATAACATATAGATATACTTGAAACCGCCAACCAGTGGGTCAACTATAGTCATGTCTGATCAATTTGGGATCATGGTTGCATTTGTTGCGTTTGTTGGATGGCACATAATCCTTCAAACTGCCAGTCAGCTAGCCTTTTCAATCGAGACATGATGATCAGGTAGTACTCATGGATATAACCACCCTTTGGACAAAGCCATGTTTTATTTTTTTGGTTTGGCCATGTTCTTAACTTGCTGCTTTTGGTTCAGGATGGTGGAACCCAACTTGTACAATTGAATACACACATCACACCAACATCTTTGGGACAGGGGATCTAATGTGATCTAATGAGTTAACCCATACATAGATGAAACCACATTTATTGGGAAAGTCCTCAGATCGAGTATAACTTGGTTGACACAACTTGGAAGTAAATATAGTAACCCCAAAACAGAAGCTCTCACGGGATATCGGGTATCATGAAATACCATTCTACAATCTTTTACCGCACAATTTCATACAATTTTCCGGTTCCCTAGTTGTTCGATCTATTTTGTGATTGCTGTACTTCAATAATGATCAACTTTCAACTGTGGCTACCCTTCGTTTTGACCCCAGCATCGAGCTCCTGACCCACTCATTGATGTCGTCCATGACTTGAAGCCTAGGTGAAAACTAGACACGGCAACGCCCAACTGAAAGAGTTTGGCCTGGTTATATCTTGTTTATGACCTTCTTATGACCTTTTTGGGCCATGTTTGGCACTATCTATTATGGATTAAACTATAGTAATAATATGTTATAATATGGGTCTCTGTGAAACTGGGGTATACACCCAGTTTCAATGGTTCTTTAATGGGGAATAACCAGTGAGTTAAACCCCTGTTTATTTAGGGCCACCCTGGGCCACTTGAGCTAGATCCCCTCCAGATCCTCTCCATGCCTTCTGGGTGGAAAGATCGGCTCTTGCTCCCCTCGTCGTTCGAAGGCGCAAATGGCATTTGCCTCGACCGGCTTAGGCACTGGTGGGCGAGTGGACTATCTGGGTCGAAATGGTGTCTGGTCTTGTTGGGAAAGTCCATATGCAGGATGTACCCTCCCTTATATAAATTGAAATAGAACCTTCCACCACTTCCGGGAGATGGTGATTTCAGCCCATCTCAAAAATGTGAAACGCATCTGCGAACATCATCTCAAGTCTCAAATAGAGGAGAAAATCATGAACACATGAAACCAGAAACCATCTTTTGGGTCCAACTCTGGTTTCATTCACGACAAGATTCTCAAGAACAGCGAGCTCGGTTTGGGATAGTATGGACATCATGCATCTATGGATTGCTAAATGGGGGTGGAATCTCACTTGCGCCAGCTGCCACAGTGTAGCTTAGCAATTTGGCACTTCCAAAAACAGGCGGAAATAGGTAGCCAAGATCTGAATTTCATGCTTCCCGTATCCCTCAAAACAAAACCTTGCCAAAGGAGTGTATCGGGCCTTAGGTTCTATCTCACAACATCTCACAACTGATGGAGGTGATTGAGCCACCAAGCCGTTTGCCGCTTTATTGCTCGATGTTGGTTACATACAAATTAGACCTGATCTCAGGTTTGTTGCTTGAACAAATTGAATCCCCATCTCCTTTTGGTTAATCATGTCATTTTCAATCAAAAAATATTGGGATACCCATGGATGCCCCCAATGTTTGGAACATGTTTCTACTTCAAAACAAAAAAAACACAGGTTAATCATAGTTAATCTCCATCAAGAATCTTGGGATGCCCAATTTGGGGAACATTTCACCTAACTTTGGCGCCGGTGCGGGCTGCCCGGCTCGCTTGAGTAATTCCTCGAAGTCAGTGCCACGAGGGCCCGCTTGCATGATCTGGAGCTTGATGGGAATCAATTGGATTCAGAAAAAGGGTTTACCCTCTGGTAAACCTACAAAAAACTATAGAAAATCACCATTTGGAATAGGTAAATCAACTATTTTCATGGGCCATTTTCAATAGCAAACTGTTAAATTACCAGAGGGTATAAACACCAGGTATCTCCAGATTAAACCTGGGTATATGGCATGATTATACCGGCAATTGGAGTGATGATGAGGATGAATTTTCAAGGGGTTTACCCGAGGAATGGCTTGGGGAATCCCTATTTTTTTAGAGACATCAACTTCTCCTGGAATTGTTTTTATTTGGGGGAAGTTGAGGTTTTCTGGTTGGTGGTTGAGCCACCCCTCTGAAAAATATTAGTCAACTGGGATCGTTATTCCCAATATATGGAAAAAAAAATGTTCCAAACCACCAACCAGAAGATCATTGAAGCGTGTGTATCTCGACATGTCGTACAGGTCAGTGCTTTGGGGTCTTGTTTGCTGTGTAGTTCTGTACTGTTCCAGCATGTTAGGCATGTCACCAAGAACTTGTGATGAAGCAGCATCCCAGCCTCTGCAAGGGAAAACTGCTTATCTGTGGCCAGCAATGCCTCCCTCTTTCCGAGAATCACCGCGACGCAAGTGCAAACCACGAACCTCAACATGAGCTGCTGGGATTCACATGATGCTGGCAGCTGGGTGAAGCAACCCCAACCAGCAATACACCAGAATTAGTTTTTATTCTCCCTCTCTCACCAAGAAACGGAGAAACCCGAAGTCTGAGGCGCAAACGCATATCGGTTTGGATCTGCAATAAATGAATCCCACAGTCGAAGGACATCAGGTAGAGTCGCATCCTTGGGGTGTTTTTAAAAGCGCTTAAGCACGGAGAAATGCCGTTTTTTTTTGATTCCTGCAGTTTGGACATGAATGGTACAGTGGATTGATAGATATACTAAGTCTTAGCCAAAGCCTCAAATCTTCATCTTCAGGGTGTCAATGGATTATGAGTTCTATACCACTCTATCGCCACACAATATGCATGTTACTCTAGGTTTCTTCTGAATTTCCTAATCATGTGCATCCAATCCAGTCTGGCGAAAAGACTATCATTCACCAAACTAAAATGCTGAGTCGAGTTGACTTGGGTGATATTTTCCCTTTCCAACCTTGTTTTTGGTGTTTTTGTGTTGGGCGGGGGCCTGTTTTTCTGAGTCCCTTGCCTGCGCAAAGAGAACCTTGGATGTGTCGCAATTTGCATGCTTTTGCACGAGACTTATGACTTCTCAAAAATTGCGATTTGCATTTACTGAAGCCTAGACCCCAACTCCAAATACCCCCAAAAAAAATTGTATAAACGTACTAAAGAACATGGGGTAAACACAAATTTTCAGGGTACTTTGGGGGTCTCCGGTCTTCAGTATGTCAGATTACCAAAGATCAACGCAAGAATAGCGGCATTACCATGAAAGTTCTTGATGTTTAGATTACGCAAGTCTCGCAGTACCCTCTGGTTATTTAAGATAGCCATGGAAAATCACCATTTTTAATAGGTAAACCATCTATGTCTATGGGCCATCTATACCATGGCTATGTTAGTTTCGCTAAATGCTGATCCTGCTGTCAAACATGGCTGGCTGGGAAATCACCATGGAGGAAAATCATCTGCCGCCGATTTTCCAGCACGCCAAATTAGAGTACCAGATGGTACAGAAACACCAAAACAAGTCGGACATAGTTGCGTATCAAGCAAACAAACTTGAATCATCTACTATGAGACGCCCAATTCTCGGCTTCAATCTTTCAAGCCATGGCTGGGAAAGCCCAATTTGATGATGTGTGCGCCGGCTCGGGCCTCGAGTTTTTCAAGACTCTTACTGTGGCTTTTAAATGGGTATAACTGGTATAACCATGCTGAAAAAAACCTCTATAAGTTGGGATATCAGGTGCATAAGTATTAAATGATTAATTATGGTATATTATGGTTATGTAACATTATGTAACCCACTTACTAACTGGAACTGCACCCCCAAAGACTAGCGGCTAGTACTGTATGATGCTCCAGTCACTGGACCAGTACTAGCTCGGTGCAAGTGGCTGTACACCAGCGCAGGACAAACACGAAGAGAGACAGCTCAGCCTTGTGCAAATGCCTGTGAGCACGTGGGGGTTGCATCCCAGCTAAGTCAAAAAATGACAACAACCGATTCAAACAACCCATGTACTTTTTGTAACTATATATAAAAATACACAACTGGGGATGTTCTAGAGATAGTTGAGTTATAAACACTGTATATCAAAATGTATATTGTATGATGTACCTAGACTATCACAGTACCAGCAGCATACATCCCAAAAACATGCCGGAGAACTATCCAAGTGCCATCCCAAAATCTGCGCTTTTCGCTGCCTGGCCAGCTGAGGGTCGTAACCTTGGTGGACCATCGTTTTTAGGCAGACATAGAGGGGAGATTCAAGTGTGTAAATATTTCCTTCAACCGATTCTACCACCCGAAAACTCAGATGGAAGCTATATGAACCTATATTAATCGCCGTCTCCAAGGGAAAAATCATCCATACCCCATTGGATTGGGGGTCCATTAAATAATCTTCAGGAAGGTCCTTACCACCAGCAAAACTCCGAATCTCAGAGTTGCGCTGACTCAAATACCTTTACCATACCATAGCTCGATTTTGACTATCCTTCATGAACATCAAATGTCCCAACAGAAACAGTTGCTTATAGCAACCAGGGTCTCTTCCCTCACCTCAAATCCAATGAAACAAACAGTTGCTTTCTTAAGGTAGGGTTGCCCCAAAAAAAACCAAAGTTTATCATCATTTCCTTCATGAAAATGGCAATAGATTGGGTGCCCAAAACACGCGTAACACGCGTCTCCAAGAGGCTTCTGAGCATTCGCGAGATTTCATCCACCATGCCATAGACTCCTACCATCGCAGCGCTGGATTTATCAAAAAAATGGATACGCCTAAAGACATGCCTTTGAACAAAAACATGCTTTCCCATAGAAAATGCAGGTTTGTGCTGGTACACACCCCCTGTTTGGAAAACCCTCTTTGAAACACAGAATCTCTAGTTTGTTTTTGATTAGTTGGAGTGGCTTGTGACCGCTCTCCCACTTCCAATCTTTCAAGGCCTTCACCGCTATGATCCATCGTTTGCATGAAGCCTTCTTTGATTTCCTGAGATCAAAGAAGGGCGTGCCGACCACGCGGACACACAGTAGTTCTCCGAATGGGGGATGCTGTGCAGGTACCAGGCCTGCCACACCACTCTTTTCCTAATTTAGAAAGATTAAGAACGGATGAACAAACAAATAGAAATATTATATGGTTCTGATTGAGACAACATGGTAAAATACCATTTCAGGCACCGGTGAATCATCATTTTCCCTATATCATTTGGTTGCCGGGGGCACCCGCCAAGAATGGGACAAGAATCTCAAAGATCCCTGCTACTCCAGGGCCCTTCATCCGCAGTTACAGAGCCCTTTACCAACTATCAATGGTTTGAAATGGGTCATATGTATATTATATATATATATATACATATACATTCCATGAAAATGGGGTCATATATATATATTCATATATAACTGGCTTATAACATCTTATAATATCTTATGATATTTCGGGCCATAATAATCTTCCGCCATCTCCCCGCCCAATCATCTTCATCATCACCGCCCAAGACTCCACCATCATCTCGGAGAAGCACCAGAAAGCATCGCTTTCCGCTGACTCAGGATCCACTGACATGACGTACAGCAGGACGGCAGCGATCTCATTCATCCCTGCAAGCAAGCTGCCACCGCTGCCAGGAACCATCGATCTGCTTCCCATGATGATGATGATGATGATGATGATGACGATGACGATGACGATGATGATGATGATGATGATGATGATGATGATGATATTTAATGGTATTTAACTATGTATTTATGAATAATATGTCATATATGAACTATATTACATATAATAAAATAATGGTATATAATTTGATATAATGGAATATGGCATATCGTAACGTTTATATTATGAATACTAATGCCACATAGTGGGATACTGATGAGATCATGATGGGAGAATCATCGGGATGCTGAGAAAATAGTGATTTAATGATGGGATAATATATGATCACTATTAATAGTGATGACGTGATTAATAATCATTATAACCATTATTAACCATTATTAATGTTACATCGACAATAGTAAAGGGGGGTCCCCCCCTATTTTTTTTTTAGGGGGGGGGGGTCTGCTTTGCAATAGTAAATCGAAAATCCAACTCTTCCCCAAAGGCTTCTGTAAGGTTTTGACAAATCCTCTCTTTTCTGATGGGCTCTGATGGGATCTTCATTGGATTCTGATAGGAAGAAGGGAAAAAATGCCTGCTAGAGCCAGGAAGGTTGTTTCTTATTGCAAGTGCTAATTCCAGTTTTTAATTGCAAATGCAAGGACCTGCAAGGGGGTACCCTTTGTGGACATGTTTTTTGCATTTTTTTAAATGGATTTTAATAAAGAAAACAACTTTTTTGAACAAGGTAAAGTTTTTTGATTTGGTAAAGGTTTGCTTTGTTTTTGCTTTTGAAAAACATGCAATCACAATTAAACACTATTCAACCACAATTAAAAACACTAAGGAAGAAGGGAAAAAATACAGCTGAACTGTAACTGGTTCTGATTTTTTTCCTGCATCCATACTAAATCTCAATTAGCTCCTTTACAATTTAGTATTGGAAAATCTGATAATTTGGGAATTTTCTGAAAATTATTTGTAGCTATTGCGAATGAACCACATTTATTGCAGATGCTCTGGACCAAGGTTGATGTTTGCAATTTAAAATCAATAAGGCCTAATTTAAAATCAATAGGGGCTGAAAAATATATATTCTGAAAATTATTTGTAGCTATTGCACGCGCTTTACTATTGTCCATCCAACATTAATCACTATATAAGTAACTGATTCATGATGGTTACTGTGGTAAACCCAACTATCAACCAAACTATTTGGGATGATGTAAAATGACTGCCAAATGGTGATCGGGATGGTTTATGTCCACCCAAAAAGATAGAAAAGTAAAAATCTACTAGAATAGAGGTAAAACTTTCTATCTTTAATTGGTTACTATATAGGGGTTTCACATACTAGATACATACAACATTGTCATGTGTCTGTTTTTCCTTGCCATGTTTCACATATTTCATTCGAAAAGGATTTGCAGTTTCATTTTTTCAGATCAAACCAGCTGGACCCTCCCTTCAAGGTATATTGCTATGCGTCAAAACCCTGGCACACTCTTATTTCGAATAGCTGGTCAATGTGTATCCCCCCAGTCATAGGGGTAATTTCAGAGGTAACTTGACCCCTTCCCCATACCGATGTCGTTTCGCCTTGCACGTAGCGCACGCCCGGATTCAGCTTCGCGTAGACGAAGAGCAGCGCCGTGAGCGCCGCTTTGGTCCCCGGCCGGCGGAAATATTCAAAGTCTCGACGTGTCCTCTCGACGTCCTGAGCGGAACGAACAACGGGGCGTTTGTTGAGAAAAATGGGGTATACCCCGCCCCTGTTTATCACTGTATATGCCATATATTGCCTTATCAACTTCAAATGGTAATTTTCAGCATTGTATATACTATTAATTATGTTCTATTATGATATATTATTATCTATTATATATATTACAATATATTATACTCCATGGTGGGACACACTCGAAGCATGAAGATGGTGATTGGATCTTGGTCAAGATTCGGATTTTCATCAACAAAAATGGGATTTAAAGCCTAGGATGGTCTCTTGCGACCATGATTTGGGAACACTGGAAGTTGGGTGCCTCCTAAAGTGGTGGTTTTTTGAAGCGTTGAGTGGTGCCGTCTCAGCTCATCGACAATGTGTCAACATATCTCTGAAAAAGACTCTGCATATCTCTGCATCATGATCTTCTCACAACAGAGTTTCCATTTTTGTTTAACCCTTATATACCCTTATCATCTATGGCCAATAAGGCTAATATATTCCTCATGACAAGCATGGTCAAACATGTACAGTACCAGATCTCAACCGATCAAAGATATATTCTGTGGTCGACCAGTGCCAAGGTTAAGCGGTTAACCCATGGATGCCCATTATTTGGACCCAGCGGCATTTTTGATTTCCTGTAAGAGCTCCTCATCTGCAATGTCGCTGCCTGCTGACCAGGAAACTGAGACAGCACTGTGCTGCTATAGCTACAGAGTACTACAGGTGTCCGGGCTCCGGAGAGAGATAAAAAGTCGTTCGTGGTATACCTACCCCTCTGAAAAAATATTAGTCAAATGGGATTATTGTTCCCAATATATGGAGAAAAAACATATTTCAAACCACCAACCAGAGAAGGTCGTTTGTTGGAAACCTGAATGTTAGGTGAAATCCATCATAATCCAACAAATATCCTTCCTCAGAATATTCTTGATTGTTGATAAATCATCATAAATCAACATAAATCATCATATCATGTTTATTATAGGTAATTAATCAATCATAAAAATCATCATTTTCTGATGAATTCTTCTGAAATGTCCGGGCCAACCACCACCACGCCAGCATCAAACCTGGACTTCGGGGTCCATTGCGAATGGAGACCTCGGCCGTGGCGCTGATCGTCAGCAGCTCGCTACGATAACTGGCGTAGAGCGCACGCTTCTCGCCTTCCGGATGGGAGGAGCTGGACGGTATGGAGATGGGATCTTAATATATCTTAATGTCTGAATGGATCTCCATTAATCTCCATAATCAATATGAATCAATGGAGATCAATTAATGCCATGTCTGTTTGGAGATGGTTTGTCTTTGGAGCTGAATGTTAGTGATGAATGGATCTCAAGACATAGACATCAAGAATCATCAAGAATCATCAATAATCATCAATAATCATCAAGACATAGACATCATTCATTGATAGTGTAATTTTCCCTATAATAATGAATACAAAACATGTGATTGTCATATATAAATAATATACAATACTGATTGATTTCATGATTTAATATGTGTTTTTTAATGGACGAAGTATAGGACCGATTTGGTGGATCGAAATTGGAGCAAACACATCCAAAATTAAAATCCATCACTCTCTTTGAGGAATTCCGGATCAACCAAGCTTTTCTTAAGGCCCTCATCATATACTCAAACCAGAGTTAAATCGAGCTGAGATATCATCCTCTCCAACCTCGGATCGCAACGTCCGGTTTTGATGCACCTTGGATCGCATTCCACTCGTCGTGGCGCTTCATTGGAAGATATCCCAGGAGAGCCTGCGGATGTGGATTCACCCTGACTCTGATGGATTGGGTAAATCTCATCATTGATTTCCAGAATGTTACCCTCTGGTTATGTCAAAATAGCTATTGAAAATGACCATTTTTAATGGGAAAATTCCACTATAAATGGCAATGTTCAATAGCTATGTTAGTTTACCAGAGGGTATCCATCACGCTGATGGACTCTGATGGACTCAGCAAATCGTGAATGGATTTCTGTGATGAAAAAGGTCCCGTAGCTTTTTTGAGCCACACCAACATGGAGATTTTTCATCACAGATCGAAGAAAGAACTTGAAGGACCCGGCGTAATGTTAACTATTCCATCAAAGGTCCATCCCAAAAAATGTCCAGGGTCCCAGTTGAGTCTTCCTATAGACATCTCTACGATCCCTACACAACAAAGTGCTGTAAACCTAATAAACCCTAAACATCCATCAATCATCCCCAATATCACACATTATACGGGTGCAGTTCTTTATTATGACAACCAAATCATGGATGATGTTTGATCACCAAAATATACAGTTCAACAATGTTCAACATATATTACTAATGTGGGTAAAACGATGCCATAAACCATGCATAACCATGCCCCAGTCATCACCACGTTTATAATGTTTATAGTTGGTATAAACCATTCCCAGTCATGGGTGGTTTATATTGGTTTATAAACATTATAAATTGGTGGTATATAGTTGCTGTGTGGTTATATAGTATAGTTGGTATAAACATTCCCAAGTGGTATTAACAGATTATTCACCAACTTGGGAATACCAACTAAAGAATATCTGTTTACCCACAGATAAACATTCCCATTAGTGGCCCATTGTTTTACCCACAAGCCAGATTTCTTCACCACGACCGACCGACATGGCCTTCCAAACTTGTGCCCGAAGCTTTTGATCCTCGGGCAATCCTCGAAAGGCCAGCAGCCGCAGCAACCGGTCGCTGCCGTCCTGCCCCGGTCGCGACCCGTTTCGGTGTGGAGGGGGCAACACTTCCAAGGACCTAACTTAGGGGAACCATAAATGTTGGATGAATTTCGACTATATTTCGACTATTCTTAGGATTCAAAAAAATTAGATCAATTTGTTTGAACTTGATTTTGGTCATTGCGGATGGGATTTTATCCAAAGTCCTTGCACTGCTCTTGGCCCCTTACAAGTATTCAAGAACGACTTGATGTTGGTGTAACTTGACCCATCCGCATCTTGATTCAAATCCACCAAACCTGCTCATCAATCAAAATCATTGCCCCCGCAATTTTGCTATCTATCACTTAAGATTAAAACCCAATTACCAACGGGTCCTTGTTCAACCCCAAACTTTTAGGGTTTGAACTTACCTACCAAATAGCTAACCCAGAAAATCATTAAGTTTTAATCCTAACTGGTTGGTGGTATACCTACCCCTCTGAAAAATCATGGAGTTCGTCAGTTGGGATGATTAGTCCATTCCCAACTGTTTCTGGAAAGTCAAAATCCAGCCATGTTCCAGTCACCACCAACCAGTATATCATGGATTTTTGATGATTTTTGGATATTGCACTATAATAATATATCTATAATATATCTAATATGGATTCAATGGATTCATATGGAACATATGGGAATAATCATCGTTTTCCCAGGCTTTCCTATGGATTTCCCACTTTGAATCCAGAAAATGCTCCTGGGCTCCACGTGCCACGGCTCGACTGAGCAGTTCCGTGCGGGTCACCGAGAGGCCCTTGGCCAATAAGTCGTGACGGACCTGCGTGTTTACACAAGCCGGGGATCTTGGAAAAGAAACCAAAGAACAAACAAGAGTCATCATTCCCTTAGCACTATAGATATCTATAGATCTATAAAATATATTAAAATATCTATAAATGCCAGTGGCTTGGAAAAGAAACCAAAGATGATTTTCTTTTTTTAGTCATCGTTGAGTGAGGAACCACTATAGATGTTACTAGATGTTTAAGGTGGCGGTGGCACACAATTTTGTTTTCACGGTAAAAGGTATTGAGTTGATTGGTCCGATAATAGATCTGGGAAATGTTTGTTAGTTTCTGTCTCAAAATCTGTTATGACATGTTTTTCTCATCAGTTTGATAAGACTGAAAAATATCATGAGAAACCAGAACGCAAGATGAGTATGGATCAATAATGAGGTACCAATTTCATTTGCTGGTGCTATTTTATCCTTCAAATGGGCATGCGGCATGAGGGAAAACGATGGAAAACAGTAGTACAGGAAACCGTTGATTTCTGCCAGCCAAAGATGGGATTCTGTCAAAGGCATGTTCAGTGGGATCAACATAGGCTATGACCAAAATTCGTCCCCTTGGCCCTGAAATCACTCATCCGCCGGCCCTCGATGGCGCCTCAGCCATTGCCTCTTCGAGTTCAGTCCGCAGCTCCTGACCCGGAAAAAAAAATCGGGCCCGGGCCTCTGAAAATTGGCACATGGAACCCCCTCATCCAACCACCACAATGGGATTCCAAACATTCAATATTGGGTACTACCTTCTACCTTCGGTCGACAGATAGAACACTTTTTCCAGGATGATGTAGCCAATATTTGCCTCACAATTTCCGAATTTCCAAGTGTTCAATCCATTCAAGCTTCTACCTCTACTCAAATTCCAGAAGGTTGATCATCATATCCCACATGCAATGGCGAGCTTGGAATATGTTCCATGGTTTTTCTCATTTCAAATCCACCTAGCATTGCATGGCTCAATAAAAACCAAGCCGTTCAGCATTGATGTCACATCCAGATTACCCCAATAACTTCAGCCAACCATCCAACCATCCCCAGTATCTATTGAAATATGGCCATAAATTAAGAGTCTCGGCTATCCATATTTCCCCCATGAAAAAATGGTGCCATAATGTAACATAAAGGGCCATAATTGCCATAATGTAACATAAATGCTGCCCAATTTCTATTGGTTTAGGGTATCCATGGCTATCCATGGCTTCCCATAAAAAAATGGTGCCATCATGGTGCCATTTTCCCATAAGATGTGGGATGAATCTCCGGAATCTGAGACAAAGGCATCTGGGTTGCCCTCTGGTAATGACTAACAGTTTGCTATTGAAAATGGCCATAGAAATAGTGAGTTTTCCCATAAAAAATGGTGATTTTCCATAGTTATGTTAGTTTACCGTAGGGTAACCCCATCCTTGTGACTGTACTCATATGGAGAGCTTTGGTACAACGTTCTGGACAACAACTCGACGGCTTCCACGGGCGGCACGTTGTACCTGAGCCGACGGATTTTTGGAATCTGGCCTAAAAACTAATCATAAATGATAAATTGATGGGAATAAATTCTCATGTCCCAAATCCAGATAATTAATCAATATTAAACAGGCATAATTGGGAATAGCTATGGGAAAATGATCGGACAGTCATTGGAGGTAGGGGTCTGTCTGGATGGGACCTCAAAAAAAATGGCAACTTTGATGGGATGATAAACCATCACATGTCATCCGGGATATCCCAAAACACTTATGTTTTGATAGGTGTTTGATAGGTGCAATGATAAGAAACATGTGTTTATTTGGGAGTAGCCTGGCCTCAAGCATCCCAAAAAGGGGTGTTCAAAAAACATCAGCCCATACCCACAGTACTTCCACAGTACTTCAGTGACAAACAACCATGTGAGCTTTAACTGGGCAACATCAGAGTTGTTTATGTTTCAACCATCAAGAAGCAGGTTGTGTTGACGTCATTGATGTCAGCACGAAACCAGTCATCCAAATTTACCCCAGTCACTCAACTAACCACATACACTATCACATATTTTCTATATTACAACACAAAAACAAAAAAGACACATGTCACATGTCCCATGATTTTCATCCTCAAATGGCTATTGGTCAAAATCCTGGTACTTTTGGTGAAGCCCAAGTCATAGCTGGGATTTATGGATGTTCATCCCACTAAAAATGTATCTATAGGTATTGACCCATACCCAGATCTGTAGGTGAACATCCCCACGAAAGAAACACGGAAAGGTCGAGTCATGTCGAGTCGCTTGATGGCCAACTGTGCCCAGAGGTGCACCACATTGGCCCCACGGTACTTGGCCACGATGGCGTTGATGTTCGCCAGATTGTTGGCCCTGGCTGGGGCTGGGCTTGAAGCGATCGGCGATCAGCGTATGGATACCATGATTTCACCAATATTGAACGGTGAACTATGGAAAATCACCATTTTTAATGGGAAAAACTCACTATTTCTATGGCCATGTTCAATAGCAAACTGTTAGTTTACCAGAGGGTAAATATGGGTAAATGTACATTATGTACTGTACATGCATACATGTGTTGGGATATTTCATGGGATGTAATGGATATTTGGACACAACATGGAATCTAACAAAAAACATCTGGATGTATCTGAGAATGGAGTATGGCCATCCCAACAGTTGTTCAAGATGTTTCGGACCGGTGGATGGGGTACCCCATTTTCAGACAAACCCATCAGTCGGATAACCCCACTTAGGGACTTTCCAACCTGAGTTATCAGTCAGTTGCCGGGTTATCAATGAGATGCTAAGATCTTATTATTGACATTCACGGCGTTATTTGAGATTTATTAACATCAATATGTATAATGACTTTCCAAGCAAGATATCCTAATATCAACCTAGTACGGTATGTTCAATATTAACATTATCCAATCATGATATATCATTGTCCCATTATGTCCAATTCATTCCCAGATGATTCTCCCATTCTTCTCCGAACAAAAAACATCCCATTCTTCTCCCGTTTTTTTTTTTGCCTGTTCCGCCAGTAGAAGTCCTCCAAGGTTTCGTGCAACATGCGATCCTCGGTGGAAAACTCGGCAGGCGGCGCCGGCGCCATTTGAAGCGTCTCGTCCTGCAAAACATGACATGCGACAGGTTGGATTTTTTTCACCAGGAAAAAAAACAAAAAAATACCCTCTGGTAATTTAACATAGCTATTGAAAATCACCATTTTCAATGGGAAAATCCACTATTTCTATGGCCATTTTCAATCGCTATGTTAGTTTACCAGAGGGTACTAGTAAACAGGTTGGGTTTTGGGCAATGGTCTAATGATTGGGTAATCATGAGTAATCCATAAACATCCATAAACTATATGGGGAATACCTCGATATGATCAGATACTATCCAAAGTTCATGCGGAAAGTGTGGATTGGGACTGCACCAGACAGCGGAGTGGATGTGACTGCACCAGAGTAGATGTTCATGATGGTGATGGTGGTGATGATGATGATGATGATGATGATGATGATACAAGTAAACACGGTACAACTTGATATCACGGTCTTATATATATGTATACTATATATATATATATCAATGTATGATAGCACACGTTTGTTTATGACGATAAGTACCTGGTGAACCAACCACTGTCCATGGCTCAGCTCACGGCTCCTGATGCGACGGCTCGTGATCGCTGTGATGAGCCTCGTCAGAACCGTCGCTGTCCATTCGAAATATCGCAGCCTCAGCCATTTTCAAAAAGACTTTTTCGGGGGAGCGTTCTCAAAAGTCTGGCCACTGTGAAAAACCAGCAAACCAAGGCTAAACCAAGGTTCAACAATGTTCAACATATTTCTTCTATTATCTTCTATTATATTGTCTGAAAATGGGAGATACCACAATGGTTTCAATGGGAAAACACGTGTTCTAACCATGAAATTTTTGGGGTACCCCATGTTCAGACAAAACCATACAGTTCCCAAGGGAACAGCCATGCTGCTCAAATCTTGAAGAAGATAAATGTGCATGGACATCCTTGTGAGGAGCCAGAAAACCATCCTGGCTGAAATCACTTCTTTCAATTGCTTATACATTGTTTCTGGGTGATTTTCCCCAAGATTCTACTCAAATCTCGTTTTTAAGAAAAATCAACGCTTAAGTTTCTTATTTTTTTCACCAATTTCCCCGTGGTTTTCAATCAAATCCACCATATCTCGTCCTTGTTTGACCTTCAAACGTGGAGACCCACCGGATTCTGCCCCGTTGCGCTGGTGACGTTGCCGCCGCTGCCAGCAGCGCTGCCTGCGCTGCCAGTGGCGGAGGTCGCTGCATCGAAGGTATCGACGCTGTGGGCCTGGTAGCGTCGCTTGGGCCCTGAAGAGTGCAAAACATGGCTCTGAAATGGAGGATTCAGCATCGACAACTAGGGGTTAGATGGGATTTGATGGGAGTTAGATGGGATCTAATTGGATTTACTTGGAATATAATAGGAGAATCAAACATGGTTATGAAAGTCCCGAAGTAAATGGAGGTTTGATGGAAAACTTATCGATCAAACTGGAGGATTTTCGATTGCCATGTGTGATTACCAAAGGTTAATGCATTGATTTGGGAAAATCTACAGGGTAAAACTCATGGTTTTTCTACGCCTACACAAAGGTCGGGCCACACGATGATCAATCAATGATCAATATTGCTGAAACGTTCCAAAACAATCGCAAGACATAGCATCACCAGAAGTATCATGTTGTTGGCAAAGATTTTGTAATATTTTGTAGCTCCTTGGCCCCCCGTTGAGTAGGGACTAATACCCATAGCTCCGCGCTGCTCCCTCCTAACAGCTGGTGGGACATCCAATAGCTTGAAAGGGGCTGGGGGAAATAAACTGCTGCTGGTTGGTGGTATACCTACCCCTCTGAAAAATATTAGTCAGTTGGGATGATTATTCCCAATAGATGGAAAAATAAAAAATGTTCTAAACCACCAACCAGGCTGATGTTGATCTTATATGTTTGAGGTGTAAAAGCTTAAACCTCAAACGCGGCTTGATATGGAGGCTCTGGGTAATGGAATTGACGGGGATATTTTTGAGGTACATTTTGCTCCACTCCCAAGAGTATGTAGAGCCTCCAACTCAGCAGTTCAGGGAATGGATATGGAAAGTCTTTGGGACGATTCCAGATTACAGCCTGACGGATACCATCCCTCCAACTAACATGAGTCCCTGACTAAATGGGAGTTAGAAGCCTACTTTCCTCTACAAACAAAAATGATACAATTCTTGGACACTCTTAGGATCTAAGAATCTAAGCGTCTGGTGGTTTCCTAAAATAGGGGTACACCTAGTATCCCCTAGTTATCATCCATTTATAGATGGATTTCCCCTTATAAACCATCCATTTTGGGTACCCCCATTTATGGAAACCTCCAATTGGGATGGCCCTGTTGCGGAGATGAGAAATCAAAGCTCCGCGCCTTTGGAACGGATTGTTTTTCCGGCACCTGACGAATCTGGGGATTGGACTGGGCCAGCTGGTGAAACAAATCACGTCAGAGTGCCATACGTCAGTGCCCAAAAAAAAAACATTAATGTGGTTAAAACAATTTTTACACCCATGACTGGGAATGGTAACCATACCACCGATAAACATGGTGATTTGGGCGATGATTTATTATTGTTTTAACTTTTTAACCACATTCTTGATCCAAACATGTCAACTTTACAATGTGTTCAACGTCCTTCTGGTACTCAAAGCTGGTGTGATATAACATATCCTGATTTGATTTGGGTTACCAAAATATGGTGTGACAAAAATACATACAACACCTGTACCCTGTGGTAAACTGCTCCATAACTATGGAAAATAACCATGTTTGTATGGGTAAATCAACTATTTCATACTATTTCTATGGCAATTTTCAATAGCAAACCGTTAAATTACCATACAAACCGTACTTGTTTTGTAGGTATAAAATGGTATAAAAGAGTTCGAAATCGCGCTTCGAGATATCGCCAACATCGCCTCCTTCACCGCTGGCGCAGCTGCAGCCTGGCTCCCAGCAAACACCCAGCTACTCCATCCAATGGGGAGGTGGTTACGTGTTAAATAGTGAACTGGAGATGATATATATTCACAACTTACTCTGCAAGTTAAAATAGACCCTTCCAGATAGGGGTTGGCAAATATGATTAGTTTCCACTCAAAATGGCTTGTGTTCAGGGGTCTATGTTACTTTACCAGAGGGTATATATCAACGTCAGGGGGCCATAAAATAGTGCTGGAATTTCCTAATCATCCCCGGAGTTGAAATATTTCTGCCTCCACCTCCCTGGGCGGTGGATCGAAGACTTCCGGCGCTTTGGCTTCCTTCTTGGGACCTCAAAATCAAACGGCGTTCCCAAAAAATGTGGGATGCCATACCCAAAATCCACTGGGGAAAATCATCGTCATATGATGCCCCATAATGTAAATGCCTATCAACTGGGGCTATAATTACCCCATTTTAGATATTTTAGACACAAGCAAATCGTCCAACTGCACAACCAGCGGTTAATAATGCTATGTCATGGCCATCATGGGATGCACTAATATGTGGAGTTACAGGAGATTGAGTTTGTTTTGAATTCAAGGGATGTTGAGGGAATTCGCCGTATGTTACCGTATGTTTTCACCTTTTGTGCATTTGTCTGGAAATCTCTAGAATAAAGCTGGACTTGTCTACCTTGCCCTGTTTCACGAGCTGAAAATGGAGACCTGAACTCCAACCAAGCAATGGCCAAATTATGGTTGCCTATGGGTTTGCTCAAAAATGGTGGTCACATATTGTTAAACTATGTGAAGTTTACATTGTTTATCCATGTTTCAAATATTTCTGAACAGTCAGAAGGCCGCAGCCCAGGACTAGCCCAGCCATGGCCGTCCAAGCCCGGCGGCTGTTCATAAGAGAATCGAAGAAGGCATCGGTTTCCTCTTCAAACGCTTTGAAGATGTCCTGCAAAAATACGCAACAATCTGGAATGACCCCAATGATCAATATAGATTGGTTTAAGAAAAAATGCGGTTGCTAAAATAATGGTTTCTACCGCTGAATATAGGAATTTCCTGTAAATGTTCCCTTCAACAAATTCAAAAAAATCAGCTGGAAATGACTGGGACATAATCAGCTGGGAAGGTTAAAACTGGTTCTGAACAAGAAACGGATAGACTGGGACAATTTGACCCCTAGCTCTACCGAACGGGACACGGAGAGCTTAGTGTAACTGGTCCTTATCACCTTTTTCACCCGCCATTGCAAGGAGCGCACTAGAATCATCTGTCAGGGCTGGTTTGGTGAAAGCAAGCGCTTAATTTTTTTCTACGCTGGCAATGTGGTTGTTGAAAGGGAAAACATGATTGATATGATCAACATTTATAGAAAGAAACAAAGAAACACATCCAACATATGGCAACATTGTTGACTATGTTACACAGATATTTGCAGAGAAACTCTATTCATTTGGGCATTACTCAAGCTCTGCGAAGCGCCTTACCGTGAAGTCCCTTGTGGCTGACTGCATAACAGTTGTACCTTGCGGGTAAGACCTTCATCCTCACAGTAACTTGCATCGGTTGCCCTCCTGCATCACACTAATTCGTATTGGCATAGATGGAAAGGGCAATTGAAATGCAGGGATTTTACTATGTGGGTATGTCTGAAAATAGGGTATATTCCCAATGAAATAGCCATTTAGTAGGGATAATGATCAGCAAAACCATTGGGTACACAGGGGTACACGACATTTTCAGACACACCCATGTTACTTTGCCTTTTGATCCCTCAGGAAGGTGTTGCCTCATGTCACATCAAGTCTTGACACATGATCAGCTCAAGCCAAGGGACTGCACCCAGGAGTTCCAGAACAGTATATTCGGCAGGATGAAAACAACAAGCGTAGGCAACTATGCAACAACTGCACATGTAGCAAGAATACAAGCCTCATAGTGAAACTGAAAAACCAAAGATATCCAATAGATCTTGTCTTTCAAAGTTCTTATCTCCGATATCTCAGCAGAGTTGTTGTGTCCTTTTCGCACATGCACTCCTATCAGGGCCATATTAAGCTCCAATGAAGCAGTGAAACGACTCCGTATGACTCCAATGACTTGCCGAAAGGACCTGCGGGATGGGAACACAAGATAACACCAGGGGACGTGTCAACAAAACCACTTCCTGCTGCTTCAAAATCCTACATATGCCATGGTCAACGCATGGTATATGGGGTATGGATGGTTATGGATGGTTATGGTCATCTGTCTCAAAGCGGGAATCGTTAGTCTCTTAGTAAATCAATTCCCTATATATGGGTGAGTTACCCCAGTTTGGACCATGTTTGCCTCATGAAAGTCAACCCAATAAAGCTGCAGTTCATGTCGTTTTTTTAATGGCCCCATGCTCTTCCTCAAAAAAAACGATACTTCTTGCTGACTCCAAGCTACTCCAGGATTTGAGTGATTCATGTCATGAATGACCTTTGAAATTTAGCTGGACCAGATTAGAACAAATATCATTGAAGATCTTGTCCACCTCAGTGAATTTTCAGACCCAGTAGCTGCAAGATAAGCTTTGATACTCCCTTCCCAACAAACTTGAAAACCCCCAATGAGGGACCTCAATATGAATATATAATTAGATCCGATACTTGCAGTAAGCCATATTTTCTAGGGTATTTAAGATTCTGGGGATGGGATTACTCCAGCCAACCCTTCGCATACCTGATCTTTTGGGCGCACAAACAGCTTCTCAACTGGCCGCACGTTCCCTTTTCTAAAAAGAGACTGCGATAAAACACACCAGCTCAACTGGACACACAGCCTTTGAAGAAGCGCACTTCAAACGCACACAATATTGATTAAAACACTTCAGAAATCTAGAAATGGGTTCTTCTAGAAATGGGGTACACCCCAACAAGGCAATTATATTGAAAGAAATGTCGGTAAGCCAATGGATTTTGGGGTACCCCATTTTCATACAAACCCATATGTCCATCTATATACAGCTCGTATGATCTTCTCTATTCGTGGAAGACAAAACTCTGCGAAGCAAAATTCTTCGACGTGCTTGTCAAAAATGCTCCCCCTGCATGGCCCCTCGAAAATAGCGGCCACACACGGAAGGATCGATGATGTACAACTTAAAGTTCCTGCTCTGGGGACGACAGTTTGTAAACTTGCGATGCTTTTGGCAATCTCCAAACCTCAGCCAACCAGCAATGGGTCAAAAATGAACCTCTGGCGGGACACGAAGATAGATGAGTTTCTTTCCCGTCTGTTTTACTTATTACTTATTAAAATAATTCGTCGGGCCCAGTTTCAAGATATTTCAAGACCGCTGTCAAAGAGACATCAGAATCTAGTTCAGAACTGGTTCTAAAGCAGATCTGACAGCCAGAAACATGAGACAATGTGAAATAGGTCAAACCGATCTGCGTCCACTGGATCTGCAGTTGACTTGAGCTGAGCCACATCTTGATGATATCCTCCACCGCCATACCTGCCGTGAAAATCATGGCTGATACCAAAAAGAAGAAGTCCATGTTGCATGGCAAGAAATACCAGTTATAAGTGAGTGAAATAACCCAATAAAAATGGAATGTATAACCGATTATAACCCCATAACAGTTGGTAAAGGGCTTTAAGTGTATCATTCTTGGAGGAGGTACTGAAAGTAAACCGCCAGGAATTCACCCAAATTGGGGGCAGGAAGAAGTTCTCGTTGCAGCCGGCAGGCAATGTTCCACCACCAAAGATCAGGATGGTTTCGTCGCGGGTTACACCTAAGACCCAGATGCAGAACTCTGCAGCAAACAGCATGCCCGGATTCGTGTCTCGACACCTCAAAGTGCGTCCGTAGATCATGAAACGGTATTTAATTTATAAATTGAATATAACGTCCTTTTGGTAAAAATAGAGGGGCCGGTTTGGTACACCATCTATCATCATTTACCTGTTGTTAAAGGGGTAAACAACCCCCTCTATTAATCAACCAACCAATGGGAAAAGGACATCCATGTGTCTACATTAGTTTCTGTTAGTTTCTATTCAAGCACCAACAATGATCGCGGAATGGAGCTGGAAACTTCCATAAACTCCTGCACCTTCTGAAATGATCTGGCTGAAAAAATTAATTGTGGAATGATTCACTCGAAAAATCAAGCCAAAATCAAGCCATTTCCCAGATGCGAACCATGGTGCTGGAATATGTACCTACATAAAAACCCCAAAAATGGCACAGTTTTGTAGGTAAATATTCCAGCACCATGGTTCGCATCTGGGTTTGGGATGATTCCCCTGAAAGACCATCATTTTCGTCATCCAAATCTATGGGCTTCATCCGCCGAGAGCCGCACTCACTGCCTCGTCATCACGGGAAGGCCAAGGCGCCTCACAATGGTCAACTTTTTGTGTGAGGAACCAGTAAACCATCAAAATTATGTGGGGGATGCATAATGTTTAGATATGTTTAAACTTATAAATCTTGATTAACCATAATACCATACTATATAAACATTATGAAGCCATGCAAATTTGGTGGCACACAATTCTGAACTATACCCAGATCAGTCTTAGATGAAATTTTGCCAAACCAAAGTTCAGTGAGTTGAACTTTCTTCATCACTTTTTTGCTGTCACATCTCTTTTTTATAAATCCCAGATATCGATGAGCGGAAATGCCGCAGCCCAGCATCCGATATCCCAAGATATCCAAAGTATGTACCGCTCAATCCTACAGATCATCCCCGGGCAACGCGAGCCTTGGTTTCCAGTACCTTCCATTTATCGCTGACCGAGTTCAGGTCAAGGCCCACCACATCCTGGGAGGATTGAAGGCCCAATGGTGTCAGTTGGGACGATCGACCAATTTCTAGGCTTTTTTGTTTGTTCAAAGATTGAAACCACCAGTCAGTGATGTTTAAATCATTCATATATACCATCTGGTTATTTGACATAGCCATGGAAAATCACCATTTTTAATAGGTAAACCATCTATTTCTATGGGCCATTTTCCATGGCTACGTTAAATAACCAGAGGGTATCACATTTATCCATACCGGACATTTAACAAAGTGGGGGATCTATGGAACAGTTCCATGTGTTGCATCTTATTGCATCAAAAAGGATGGGAAGAAACAGGTGTGGGTTCGTCCCACGGAGGACTTTTTAGAATGATAGTGAAAAGCTGGGGTTTACCCTCATTTTATCAACTGAAAAATGGCCGGGTTAAACATGGAACAATCAACTCTATTAGTTCTACAATATGCAAAAGTCAATTGGAACCATCGTTAATCGTGGATGGAAAATCAATTCTCATCCCAATTCTGTAAAAAAAAGGTGGTATATTGGATCTATCTTAATATTATCAGGGGCTGGCAATTATATCAATTTACATCTGGTGTACACTATCAAAGGTATATTAATTATGGATATCTAAATCATGTATGGATGGGGTGTTCACTATGGTTTTACCATCCAAAATTAATATGGATGGGATATTATATATATATATATATATGAATATATACTGTATATATTATATATTATGATCATCATCTACTATTCTTATGGTTTAGTTTAGCCATATGTTCAACCATTTTTCACACCTCTGAAGTCCGTGCGAGGCCGCTGTCAAGGCGCGTTGTAGGTGAGGAACTCAGTGGCCTATAACGCGCACGACTGGAGGAGAACTGGGGGATACCCACATGACTTGGGAAACCTCCGTGTCTATTCTCTTCGGAGTTGCTATATTATATAATATATATATATATATAACATATATATATATATATTATTGTATTATGGTCCATGGTTGTATACCGAGATATTCAATGTAGCACTAAAAAGTGTCGAACGTACTTGTGAGATAAAATAACAATTTTGATGTGTTTTTTTTTTTTCTGGAGCGTCGATGTAGTCTATTCAATTACATGATATTCCATGCATGACATTTCTGTCATTGTCATTATGCTCCACTTACTAAGCCACTCAGCGGGATGCCTTGGGTGACCTCAGCCATGAAACGTGTCGGCCTCGTGGTGTTCTTCCATGCCCTTGCGATCTTCCTGAGGCCCAAAAAATCTGGTGGATCTGCAGGCGAAACAACTGATGTCCAAAGAAACGGGTTTGCCACAGGAATCGAATTCTTTGCCACTTGCCTGTACGCATAAAAACAACAAACACATGTGTTTTGATAAACAAAAAGGATCCATTTCTGGTAAACATCAAACACTGTTGGCCACCTGCCAGGTCTTTGCGAACCTGTTTCAGCTTAGGACGAACGAAACAAGTGGAAACCTTCATGGCCGCGGTGAAATTCCTGGACTTCTCCGACTTGAATGGCCATGTCCACGGCAAAACATCACAAATGGCCATGTCCACATCATAATTTTATATAATAATCCCCACATGTCCACATAATCCCCCACATGAACATATCTTATATAATATATCATAATTTTCTAGTGGCCATGTCCACTTCATAATCCCCCACATGACTAAATGGATACAAATGGGACAAATCACCCTCATCATCTCATCCATGACTGCCAAGGCTCAGTCTTGGCAGTGAGCGTCTCGCTGGGAGGAGTCCAATGACCGCCCATGGTCAACAGCCAGCCGCTGGGAAGCACCTGCGGCCCAAACATCGTCTCCAAGCTCTTGATTGAATCCAGTCTTTTCGCGGTTCTTTTTGGGAGAGAAGTGCAACATGAAATTGCGGGGATGACACACATGAAACAGCCTTTAAACCTGGAAGGCTTTTGTTGGCCGACCCAAAAAACTTGGGTCAGATCTGACCCAACAAAAACTCTGTTCATCATCCCTTGAGTGTGCCCCTTGTTCGTTGCGTTGCTCCTAGATATGTTTTGTTTGGCGTTCTTGGTATGTGTAGCATCTCCATGCAAACTAGACATTGATGTAACTAAAGCAGTCACACATGGGTTTGTCTGAAAATAGGGTATATTCCCAATGAAATAGCCATTTAATAGGGATAATGATCATTAACCATTGGGTACACAGGGGTACACGACATTTTCAGACACACCCACATGCTACCAAGTTTCATCCCTGCCCTCAATGGCAGTGTGTAAAAATTCCTGTTGGTCATACTGACACCTGGTCATTTTCTACCCCATCATTACTCGATACTGTGCCCCAAACATCCCAATCACTAGAAAAAGTACCCTCTGGTAATTTAACATAGCTATGGAAAATCACCATTTTTTATGGGAAAATCCACTATAAATGGTCATTTTCAATAGCTATGTTAAATTACCAGAGGGTAACTTCACTATGCAACTTTAGGGCACAGACATTGTACAAATACAGTATGTAACCCCACTATCAAGTTATGGATGGTTTTTGCGCGGGAAACCAACAAGAAATGGGGTTGTCAACCGTCCCCATCCGATCTTCTTGGAATTTAGAGAGGTTGCATCCCATGGTGATAACTCCAGCTATACAAATCATAACCCCATTTATAACGTACTCGTTCATCACCATGTTCGTTCATTAAATCACCATTCACCATATTTCTTGAAACGTCGATGATCATCATATCGGTGTTATTTTAATATTCCATTATACATCCATCATACCACCATTATGCTTACTATTATATCCTGATAAACGTGCCGTTTGGGGGTATGGTATATCGGTATATCCCATTATGTCTCATATTCTTGGCTGTAGTTAGAGAGGCTACATCCCAATGGTGGTTCTGAACCTAGATGATTTGTAGCAGTCCCCAAAAAAAAGCAAAGAAGTAATGGATCTGAATCTAAAATAGCAAGTTTCTCCTTTTTTTGCATGTTTTTGAAGCTACAATATCTCTGATGGGACAACCATCCCCATGATTGCTGGTTTTGGTCGTCACCATTTTCACACGTTAAAACACATTACCACCACATTTTTGGCAACACAATTCAGCCATATGTCATAATTCAAGAACTCGAAAATAGTACATATGGGATGATTTTCATGAGATGATTCCCTCAATTAATGGGATAACGTAGCCATATGTTTTTTTTTGCTTACTGGGATGATTCCCTCAATCCAACTGACCGCTTTTTTTTCCAGTGACGTCACGAGGTGATACGTCATGATGAAAATTATTCGCCGAAATGTCGATGATATCCCACTAAACATTATATCCCCATGATACACCATGATATGTCTTATTACATGATCATAGATATCATGGATATTATTTCATATTATTTCTATAATACAATTTTATACAATTATTCCACCATTTTATGCCACCATTATACAGGATCATATTATGTCTATAGATCCCATTGGTTCCTGGTCCGTATCCACGCAGCCAGACATCGATTTCCACCAAGCGACAAGAACCCCTGGTGAGCTTCGCGCCGCCGGCAGATTGCCGATGCGGTGCCAGCCAGAGACCGTGTAGCCTGGTGCTAAAAAAGGTGGTAAGGTGGAAAGGTTCGTTTTTTCGAAACCACATTGCATAGTGAATAGTGACCCCCCAAAAAAAGATGGAGACGTCAGTTATCACTGATATTAACTATATTAACTGATTTAGTAGTAATATCTAGTAATATATAGTAATAATATGTAGTAATATTTCATTGTGCTATCTTTTTGGGACTTGCTATATCTTATATGCAATCCATGTTAAGATAGACATGGGCCGATCACCTGGCAGGTCGCGTCTCATGGGATTCATAAAAAAATACGGTCATCCATCATGACGGGATTCCGAAAAAAATGTGGGTAAAACAAGGCCATAAACCATCCCCCCAAATCACCATAAATAGGTTCTATAAACCATTCCCAGTCATGGGTGGTTAATTATTGTTTTAACCACATGAATGGGTATGTCGACTCATACTAATTGGAGGATTGCACACCACTTTTATGAGGAAATTAACATAAATAAACCATCTGTTGACCATCGCAAATGTGAATATCATGCATGGTGAAGTGAATCAGCGGCCCTGCCTTGCAACTTCACACGCCAGGTGTCTTCACATCTCTTCCAATGCCTTCAGGTGGGATGGGATTTCGCCCACTCTGTTCATTGAAAACATTGGAAACATACCAACACACCATTCTTTTATGTAGAATTCAAACATGTTCACTGGGAAAGCCGCAGCCTTGGTTGTTTCATGCGAGGCCATGGGCCACATAATGATGGTACCCGCCTTCCACCATCTGTGGCACTCTGACCTCCAAACATCACCTGCCGGTTTTTCGGGTCTCAGAATGGCACTTTTCAGACCACAAGAACCCATGGCTGGCTGGGAAAACCTTTGTAATTGGAGGTTTCAAGCGGGAAAATCATCGAACTTTGGCTGGAGTCTCCAGCCATGTTTCATGACACCAGAGGGTATCTACCATGTTGGGAAACACTTAGTAGGGCTGACCATTTGATAGGGAATATGGATACCCATACCGTCCATACCGTCCATAGCTCTTTTTTGCATACTACAGCCCCATCATATCCCCATCTATAGATGATTTTCCCAATATGTTCCCATATCTTCCCACAACTGGACCCTCGGCTGCATCCCAGTTGCTAGCCATTGGCCATCAGGCGAGATGGCCGTGGCGTGATCTGCCTAGAGAAACGTTGGGAAAATGCGACAAATAAAGAGATCAACCATGGTGAAGCCCTGAAAATACCAATGTTTCCTCATTGTCACAATCATATCAACAAAGAAAATCCAAGAATTATATATATATATAATAGATAGATTATAAGATATTATAAGTTCATGTTGTGTTTATGATAGCACGCTAAGTGCTGATTCTTTGAACATCTTTCCCACCAGGATACACGTGAATCCCAGGGTGCGGATCCATGGGGGCTCTTCATGGTCCACTTCAACCTGCGGCCATGGCGGAGTGAGTTCAAGTAGTTGGATTTACTATTGAAAATGGCCCAGTCGAAATAGTTGATTTACCCACAAAAAAATGGTGATTTTCCATAGTTATGTTAGTTTACCAGAAGGTACATCATTGAGATTTACTGGATTATTTGGATTTTAATATGGATTAATGTGGGATAGTGAGTACTGATGGAGAACGTGGCTGGCTGGAAATCTAATAAATTGTAATACTCTTTGGTGTCATCAAACGTGGCTGGCTGGAAAATCCCCGCACTAGCCATGGAGGTCTATAGCTGGAAAACCATCTAACTAAATTAAATGGGTGATTTTACAGCTAGCCATGTTTGATCACACCGGAGGATATAATGAGATTTAATGGGATGTTGTGTAGTGGGATACTGATGATCATTACGATTTAATACCGGAATGGGCTGGCCATGGTCAAATCATACATTTAACCATCAAACATGGGGATATCATGGGGAATATATACCAGGGTCAACCGCAGAAAATGGGGATATCATGGGAAATCTAGTCTGGTTTATGCGCGACCCGCAGCTACAAGGGGGACAACATCAACCGCTAGGATCCATTAGGGGGGTATTCATGGGAATACGTCACAGGAGTCTATGTTAAGAACCACCTTAATTATGACTGAAAATTGGATAAAATTGGTGATTTACCAGCAAGAAAATTATGTGACTTGTCCATCTTGTCCACTACAGCAATTCTCGGATGAAGAAACGGGCTTCTTTTCGCATCATCTGGGGAGTACATCATTTGTTGCTTCGAGGATCATCTGAAGAAGATCGTAAGTGGTTTCCATATCCCTGGTGAGTAAGTCCCCTAAATGTGTCAGTCCGGGACTGTATCTATCTGGGTAAAGGCCACAATATTTCACTAACCTCAATAGTTCGCCCATAAAAGGGGATGATTTCCATTACTAACCATGATTCCAGGGCTGAGGGAGAACACGCTTCGCTCGTAATCAAATTTACCCAGATCTATGGTTATATATCATGTTTATTATAGGTAAATCATCAGTCACAAATCATCATTATCTCATTGAAAAAGAGGTGAATTAATCTCAGTTGCTCACCAGTTACGATCCGCGGGATGATTCTTCACGTGGCTTCACAGCTACAATTGAGCTACCTAGCGGCCACTTCAACCAGTCATCCAAAGTAGGGTTGACATCAGCACACGTTAGAAACCACCAAGAACATCCAAGAACAACATATCAACCAACAAGTTTTAACAGTGCTGGTCTTGAAACATCCTGGAACATGCTAAGAATCTCAGCCCATGACGTGATACAAAGCCCATGAAACCCTCCTGCCGTTGCCAAGGTGCGTGTCCACATTAAACACTGCAACCTGCCGGAGAGTCGTCACAGCATAGCAGGCCCGACCTTGCCTCTTAAATAGGCCACATGTCCCCAAAAAACAAAGGCACAGATAAGTTACGAACCTTAATAGAGGACTTTCCATTGCCATATATTGCCATGTTTGTTTATCGAAGATTAATTATGATTAATTACTATATGGCAATATATGTTCCATGGCAATATATGGCCATATTACTATTGATTACTATATTGCCATATATTGCCATGTTTGATTTGCTTGTTGGGCTTCTCCAAAGTGTGGCGGCACAAATTGGTCCATTGGTCCCGATGGCGCGCCATCGAAAGTGTTCCTCGCTGTTGGGACCAGCCGCCAACAAACCAGATCTCATTGCCTGCAACGGCCAGCGACGGTCACGACCAGGGCTGGTTAAACACCGGGTCACGGAATGATGTCCTCTTTCGGCAAAACAGCTTGGTTAAGCCTTTTTTTCCCATGAAGCGCATGAAGATGTCTTTTCCTATTGGTATCATTGGTTATTCAATGGAAAGTTACCCCTTCTACTACTCAATCAATGGAAACAGGGAGTCACAACTGGGCTGATCTCTCATCTCCCTAGGCAAACGTGCCTCAAGTATCTTCACCTTCTCATGTTTCGGGGACATTTGGCGTTGTCCGGCAATGGAGTGTACCCAACACTGCCATCAGTGTATTTCAATGGACTTACCCTCTGGTAATTTAACATAGCTATGGAAAATCACCATGTTTAATGGGAAAATCCGCTATTAATGGCCATTTTCAATAGCTATGTTAGTTTACCAGAGGGTAATGGGATAATGATTGCGAAACAAGAATGATTTATGGGGTGTAACCCGTTTGAACCAACACTCTGAGCCATGACACTAAATAGCACTAACCCATCCCATCACACTACTAATTCTGGGTTGTAAGATGTTATAAGAATCCCCAAGAAACCAGGTATAGTATAATTCCACTTAATTCCTCATGAATCACCAAGAAAAACGTGTTTGAAACTGCAAAAGGCCCTGCCCATCTTTTGTGCACCGCGCCTGTGATGGCTGCAGAGGTCGCTTGGATTCCCTCGAAGGGTGGCTGTGTCTCCACTTTGCTCCAAGCAACGCCTTTCCTCGGCGGAAACTGCGAAACACTGGATGAAGCTGCGCCCAGTGGATGTCTGGTCAACTAACAGTCTGCTGTTGAAGCCATGGCCCAGTCGAAAATCGTTGATTTACCTATGAAAAATGGTGATTTGCCATAGTTGAGTTATGTTAGTTTACCAGAGGGTAGATGGCTGGTAAAGTAACAGTTTGCTATGGAAAATCACTATTTGTAACAGGTAAATCAACTATTTTCATGGGCCATGTTCAATAGCAAACTGTTAGTCGTTACAAGTACCAGAGTGTAAGATGTCTTGCAAAACAAAATGGTACTGTAGAACCATGGTTGAACTGTCTGACAAATATTAAGAAGATATGAAGCCACAAGAATCGTGGCCATCTTTGGTAACCCCTTCGCACAATTTGCACAAATTGAACACATCAGCCATCCATCATTCTCAAGTTTTGTAGCAAACCTACCCTCTATCCCTCTGGTAAACTAAAAAATAACTATGGAAAATCACAATTTTCAATGGGTAAATCCACTATTTTCATGGGCCATTTTTCAATAGCTTTTTGTATGTTTACCAGAGGGTACATCAGCCATCACTCAAGTTTTCTAGCAAACCTTCAAGTCAATGGACTGGCTTAAGGGAAAATTTTACAGGACACCCCCATATTTAATGGTAAAAACCATGGTTTCCTGTAGATTTTCCCCATATTTCATGGTAAAAAAACCATGGTTTCCGGTTAAGATTTTCCCCAAGAAACCAATCCAACACTCCATTGATTTTCCGGTGTTTGTTGTTGGATGCCCTGAGTTTGAGACAGCGGATTGAAGGACCACACGTCTCGGAGCATCACCGTGGGTCTCCCTGGAGCTGATCCCAAAGGAAAACACAGAACAACTGGTGGTATAAATATGGGGAACTCAACTGATGGTATAAATGAATATCTGGACACTAAAATTTGAGTGTATAGATGTACAGATACCAGTTATTGAGGATATAAATATGGAATTATCTAAATATTTGGGGAATATACTCATATTGGGGAATGAGTATCTTAAATGAGTATCTGAAAAATATAATCATAAATGAGTATCTTAAATAAGTTGTGTTCTTTATGATTCTTAAGAACATTTCTATTGATGTGTCTAAGATTCTAAGAAAATTGCTTCTAAGTACTGATCCGTAGCCATTGATGTTTGAGCCTCCCTAAACAGGAACATACAGATCTGCGGACCCACGTGAACAATGTTGGTCCAGTCGGGCCTCGCTCGCAGCAGCCGAAGAAGAGCAAAACTGTATCGTCTGCCTTGCGATTAAAACGTCCTGAACTTGGTTGAACCTAGATCCTCCAAATACCAAGGACAAAATGCTTAAAGTACGAAAATCATGGGGTCAAACAGCATTTAACACCATTTAACACCATTTTTTGGCGACTTACAGAGGATTATTGGAACAATGCATTGGAAAAGCCCACAGTGAGCCCTGTTCAGTACGCCACTCCTGGGATGATCCCCCACAAACTCCCAGCCTGCGTAATGACGGAATGACCCCATCGTGGATCCCATGGGACGTCCTGACGGTGGACAGGGATCCTACCGGTGCTGCTAAAAAAATGGTGTGCCATATAGATCCCATCAATATACCCCAGTCATGCTAGCATATATATATATATACCAGCACCATGGATCCGTCATGGGATATGATTTATTGATACCTGATTGATACCTGATTGATACCTGTAGCCATGTTCCAGACCCAGGTGCCCGACAGCCAAACAGCGTCCTTCGTCAGATCTGTCCATTCTTCAGTCGTGTGCTGAAACCGCCACACTTCATTGGTGCAGTTGAAACAGTCGAATGTGGCACCACCATGCCTCACAAGAAAAGGCTGGACATAGTAAAATGTTGGCTCATGCAACAAATGGGATTGCTCAACTTTACACAAAAAACAATAAACATGTTGACAGCAAACACTTTCAGAAGCAATTCACCATGCATCCCAAAGATTGCAATGTTTCGTTCCAGCCAACTAACTAGTCCAAGGAAATCCGCTTCGTTTACAAAGTGCACCGTTTCCTTGAACATCGTGTGCCATATTTTTTATTTTTTTTTGGGGTAAGACCTCATCATGAAAGATCACTGAAAAGATCACATGAAATCCATGGAAAGATCTGCTTCAAATCTGTCTGCTGCCTTCCGGCTTGCCCGCCGATCCTTGGAGATGGGCTGATATGGCTGAGGATGACCCCCCCCCCCGTGCTGTGAATGCCTATGATTTGTTGCAGCCAATGTTAACCCCGTCCCTTTATGAAAAAACACGAACACCTTGGTAACTATATAACCCATGACGGATCCATGGTGCTGCTATATATGGTGTGCCATGGATCCCATCAATATACCCCCAGTCATGTTAGCATATATACCAGCACCATGGATCCGTCATGGGCAAGGGAACTATGTATTTTTGGGCCCCGCTATACCAAAGGTTGCTTATAATATTTATCACTGGGGGGATCGGAGTATGCGGAATATCACTGTGGCTTGGCCGCGCGACGAAGCAAACAAGCAGCATCCAAATCAACAATGGGCTCGTGTCAACCAACGAAAATGGAGATGAAACCCTTGATGTTGCTTGATTAAAAAAAAAAAAACATGGTAAAACCATGGTGAACCCAAGCATTTTACCATATTTTACCACGGTTTTCCCAGTGTACCCAGCTTACCCCGTCGTAACAACCATAATCTTATCACCAAGTTTCAACAGCATGCTGCCATCAGACAATGGTGCAGCAATGCCTGGAGATCCCATGACCATGACACCCACTGAGCATGGCTCAAAATTCAAGACATTTCTTTGATCATTTTTAGTATAATTACTAACTAGATGTTTGATCATCATTAAAGCAAACATTTATTATCATATTGATAATGGTATATGGTTTGATCATTTTTAGTATTTCAGCAAACAATTTCTAGCAAGATACCCATTACATTATTTTTTTGGACCCGACTTCTTTGACAAGAAAAATGGATGTGTGCTGACAGGTCTTGTTTGAAACAGAACATACAATCACATGGCCACCTGGCCAACCCAACCATTAGAGAAATTAGTTGTAGATGTAACTCCGAGGGCATGGTACTTGAATGACTTGGATATTCATCCCAGGAATTGTTATTAGATTAACAAAACACGTTCATTTATAAGTGACCCGATATATATATATATATATTGAGATATCCGTAAATATATAGCGTTTGTAGTTTGTACCATATGCAAAGATATACACGTCCCACATATTGACTTATAAACCTCTGCGCAATCGGAATTAGTTTGATGCACATATATATATATAATTATATATATATATATCCAAATCATATATCTGTAATACGGTTTTGTCTGAAAAAAAGGGTGGACTCCAATTTTGATGGTAGATCATCACATTTCTCATTTAACAATTGCAATTTTATGGGTGTGCGTACAGTACACCGCCTTTTTAGACACACCAACTCAAAAACATCCCCCATTCTTCCCCTCTATACCCCCCGTTCGATCCCCATGATTTAATTAAGTCCTCCTGATTTTGGGGTCCAAAAAAAAATATCCGGCTATGAATCAAAACCCAAGGTAGCCTAGGTACCCTATAGCTGGATGATGCTGGGTCTTCATCCTGCCATGGTAACTTCGGTACTGGTACCCATCCCCAGGGTCCCCATAGCTGAGAATCTGACTGCCGGTGTGAGGTTTCCATGGTGGAGCTCCATCCAGCTTCTGCCAACCCACACCCTCCGGATCCAGCCTTGGGCCAATGCGATATGATGAGGCGATATGAAAACATAAGACATTTACGTTTTGCTATGAATATAAAACAAAAATGTTGTTATCATACATATAGTATCATATAGTACCATATGGTGTTATTGTTTGTATTGTTACTATTCTTTGCGTACATAAAGTTCTATAATATATATAATATGTAGAATTATATAGAGAAAATTATCAAATCAAACGGCAAAGCAAAAAGTGTCAGCAGTGTGCGTGTGTGTGTCTTTGCCTCGTCAGTGTTTCACTGGAAATTGATCCCATCCCAGTTCACGGGAATTAGATCATTACGGAGCCTTCGCTAAGCTTAGGGAACACCCAACCAACTGGTTTGAGCGACATGTAATGTGGGTAAAACAATCATAAACCACCCATGACTGGGAATGGTAACCTTACCACCTATTTATGGAATGGTTTATACCATCTATAAAAATGGTGATTTGGGGGATGGTTTATTATTGTTTGACCCAAATTATACCCATTGTGTAGTCAATCCATGCTAATGTTCCCACCGTCGCCACCGTTGCTCGTTGTTCATGTTGGTCATACGTTCCATTGTTGTTTTCTGCAAAAAGGTAAAACAAGTTACACTGCTGCCATGTGAAGTGCGCTTAAATATAGCGTATCATGTTGCCATACATATAACAGTGAGGGTACACCAGTACACCACTGGCTGGATGCTTTATTTCATGGCATATTGTGGCAAATAATACTACCCTCTGGTTACTTAACATAGCCATGGAAAATGGCCCATTTATAGATGGTTTACCTATTAATAGCATGGGGATTTTCCGTGGCAAACTGTTAAATAACCAGATGGTAGGTTTTCCAGATATTCCAGAGATGTGGATACTTCTGGTAGCTTCTGGTAGCATATTATGGCAAATAATGCTATATATCTGGGTAAATTATAATATTTCACTAACCTGAATTAAGGCCATGAATGGGGATGATTTCCCTTACTAACCATGATTCCAGGGCTCGGTCGCGACGTGAGGTCGTGATCAAATTTACCCAGATCTATGGTTATCTCATTGAAAAAGGGGTGAATTAATAGCATCGGGATTTTCCATGGCTATGTTAGTCATAACCAGATGGTATATCCCATTATCATCCCATTATTCACCATTTTTTTCACCATTAAATCACCATTTTCCTATGGTAAACCAATAAAATTACCCAGATTTATGGCATATTATAATGGGTATACCATATATACCATATATATATATACCATATATATATATATACCATATATATATACCATATATATATATACCATATATATATACCATGTAATGGGTATTATAATGGACATGTTGCCATATATAATATATACTATACCTCCAATTTTCTTGGGCCAGGCACCACTTTCCCGCTGAGGTCACCAGTTGTAATGCCACGATGACCGTCCGCGTCACCCGCGTCACCCGCGTCCCCCGTCGCATGGCAGCGCGGCACACGACGTGTCCTAAAACGCGCCACGGGGGGCCCGTTGAGGATTCCCAACATGGAGGATTTTCGACTGAAAATGGAGGAATATCATGGGGATATCATGGATTAAAATATCTACTCAATGATCAGAGAATGGAAATATATAATGGGATAATGGGCTGCAAATCTTAGAATAACTATCATATTGTAATATGATATGTATAGTCAGCGGGTTCTATCTATACATATATATTATTTTAAGACTCCCCGATGATAAACATATTTAAAATCTTAGAAGAGGTAGAAACTGGAGGAGCCGCTGCGCTAATGATATGGTATATATATATATAACGTTGGTGCCATTAATATGATAAGAGTACCTCTGAAAATGAGGTGCAGGCCCAAAGTGGCCAGTTGAATGGGAAACTTGATGATAAACCTTTGGAACTTGGGGTACTACATGCTCAGATATTTTTCAGACAAGCCCGTCTGTCAACATATCGCAAAATACCACACATCGCTAACATTTATCAGCGCCTTAAATAACAAACATACCGTTCATTCAAAGGAATTCGACTCTACGGTCAAAAGTTACAATAAACCCCCAACATCTGCAGGTTGAGGTGTTCGATTTAAACATTAATTGTCACATGAGGCCCGAGCACCGCTAAAGCACCCTTTCATTGTCCGTGTCAGGGTTTTGCTTTCTCGCATGTGCATGAACCTGAAATAAACGGTTTTGGGATATGGGTGAGTCTCAACATGTGTTGTACCGCCCAAAATGGCAATGTTACTGTAAAAAATGATACAAGGATGATAGGAGAATGATGGGAGAATGATTATGTTGATGATGATGATGATGATGATAATGATGATAGGAAAAAAAACACTATTTCATGAACTATATACTGTTTCAGAGGATTTCAGATATCTTGGTACGGAACTAAACCTATGTTGGGGTGTTTTCAGGGATTCCGTATACCGTTATTTAGGATCAGGCCATTGTGAGGTCGCAATAACTGACCCATTCCCAGACAGATACATTAAAAGGAGAGCCAAGGAGCTCCAATCAGAGTTTCCCAGCCACGTTGCTGGTGCTTGTTATGATTCCGATCCCTTTGATTCTCCATTAATTCTCATTTTATGGTTAAATCATGTTAAATCATCTTAAATCACCATGCTAATAAGTTGTTTAGTGCACATCTCAAAATGTTGGACATTCATTCAATTCCCTCGTATTTGTTGCCAGGCTTCGCACCAGCTTCGAGAAAAAAGCCGAGCACTATAGGTCCAGGTTGCAGCGGAAATGCCGCAGCGGAAAACGAGCCGGGCCGCTTCGTGGCTGCGGGTGTGTCACGGTGTGTCTCAAAATGATGGGGATACAAACCATGCAACAATGGGATACTAATGAGGATTAATGGATATGGAAATCACCGTGCAAATATCAAATATCTATCGTATTTATTCGTTTTTGCTGTTGTTTTTTTTTCCTTAATAGGATCGCCATATGTTTCCCAATGTTGCCATATAACTTGGGGTAGCCGCTGGTTTCGCAGAAACACATTTTGGGGGACCCCAAATTCATCATTGCGCGTCTGTGGCACCCGCAAAATGGGCGGGGTGCCCAATATAAAATATTATTCTGTGTACAACTAACAGTGATGATAGTTATACAACTAACAATGATGATAGTTGTATAACTAACAATGATGATAGTTGTACAATTGTACAACTAACAATGATGGTTGTCATGCACGATTAATGGGGATGGTGGTGATCTACTAGATCTAATCATGGTTTTTCACATTCCAAAGATGTAGAATTCACCCAGTGCTTGGCGAAGATGTTGGGCCACCTTTTGGAAAGTCCCCATGGCCCGTGCCAGGCCCACCTCAAAAAAACGAAGCTTCGACGACGACTTGGAGCTCCGACTTCACCATCAATCCTCCTGCAATCTATCCATGGCACTATGGCTCGGCTCAGCACAACGGCGAACACGAAAACAATTGCTTAATGGACGCTCATAGGTTGTGAACCATCTCCATATGACTGAAATCATTGGGAACTTTGCTGACATCACTGTGGACCGCTTAGATTTCAATGGCCGTGTTCACATTTTGACGACCCTGGCACTTGGCTTCCTCCAGACCAAGGCTTTCCTGATGTCTTTGTTCTCGGCCTCAGGGAGCAAGGCCGTGGGCACACGAAAAAGTGGGTCAAATGGAGCATGGCCACGAACATCCAACATGTTTGTTCTTGGATTTAAGCAGATGAAGTTATAGTTATAGTTGGATTATAGTTCATCCAATTATAGTAAATTATGGATGAGCATCCAGTATTGTATAATTATAGTTCATCCCATTGAGTTGGATTTCTAGATGTCTAATCGATTGCTTTGCAAAAGAAATGGTGAACAAAATGGTGTTTCTCCTCTGCCATAGTTTAGGAACCACTTGGGTTTGTCTGAAAATAGGGTATATTCCCAATTATAGCCATTTAATAGGGATAATGATCATTAACCATGCATTGGGTTTAGGGGTACACTATTTTCAGACACACCCACTTCCGAAACCAAGGCACGCTCTAACACCCGTCGCAGGGCATCGCTGCGCTTGCTGCTCCTGGTGGGATAAGCGGTAACTAATCATTGGTAGTCTGCAAACCTAATAAAATATAGGGGTAAACATGGGTAAAGTGGAATATATATATATATAGGGAATCACCATAAAATATGGGGATAAACCCTGGTTATCTATAAAATATAGGGGTAAACCCTGGTTATCTATAAAATATAGTGGTAAACCCTGGTAAACATTCCCTCCACCAATCCAGTGATATCTATAACTGTCACATTACTGGAACTAAAAGTGATCTAAGTGATATCTAAGGCTCTAAGGCAACGAGGACTGGCTCAGTCCTTTCAGCAGTGCGCTGCTTTTCTTCTTTCTCTTGCACTTGCTGTTCCTCGGGCGGCTCGCACTTCACTATGATCAAGGCAGCTGAGGTTCACCGCTTTGATGCCACACTACTCTGAAGATCTTCGAGGACTCCTTAACAACATTGTCAAGGAGAACTTCGGAGAACACTGCATATTAGGTCATGTTTGATAGGCCACCCCTACTACAACGCTGGCTTGCCTCGGCCTCTTTGTGTCTCAGTTCGATGCGTTCCTGTCTTCCGCAAATTGGTATTCAGCCAGGGGGACCCATGGCCAAAATCATGCAAAAAGGGTCTATTTTGGACGTGAACGCATTTTTTGTTGAGAAACCCAGCTCGATCTGTCACCTTCGCACATTTGGATACATTCGGTAGATAGAGATAGGCTACGGGAATCCATGTGAAACACCATAAACATACCCATCTGCCCATTCGGCACTTGAACCATTCGGCTCTAGAGGCCCCCGGTCGAACTGGTAGTGTGATCCCCATAATGTGTTGGGTTCTATCCACGATTTTGTACTAAGCAGATAAAACATATCCATTATATCCATGCGATTTTTGGTTCACATCCTTTTCTTATCATTTTCATTTTGTCATCAAGTCCAGGTGTTTCCTGATAAAGTATATAATTAATAATGTTCCTGATAAAGTATATAAATATATAATATTATATAATATTATATAATTACAGTAGCATCCAGAGTTTTCCTCGCTCCCCGTCATTTCTGCTTTGATCTCCCCGTCCAAATCAAGAGCCTGGCCTTCCAATTCACCTGCGAGGCGTTTGCAACTTCCGGCGGAGCAGCGTTCCTGAACTGATTCACCACATCTGATTTGTCGTGATGTCCAAATGGTTCCAAGGCACTCAAAGTACCTATTATAACAAGAAAAAACAACTAAAAACAAAAATTATATGGTGTACAAGACCACTTGTTATGGGTCAATAAAGTGTTTATGTTGAAACAATCACGGAAAACTACAGCAAATCACAATTTCTCAGAGTTCCAATTTCGAATGAATCTGGCGCCCACTGGTTGAGTAGCTTTTGAAACAACTTCGTGTCCTCTGGGGTTCACATTCACTATTTACGTCTTCACGGATTTGAACATCTGCAGCTTGTGAGCTATCCAACAGGAAAATCCATACGCTGAGATTCCCCGTTTCGCCACTATAAATATCAGTAGTCATGTTCAGTCCTCTGCTCACTCTTGCCTGCAGATTCACGCCTTGAGGCCGGGATAAATGTCTTAAGGTTGGATGGGTATCACAATACCACTTTGTTTTTTCTCAATCAATTACCCAATTCTGTGTTTTTGACCATTTATATCAAAGACCTAAATATTACCCAATTCTTTGTCATCAATCGTTTGATATTAATATATTTCTTTTGGTGTGGAACTTTCTGCCACGCGTTCGGTGGTAGAGCTGCCTCTTAGATCCATGGTGCCCCGTCGAGTCTGTTGAGATTCTGACTTCCGCAAACGGTCCCGCAGCCGCTCAGTCGCTGCTGCCGGCCTGTGGTCCAACTGGGCACGTTGAATCTTCACCACAGACGAAAAATCCACAACAAGTACATACCAAGGCACTCAAAGTAGACACAAAAATTGGTGAACATAGTTAAAATATGTTAAAATGGTTTTCAAATGGGCAATGGACTGTGTAGGCCCAAACACTACTCAATTAGATCTCGTTGAGGATGTCAAAGCAACCCAAAAATCCTAGTCAATTGGGAAATTCAACTCAGATAGGGATGGAAGAGAACAGACATTTTGTCAAGCCAAACAAACACATTTGCCATGTCATCCTGTGCACAAAAAAAACCAAGCATCTGGCGGAGCGACACTTCCTGCAAAGGTCAATGAGTTCCGAGGCTCCGAGATAGCAACTGACAAGAGATGGGACATGATGACATGATATGTTTTTGGGCAGGTGTGGGCATCAAGACCTTTCAACCCTCACCTAGATGATCCTAGATGTATTTCAATCTGTTTCGGCTATTTTGAATGTGCAATTCTGTAGCATGCAATTCTGTCACTCCAAAGCTCCTTTCGCGGGGGAACTCTCCGATGGAACTGCTTTGGACGCCTGGCAGCGACAAGCGTCGGCCCGTGGAAGTGAACACCCTTGCGTGTGAACACCTTCCTATTTCAGAAAAGGGGTAATCATATACTCATGCCCAGTAATACTCTAGCAAAAAACATGTAGCGCGATTGCTGCTATAACATTGGTTCCCCATGTTTCAAATTTTGCTACCCTTCATACAAAATGTTAATATTAAATCATCTAAACCAGCAGGGGCTGATTGGCCATTGAACACCTGGAGCTGTTTTAAGATGATGGCCTTCCCAAAAAACATATTCCCAATGGATTCCCCCAACAGATGTTCATCCGTTAGGTTTGTCTGAAAAGTGGATATATAGCCCCTTCAGCGTTTCATCAATGTTTGTCATCATATATCATCAGAATATCATGGTTTATCATCATGTCAATATCATATAGATACCAGTAGTGCCGCACAAGGCGGTGGCGGAAGTTTCACAAAATAGGAAACTTATAGGAGAGGTTGGTTTTTGTGAATCACGGATGGCAGAGCGAATCCACTGATGGACCGACAGGTGGTTGGAGTCGGAGTTGTGTTTTTCGGAATGGTCGCAATGGTTGCAGTGGTCACCTTACCACAACTGCTGGATGTAGTGTGGTGTAGTGCAGTTGTAGTTGCAGTTGTAGCTGTAGTTGTAGTTGTGGTGTAGTGTAATTAGTGTAGTGTAGTTGCAGTTGTGGTGGTGTAATGAGTGTAGTGTAATGTAATGTAATGCAATGTGGTGAAGCCGTAGCTGTAATGTAGTGTAATTAGTGTGTTCGCAGGTGCAATTGTTTGTAGTCGTGGTGTGGTGTAATTAGTGTAGCGTAATGCAGCATAATGCCGTGTATTGTTGTGTAGTGTAGTGCGGGATAGTGTAGTGTAGTGTAGCGTAGCGTAGTGTAGTGTAGTGCAGTGTAATGTAGTGGTAGTTGTACTTGTAGTTGCAGTTGCAGCTGCAGTTGTAGTTGTAGTGCAATGCAATGTAATCAGTGTAGTGTAGTGTAGTGTAGTGTAGTGTACTGTAGTGTAGTGTTGTGTTGTGTAGTGTAGTGTAGTGTAACGTCGTGTAAATGTACCATTGTTGTAGTTGTAGTTGTACTTAGCGTAGTGTAGTGTAGTTGTAATTGAAGTCGTAGTTGTGGTAGTAGTAGTTGTTGTAGTTGTTAGTGTAATTGGTGTAGTGTAGTGTAATGTAGCGTAGTATGTTTGCATTTGCAGTTGTAGCAGTAGTCTAGTGTAGTGGTAGTTGTAGTTGTTGTAGTTGTAACATGTTGTAACTGTCTATCTATCGATCTATCGATCGATCTATCTATTCTATCTAATCTATCTAATCTATCTAATCTATCTAATCTATCTAATCTATCTAATCTATCTAATCTATCTAATCTATCTAATCTATCTAATCTATCTATCTATCTATCTATCTATCTATCAATCAATCAATCAATCAATCAATCAATCTAATCTAATCTAATCTAATCTAATCTCTATCTATCTATCTATCTATCTATCTATATATCTATTCAATCTATGTATCTATGTATCTATCTATCTATCTATCTATCTATTTATCTATCTATCTATCTATCTATCTATCTAATCTATATAATCTATTCAATCTATTTATCTATGCATCTATGTATCTATCTATCTATCTATCTATCTTTCCATCTATCCATCTAATTATCTATCTATCTAACTCTAATCTAATCTAATCTAATCTCTATCTATCTATCTATCTATCTATCTAATCTATATAATCTATTCAATCTATGTATCTATGCATCTATGTATCTATCTATCTATCTATCTATCTTTCCATCTATCCATCTAATTATCTATCTATCTAACTCTAATCTAATCTAATCTAATCTAATCTAATCTCTATCTATCTATCTATCTATCTATCTATCTTATCTATCTATCTATCTATCGATCTATCGATCTATCGGTCTATCGATCTATCGATCTATCGACTATCGATCCATCGATCCATCGATCCATCGATCTATCGATCTATCGATCTCTCTCTCTCTCTCTCTCTCTCTCCATCCGTCGATCTGCAAGCTTGAAAACGAAGCTATTCTGCAAGACCCCCTCAGTTTTTGAACTTGGCAACATCAAAAACGCAGCAATTCAGCGAGACTTCCTCAATTTTTGAGCTTGACGAACGTCCAAAAGTGCTCCGTTCCCCTCAGTTTTTTGCACTTTTGACTTCGAAATGTGCTTCGCGCCACAACGGTGTGCACTTTTTCGACATCTCAACTTCCAAAAGTGGTCCGAGAATGGTGTGTTTTGTACATTTTGACTTCGAAATGTGCTTCGCGCCACAACGGCGTGCAATTTTTCATCTCTCATCTGCCCAGCAGGCTCCGCACCCGCCGCTTTAGCGAGCCTCTTTTCGACCCGTCGGAGCCACAAATCATTGCAAAAAAAAACATGTTTCACGACTTTCCTACCTTTTCGCGCACCTGGATCTTCTTTCTTCTGAGATTTTCTCTTTCTTCTTCTCTTCTCTTCTCTGACTCTTCCCATCTCTGCGACTCTTCCCATCTCTGCTTTTCATCTGTCCATATTGTCGGAAGTTTGACTTCTAAACCTCCTTCGATAATATCATCGTATATATATATATATATAATCATAGCAATTATATCATCATATGAATCATATATGTCTTCATGGATTATCATCATTTTCCCACTTAAAATCCCTAGGTTGGGGATATACCGCTCACCGGTCGCCGGGGACAATCCCCAGGCTGAAGAATCCCGTGGCGCCTCAGCCCGAAGCTTTCGAAGTTCCAAGGGCGTCAGCATGCTTTCGCCTGATGAAGCCAGCTTTTCATTGGATGATTTGAACCACTACAACTTAGTATATCTGAGTATATCTTAGATTATCTTAGTATATCATCTTCCATACTTCTTTACAAGGAGTACTTATAATATATCTTAGTATACGCATACACGCATATACTTAACCAAAGGAGTTCTCAGTGGGTTTGAACAGATCCAATTGATCCAATACATTCCACCGGGCATTCCACAGCACTTGGGGCCCAAAAATCAGCTGCGCCTGCATCAGAACTTTTTCCATCCAGCTTCGGTGTTGAATCTGCAGTGGAGTCCTTTGCGGCTGCCCATCACGTGCGGTGCGGTGGAGTCATGTGGCGTCACAAATAGAGTCAGGAGAGATCAAGAACATCTACAACCACCAACAAGTGGAAGGTGACTGGAACACACCCGGTTTGGAACATAGAGATTCCACAAGCCCGGCATAGCCCGGCACTCTCCTGCATGTCTTGCCTGTCTCGCTCAGACTGCAGGGGGGGCGCTGCGAGATTGGCCAAAAGAGCCTGGTTGACATTGCTGGTGGTGGCTTCCACAGAACTACGAGAAACGGTGGAGACATCCACAGCAAGGGGCAAAACCACTCAGACACGGCGGAGTAAGTGGCAAACAACATGAGAACAGTAGCAACAAATACCAACAGTATAGATACCTTTAGGAATTCAGTGGAATTTCAACCAACAACAACTCGAAACATGTTGAACACTGAATTGTATTTGGCTGGTCAGAATTTAAACAAGCCCTGTGATGGTTGGTCTACCACTGAAATTATCAGGCCATGCGGGCCTAATTGGTATGCAAGTAATTTCAGCAAAACCCACATATTCCTATTATCCTTGGGTAGTGTTGGTTAAATCCAAATGTGTTGCGATTTAATTTGCCATGTTTCATGGTTATTTTTGTTGTCGGTTCAACAAACCCCATGTGAAGTCTGAAACTATTGACCGTATTGATCAGTATTTAATCCACACTATTGGCTATAAGTATAACTTACCAACCAATTCTCACCGACCTACAACTTATGTAACTCACAAAAAAAATATTTGGTAATTTAACATAGCTATTGAAAATTGCCCATGAAAATAGTGGATTTACCCATGAAAAACATGGTGATTGTCTATAGTTATGTAAACGTTTACCAGAAGGTAAGTAAGCCCCTAAATATATCCCAAAACACCGGTCGTTGTGGCGGCTGAAAACCGCACCGACCAAAAACCGCACCTCCATCGTGGTGTCAAGGGCGGTCGGTGGTGTCAACATGAAATCTTCATCCACTGCCTGGCAGCGTTCAGACACGTGACCATCCCAGGCATTTTGTAGGCAGTGAAACGCATGTGTATCTGTAGAGATTGAAGATATAACTGGGCAATGATATGGATAATATATGGATATTATTATTAACATGAATGTAATTAGTTATTATCCAACTTGCACCAACTTAATAACTGGGATGCACCAAAGATCACCAAAGATCACCAAAGCATGTCATGATTAGCCCCAAACACCCTACCACAGCGTTTTTCTTAGAACTGCCTGGTTGGTGTATTCTTTCATTTTGCAAAACTAACACACGAGTCCCTACTCGACCAGTTGCTTCGCCGTAGGTAGGGCATGTTTGATGGGGATCTCAGATATGACGAGTCATTTGATATGAAGTCATCATTGTTTCCATGGAAATGAAAGACGAAAGAAACGATGTAAAATACGCATGAAAAACAAACAAAACCCATCACCCAGCCTACCATTACAAACAGGCAATTTTTGTCTTGGTCGTCCCCATCAGCAGGCATCGCAAGCACCATGATCTGAAGGCTGCACTTTTAGGAGAAAAAACGCCGTCTAGGCCAACCATTTTCTCGATGAGAATCTGCTGGGAAAGCAAAGTTGATCCGACGGGCACCAAAGAGGAGCCAATTGTGTCGATGCTCGTTGACTTCGAATAATTCATGGGTCATTAAATGTCCCCATTGAACATCACCCAACCATTAGGTATATGGTCTATAATGGCTACTATAAGGTGATGTCCAATATACCCAAAATGGGACAGTTACCAACCCCTGTAATTGATGACTGAAATTGCATTTTTCTGGTTGATGCCTCACTTTTGTTGACAAGACCGAAAAAAATACCGACCATTCTTGACCCACCATCCTTGGCTGTTGGACCTAGTGATTTTGCTGCTTAAAAACATCATTTTTGCCGCAAAAAAGCTTCCACTTCTACCACAAACAGAAAGAAAGAAATGGGTATGGGTCAATACCTATTAATACCATTTTTAGGGGAATGAACATCCATTTACCAGAAATTTTGATGTTCACCAGGGGTACAGTACAAGGTTTTGACCCACTGCCAAATGATGCCTCTGTCTTTGTTAACATGTTAAAGTCGGCCCCATGGTCAGTGCCCCCATCCACCAACGTCCACCTCCGGCAAAACCAACGTGGGCGCTGGTGCCGCTAGCATTGGGGCTGCACCAAAGGCTTGACCACGTGCACCTTCCATGGTGGTGCTTGGCTGAAAGCATGTGATGTTCTCAATCATTGGGTTGTTACAAGGTGGGCATTTTCATGAAATAAGCTTTTAAATAACTTTTACCATCGATTAAAGGATTCCAATGTTAAATCCCTCTAAATAGTACCAAATATGTGGTTTCATCTCCTACTGATCCTTGGTGTTTGATATGAATTGGAGAATGGGATAAATTATACATAGGTTATTATAAAATAGTTGTAAAGGTACAGGCTATAAACCATATTGTATCCCCACTAATATCCCAGTACATCACCATTGGACCATAGATGGACCAAAAACCAGCCCCTAGACCTGCAGATTCCGGCTTGGCTCTCGCTTGGCCTTAGACGGAGCTGGATTGGCCTGGGAATATGTGCAGAAAACCCATGGGGTTTTGCCATCGCTGGAATTTCACCTAATCCATCCATCCTAAAAACATCAGTTGTTTTTTCCCAGGAAGCATCACCATTGAAAAAAACATATGGAGGTTTCCTAAAATATGGGTACCCCCCAAATCCATTTCAATGGGATTTTCCATTAGAAATTGATAAACCACGTTCATTTGCACTCGTACTCCCTACGTTCACTTTTTGCCTAGATGATTTAAAAACACCTTTTACGAGACTTTAAAAAAAGCTAAGGTATCCCAATTTATGGAATCCCCTATATCTTACCCATAGAAAAATGGATTAATATTTCATTTATCTGAATTAAGGCCATAAAAGGGGATGATTTCCCTACAATGGACCATGATTCCAGTGAGGGAGAACAATGAGGTCGTGATCAAATTTACCCAGATTGATGTTTTTCCAATGGAAACCAATCCACATATGTCACCCAGGACACCTGGCGCCGCTTTCGGCCAGGGGACGCGCTTCTTCTGCTTCCTGCCTTCCCAAGATGCGACGTTCTTCGGCTTCTTGCCTAAGCCATGGTTCAAAGGATTGATTTAAGGGAACATTTACCAGGGTTTACCCCCATATTTCATCGTATTTCATGGGAAAATCCATGGTTTCCGATGAAGATGTTCCCTGAAATCAATCCATCGAATAGGAAAAAAAACTGTTTTTATGGCGACGTTGATGGAAAACATCATCTGAAGTATATATCTATAGCATAGATTAGGGTGTTTTTCCATATGTGTTCCATGTTTTTGATTTTTCCATTGTCAGGTTAACTGACGAGAAGAGATGTCTGGCCAGGTCGAATCATATTTACGACCGGTCAAGTCATGGATCGATCAATGGTCCTTTTGAAGATCTGTTTTTTAAAGTGAATATAAGTGAAAAACATGAAGCGTGCATTCTCATCCATTTACATTCATGTACACTCCACATGCATGATAAAAAAACAATGGAAGCATACCACAAAGGCATGTTCCGCTTTAATCCCAAAGTTGATTCGTTAAGCAAATATGTTAAATACACCGATAGTGTTAAACATGGTTAATGTGGTTGAATGTGGTCTATTACTAAGCCATCAGTTTGATAGACAAATTGGTTTCAAATAATATGTTGAATATGAATGAAATGTTAAATACAAAAAAACATCTCAAATAACAAATATTTAATATGGACACAATTATATCCCAAATGATTGGCTAAAGGGTTGAATACCAACAAAAAAAATGTTAATTAAATCCATGTAAAATCCCAGATGAGTAGTGTTTTTTTTCATCCTTGTCTTTCAATTTCCATAATCTGTCTTGTGGAGTTCCCACTTTATCTATTTTCCACTTTTTCCTGCATCCAGGAAAAACACACAAAACACTACTCAGAGCGCAATCTGATTCCACTGGTTGATCATGCCATAGACATTGCCACAAAACACTACTCAAATGCTGGTTGGTGGTGTTAACCATCTTGAAAAATATGAGTTCGTCAAAGGGGTTGGGATTATCCCATATGTGAAGTGGAAAATAAAATTCATGTTCCAAACAACCAACCAGTGAATCATTATTTAACCACTAGCAAAATCACTATTAACCACCACTAAACCACTATTAACCATTATTAACCACTATTAACCACCATTAAACCACTATTAACCATTATTAACCACCGTTCTGAAATATGGAACCAGAAGAAATCACCCCAGCGCAGCACCGGAAAAAATACTGGGAGCCCTGCTGTTGCTGAGCCATTCGCAGCTTCATGGCTTGGAAGGGATTGACCCTGGAAAGGCCAGAGCGCGAGTTGTTTGCTTTTGAAAAAATCATTGTGGAATGATGGGGATTTAATGATTAACACTGGTTAATAGTGGTTAATAATGGTTAAGGGTGGTTAAGAATGATTAATAGTTTATTTCAAACTTTAGCCTCTTAACCTGTGGGCCTTGTGGACCATGGAGGGAACTATGGAAGGGACTATGGAAGAAACCAGGGCAATAAGGATATCTTATAGAAGGTGATGTTAGAAACCATGTCAAGGGAAAATTAGCAAGCTTTTGAAGAAGTAAAGTAACAAAACAATGCACACAGCGAGGACACATCCCGATTCATCAATCTGGATTTGCACTAAAAGTCGTTAAGAACTTGACCTAAATTGAATTTGTATTGTGGACCGGTGATGAATTCAGTTTTGCTAATAGCAAAAACTTGCCATGGATACTTTATACCTATCTGATCCACAGTCTATAGATATAAAATTCTGATTGTGAGATTGGGGTGAACTTATGTTTCGGTCTTTCTTTTGAAGACTAAATCTACTTAGGTAATCTTAGGTGCAAATAAAATTCTACTTAGGCGTCACGAACTGACGCCTAAGTAGAATTCTATTTGTGCCAGATAGATTATGCATTCCAAATTCTAGTCTGGGGCTGTTGGAAGACAAAAATCATAATCTACTTGGGCGCAAAAAGAAATATGGGGCCCCGAATTACACAGATGTTGTATATTATTGTTGTATACTGTTTTCCTTTCCAACTTACGGACCAATATTTTCAAATACGAAATTTGTATGTAACATCTAACTTGATGTTGAAAGGTTTTTTGTCCAAGAACTTGGAGCAATGCGTTTCTCTTTCAAAGTGGTGGGTTTCTCTTTCAAAGTGGTGGGTTTCTTCATTGGGTGACATTTTTAGTGGAAACACCCCTTATTTCCATGGATTGCTACACAGTTCTTTCCATAGTTCTTTCCCTGGACATATGAAATCAACAGGCATCCAAATTTAAGAGACTAAGGTTTGAAATAATTAATAGTGGTTAATAGTGGTTAATAATGGTTAATAATGGTTAATAATGGTTAATAAGCTATCATGGTGAATATTGGATGGTTAATTAATATTAAAGGCTAACAATCCCATCCCCCCTTCACATTAGACACCCCCTATACAATGGTCCCAAAGTTCTGTAAATATGTGGTTTCATTCCTTACTAAACCATGGTTTCATTTGTTTTTTTAAAACTAATATATGAACGGGGGGAGGGACTAGCAGCCAACATGGGTCAACACTCAGAATTGCACTGGTCAGTTTTGGTCCACCAGGAGTTCCCCTTCTAAGGACAGTAACTTGGCCCACAGGCCCTGACGGAACATGGTCTCCAGCACTAATCCATTTAATTTCAGATCCGGCTGATCATTTATTTTGCATCATAGTAGCTTTGGCTATAAACCCTATCAGGGTACGTCACTGGTAAAACTTGGATTGTTGCTGCTGGAACTCCAAATATCTTCAGTACTACAGCATAATACAGCCATAAACATATACATATATCATAAATACATCCATCTGCTAGTTCAACTGCCCCCACTGGGCCACCCCAACGGCACTGCCCGACTCTGCACAGGTCGCGGATTGGACTTCCGCGTCGCCGTTTGCGTTTTGTCAGCCACGGGGCTCGGGGCACTGGGCTCCACCCTCGGCCGGCGTCGCCCGAAGGACCCGTGGTGGGTGGCGGCCTTGGCGACATAGCCGCTGACCGCTTCCGCGCTGGCCAAGGTCCGGGAGCTTTCGCGGGCGCGGCGGCGACCCCTCCAGCATCGCTGCAAGGCGGTGGCGGCTTCGTTGGCCACCAAATTCATGGTCAACAGAAGGGTCTGCTTGGAATTTTTGGTCCAGGACTCATTTCCTGCTGCCATGAAGATTAAGGCAGCCATGAAGTCATCACCACCACATCTGGCCAAGGAGCGTTTGGATTTCCACAGCCCAGGGTTTTTGGAGGCCAAAGAAGCAATGGAGGCACACATGGCTCCAGCGGTGGCACAGGGTGCCCTGGACCGGAAGCTCCCGGGGCTGCGTTTCGCCTCATCCACCACAGCTGTTGCAGGGCCGGCGGAGTGACAGGTGTGGCGCTGGCCTTTCTGGGGCTCTTCTCCGCAGTTGGGACACACGATGCGCATCATGGAGACTTGGCAATGGCTCGAAATGATGGACCCTGTCAAAGTTGGTAACACTAAAACTATCTTAAGAAAGCAAGAAAAAACAACATATATCAAAATAATTATGTACTTTGCGTGGGTCGATTAGGACCATTCAAACAGCTGGTGGATTTTTCATGTCGATTTGGTGAGTGGAGTACTTGGCCCAAACCCCGGCTGCTGCCCCAAACCTTCCGCATTTCTCATGCTTCTACCGAGGTGAAATTGAGGCTGACGGAACTTCAGCTCAATCAGATCCGAGAATATTCACGGTGTGTTACGGCGTGTTGTCAAATGATTGAGCTTTGAATTCTGCGGTGCGCATCTGGTGGTGTGAGAGAATCAGCAAGTGCGGACGGAATGAAATCTGTGATTCCAGCAAGTTTTTCTTCAACAATGGATATCCCACATAGAGTTGAAGTGCTAGGATTGATGCACCTGGTGCTGTTTCTCTGCACGGCGACATTGAAGTGTGGGATGTGAGTACAGTACCCCATTGCAAACAACGCTTCACCAGTCAGTTTACCAATTATTTATATCAAAATAATCACCACCGTTTTAAGGGGGGGATGTACCCAAAATGTAAGCCACATGTTTCAAGCTGTTTTTGAGGGGGGCCTTGAACATGTAAGCTTACATTTTGAAGGTATTTTGAAGACCCTCCCCTTTTGGTATGGTCCCCCCTGCACATGGCAAAATCCCTGTATCATGGTTACTTGATGGCTAAATATTTCCCTCTTGGAAAACAACAACAACAACAACAGCAACAACTTGATGGGTTATGGGTTAAACCTTAAGTTCAACCATATTACATCATAAACAGATGTCCAGTCTACTATCTTTGGGCCCCCACCATCCCTAAGACGCCACGTCAAGCGCCGCCGCGGCGTTTCCGAGCGTTTTAAGCTTTGACGCGCCGGCCGGTGATTCGACTTTTGGGCGCAGCATGGTGCCAGGCGCTGTTGATGGCCTGGAAAGCAACCGAGCCTTAAAAGGGTAACATGTTCCGGTATTTCAATGGACAATTCATGAAAATTCTCCATGAATTCTCCATTTAGAATCATTTATAGATGAAGATTCTCGATTTATAATCATTATAGATGATGTTCAAAATTGAAAGATCCATCTATCATTTTCGTGCCAGCCGCGTTTGATTACCAAAGGGTACGCCATAATTCTACTGCTTTTACCTGTGTATGGGCACTTGGAGCGTCTAAGTTTAGATTTTTTGTGAGTACTTGGAGTGTCCTGGTAACCCACAAAAGTGGAGCAGCAAAAAACATTGTCAAACTGGGGGGCATAAACCCCCCGGAACCTGGAAAAAAGTCTGAACCAAAGCCACAATTATCAACAAATTGGCGTCTTTGCGGCTCAAAACGCCATCTGATCATGTTTCGGCACTCGGCACTTAGCCATCTGATCACGTTTCACCTAAGAAAGATCACCAGAACTTCTTTGGGATGTCGACATCTGCTGCTTTTGCGTGCCTCCACCCATTGAGCAGCGCGGCGTTCTGAAACGCAACGGAAGGATTCCGTTTTGCCAGGCCATTCAACCTCCGTTCACCCGTTCGTAATACCCAGTAATCAAAGATGGCAAGCTGGAGAATCCCAGGGGTTCATGGGGTTTTCTATGATTTTAATGGGGTTTTCTATGATTTAATGGGGTTTTCTATGATTTAATGGAGTTTTCTATGATTTAATGGGGTTTTCTATGATTTTAATGGGGTTTTATATGATTTACATTGATTTACAGTAACTGCGAATTAGAATCTAATAGGATCATCGATATGGGATGTTGCACTACCAGAGGAGAAGGACAATATATGGGATTGGTTTGGTGTAGCCTCCAGCAAATATGGAACATCCACCATTTATAGATAATGTTCTGAAAGACTCCTGGGAAACCATGTGTTTTCTTGTTTTTTTTCCATGTCTGTTAACTTACTGGAGGGTACTACTTCCCGTCCTTTAAGTACTGGATATACGGATATACAAGGTCGGGGGTACCTCTCCATTGATCAAGCGCTAGTGGGAGTTTGGGACACCTATGGCTTGATCCAAGTCAGTGGTTAAGATCGCCTATGCTGCTGGAAACCAATCGCCTATGGATTGTTTTATCATGCTTTATCACTAAAACCGTGCCTTCTTTTTGACCCAGAAATTTCGAGGGGAGAAAAGCTCGCCCTCCTCTCCTCGAAGCTTCTTGCACATCTGCTGGTGATTGTAGCGGCCCCAGCCATAGAGCTCAATGGATACCTGAAACTACAAAGGTCATCCATGGCAACTTGTCCCACTCCCAACATGACGACCATGCCGTGAGTTGGGGTTGGAAGTTGGTTTGAAAAAACATTTCCTCAAAAAATGTTTGATTTTCAGGATCTATATTTTTTTCTTTGTATATTTATGTTAGTTTCGGAAATGGATGGAAATGATGTCACAACCACAAACCAAACAAGGGGTGAAGTTGCACCTCTTTCAACACCAAAGTTGGGAGCCATCAACTATCCCCGGTCATCCTTGACACATTCAATTTGAACCTTAGACAGATTCCTATCATCTTAAGTCATCAACAAAATGGTCATCATATGCCATCATGGTCAGCTGAAACCAGCTGTTGCTCGAAAGATCACTGGCCATCTCAGGAACCTAAATTGATAATTGGATGTACCTACCATATATATATGTATATATATATATATAGATAAGGACTATTTTTCAGGCCTTAAATTTCAGGGAATATCCCCACAAAAGATGGCCTTATATGGTACTAACGTACCTCCATGTATTGGATCCTGAGTCATTCCCATTGAAACAAGGTTCCCATCTGTCCGCGGTGTCCGCTGAGGCTCCAACCCACTCAACAAACTTTGGGAGCCCCGGTTGTGCAGCACCTGAAACCTGGGTCATCGTTGTTCATCGATCCCCGGCATCCTATAACTATTCGCTATGTCATACGATGATCATACTGTAACTATGAATACATAAACGTATAATGTTGTCTAGCCAATAATGATACCTTGTCAATAGTAGAAACTTTTTTCCCAACTCCAGTTTTTTCTCCAATACTAAAAGTCAATTAGCCTAATTTACTTGTAGTATTGCCAAAAAACTCATGTTCTGACCTTGTCCAGAGGGCATGGCCAATAGTGGACCCAACATGGCAATAGTGGAAACTTTTTTTCCCAAATCCAGTTTTTTCTCCAATACTAAAAGTAAATTAGCCTAATTTAATTTTAGTATTGCCAAAAAAACTCATGTTCTGACCTTGTCCAGAGGGCATGGTATAGTATCCAGACAGATTCCAAGAAGAGCTTTCTATTGGGTTCCAGGAATTTACTATTGGAATGCTGACCCCCCCTTTTAAAAAGAAAATAGGGGGGGGTTATTATTAGGCAGCCTACATTATAAACGTTACTAATAAGACAATACAGACAATAGTAAACACACCCAATGTTCTTATAAGGAATAGATAATATATATATAACACAGCCAATTTTCTTATAAGCCAATCATCCTTTTTCTTGGGTGACGATCAGAAAATTGAGCGACCAGGATCAATCCAAGGCTGTGATCGCTCGAAATTTAAGCGGAGTCTAGTCCATGTTGGAGCCATACTGGGCCATGCACACTCACCTCCTGCATAAGCTTGGATATTGGATATATATATATATACCCTCTGGTAAATTAACATAGACCCTGGCAGATAGGAGTTGGAAGACTAGTTTCCATTAAAAATTGGCTATTTTCAGGGTCTATGTTTATTTACCAGAGGGTATATATAAATACATTCCTCTAAACTAACACAGATCTGAAAAAGCACGGTTTGCCTGGGGAAATGATCTACTTCTATGGATTTTTCACATCTGTGTCAGCTTACAGGAGGGTAACATTCCATGGAAACCTTCGGGCTCCCGACTGTCCATTGCGTATCTCCACGAAGACCTATCCAGAAAGGCACCATGGGAATCTCTTGTTGTGAGCCTAAGGTTGGATCAGTGAAACATCCAGATGATTATATCTTGATTATGTGAATTGGGTATATTGGGTAATCATGGTTGGGTATATTGTTCCGGCTTCACTGGCAAACATGTGATTGCAGACTTCCCACCACTTCCAGCCATCATCCGGCCAGTTATCCATCCATCAGGAAGACCAACCCTTCAAATATCAAGCAGCACTAGGATGTTGAACATCCTCTGAGATTAAAAAAAATGGTCCTATATTCCTCCTGTGACAGCTCCTTTGAGGAAGGTGCTTCAGCCAATCCAATGTCGTTTTTTTCACACCATCTGACTGTATATAAATCCTGTTTGTGCAAGTTCATGCGATATTCTGACTCAATTCCTGCCTCCAAAACGCTTTTTTTAAGCATCCTCAAGCTATCACCTGGTTATTTAACATAGCCATGGAAAACCCTTATAAATGGAGGTTTATAGCTGGGAAAATCAACCATTTCCCATGGCTATGTTAAATAACCAGAGGGTATCTCAAACCATGGAACATGATGGCTCTTCAAAGTGTCCAAGGTCCCGCAAAAAGATCTGCCGATGAAAGAATCAGAGCCTTCTCAAAGCTGCCGTCATGGCTAGGACGCTCCAGGTAGCCTTCCCAGTTGTAGTCCTGAAAGGCGCCATCCCAATGGCTTGATTTGGGCTGCACGGTTAGCCCTTTTGATCTGTTCCAGTTGGCAAATCTCCCAAAAATTGAACCAATCAAAATCTTGAGACAAATCTCTGGAAGATCACTGGGGTAGCCCAGTAATGTGCAATTTTTCACGTCGGGGAAAAAAAGCACGCACCCAACGTCCTCATCATCTGTTGCCATTGTACTTCTTGGTGCTTCGAAGGACCTGCACCGATTTTTTGCGGCCAAAGTCACTTAGGTGATGTCAACTTAGGATCATAGAATTGGATGATGGGAAAATTTTAACCGGAAAACCCGATCAATTTGATGGTAAAAACCATGGTTTCCGGTGTAGATTTTCCCCAACAAACCAATCCATTGATAGGATGGTGAACCTGGGGTGTGCCTCAAATGTTGTTGTGATGATAGGTTTCATGTACCCTCTGGTTATGACTAACATAGCCTCTGGTTTACCATAGGAAAATGGTGATTTAATGGTTAACAATGGTGAATAATGAGATGATAATGGGATATACCCTCTGGTTATGACTAACAGTTCGCCATGGTATAGATGGCCCATAGAAGTAGATGGTTTACCGTTTACCGTTCTTAAAATGGTGATGTTTTCCACGGCGAACTGTTAAATAACCAGCGTCGGTCATCATTTTTGGGACCCAAATCGTCGCGGCCTTGCGATGGAACTTTTGTTCACCGGCACTTCCGGAAGCGGCTTTGGCTCCTTGCGGTGTTGCAACCGCAGTGAGTGATTCAACGCCGTGATTCAAGAGGAACGTGTTGAGTTTGAACCATGCTTTTTACAACCACATGTAGGAGTTTGAACCCATTTTCCTGAAAAAAACTGAGGAATGTTCGGCCATCCACCAGCGACGCGCCGCTGCTTGAAATCTCCAACTGAGACATTTGCCAAGTTTTGAAATAAAACTATCCCTACAAGTGAGGTCATCCACGGTTATAAGTTGGTTTATCCTAACTATAGATCAATCATGACAAATCATGATAGATCATGATAAATCATGAGAGATCTACCATAGATATCTACAGATCCTGCTTAAGCCACTTGTAAACCCGTGGGATGCCACCTGATAGCATGGTAGCTGTCCATCCTCAAATCGATCCACCATCTCCACCTTGCCAGGCAATCTGTAGCGCTCCAACCTGTCGTTTTGCGCCCCGGCAATGATCAGTAGCTGATATGTATTGGGGTGTATACATAATCACATATATATATACATATATATAATATACTATAATATATATATAACATAATATATAATACAATATATATATAACAGTTATATATAATATGCACTTATATAATATATATATATTATAATATATTATGTATATAATATATATATATAATATATTATATAAATAATAAATATAATATATATATAAATAATAAATATAATATATATATATATCATATATAATATAAATAATATATATATATATATATAATACATATAATATTATATAATAGATATAAAAAAATATAATATATATATATATATAATATATACAATATATAATATATATTATATATATACTAATCATTTTACATATAATACATAATACATATAATATATAATATACAATATTTATATATATATTATATATAAAATATATTATATATTATATATTAAATATATATATATTACATATATTATATACTATATTTATTATATATCATAATATATATAATATATATATATACATATATATAATCTTATATAATATATATAATATTATATAATATATATATATATAATATTATATATAATATATATATTAATATATATATATATTATATTATATAATATATATATAATATATTATAATATATATATATATATATTTATATTATATTATATATATATTATATAATATTACATATATATGTATATTATAAATATATACATAATATATACATAATATATACATAATATATACATAATATATACATAATATATATATATATATAACTTATAACATCTTACAACTTGTGCTCAAGGAGTTGATGTGGATCATGGGGCCTTGCATTTCACAGACACAGGACAAGCTGTTTTGATTTTCCCTTCTAAACCATCCAGCTATTTGGGACCCCCCATTTATGGAAACCCCAAATAAATCCAAATATTCTGGCTGAGGGGCAAGGCTCGACGGTGGTCATGCACTTTTCGCTCGAAGTCCATCTGCTCAGTAAGAGCTTGCACCTCATGCGGTCACTGCATGGGAAACACGCGAGGTTGGAACCAGAGGGTAGTTCCAGATTCAATGGGAAAATGGAAGTCATTTTTTAGAGATTTTCCAGCTAGCCATGTTTGAAGAGACCAGAGGGTACCTACAGCCACCCTGCCGCTGTCTTTCGCACCTCTTCTTTCAGCGGTGATGAACTTTCGCCGTTGACCGTGGGATCCTTTCCGGCTCCATAGCCACTGCCTCAACATGTCTCCGCTTCGGAGTTGAGTGAAAACGAAAACAACGACCACCGGATATTCTTGGAGTGTGGAAGCTACAAACTGACAAACCGATCTTCATTGGAAGACCATAATATATATATATATGTGTATGTGTATATATATATATAATTGTTGGATAATTTTGGATGATTATGGATGATTCAAGGCTTGAACATCTTCTGATATCTTGGATCACCTGAAAGGAATGTGATTGATCCGACGGGGATGCGCTGGGCTGGAATTGATACCCCTTTGGATCCACCAGGAATATGATCCCACCCGTACCCTTATATAACTCTACAGCTATATATATATATGATATATATGAAATATACATATAAATATACCACATATGTATGGTATATTGTCTGAGAAAAATAGGGCTCAAGTGAAAGAAATCAATGGTGAATCATCATCTTCACCGGTAGACCATATTTTCAGACAAACCTATGCTATCTAGATACCCAGAGGATTTTTTTCCGTTCGCCAGTTCCCTCCCAGCCACTGGTCGGGTCCATCTGGCCAGCGCGAGCTTCCAATAGCTCCTCAGAAGCAGGGTCAGGGTTAGGGTGGGTGGGTAGAACCCATCACTCAGTGTATTGATTTCAGGAAAACATTAGGAAACGACATTTTTTTAACGACCTAAAACATTGTTTTCCATGGTTTTCCAGTGAATTCTCCTTTCAAACATGTCTGTGAAATGATGGGGGGAAGTAATAGCCTCAAGTCATCTCAAGTCTCATTGACCGTAACTACCGGGATTGCCATCTGCTTCTGTTAGTGAATAGACCAAGTACATCATCAAGCCAGGGGGCGACATTTTCAAGCCACGCCTATACTTTGGGGATACCCAAATATGACCAATGCATTGACAAAAACAAGGGAAGCGGCGACAAGAACGAAGCAAGAGCGATCTGACACACCAAACCTTGGCTGGAGCCAAAAACATGGTGTTGTTAGCAGCAAACTGGTACATAAACAAGTTCTGCAACTTCTTGTCAATCCACAAACCTATGATTTTCGGGTCCACGGCGACTTTTTTGAGGTGTCTGCAGGGGCAAAGCATGATTTTCCTGAATTTCTCCATGATCTTCTCATATTTTTGTTGCTAAAAGCAGTTTATCACCAGCAACTCACAACAGGTTGGGCCCTGAAAGCAATGGATGTTTCACCGCCAGAAACCTGAAACCGGCAGACATATAACGATAAAAAATACAAAAATCAATTAAGCATCACAATCTGGGCAAATTCAAACATGTTTTTTCTTAATTTCTAACCAAGATTCCAGTGAGGTCACAGCGAGGTCACTATAATTTACCTAGATCATAATGGCAAATAGAGATGGAGGAAAGAAAGCTGGTGTCAAGTCCTTGATGATGATCATGCCCATTGTGCTGTTTTGTGTTGCTACATCCCCAAAGTTTTCTGGAGAATATACCACGCACATATATGTGAAACAACAGGTAATTGTTACATATGGTCACATCTTGAATCATAACCCTTTCTTGGTTGTTAGATTCCCCCTTAGTGTGATTTTTAAACCTGCAATACTGTTGAATGGTTTATACCACCTATTTGACCTGGTTCTAGTAACATTGTGGAGGTGGTTGAATGTTGATGACACATGATGGCATTGGGTTCAAGCAAACGTTAACGTTAACCAACACAATACCAACAAAACTTGGAAGCACCAACCAGGTATTCTGCATCTTTAATTCATTCACCAACAACAAAGTGGAAGCACCAACTCAGTACTTACATTTTGTTTTTGTTCAACACCATGTTTTGGGTTCTGCATTCAACTCAGTAGTTAAGATAGTTATTAATGTCTTAAACAATGCCATAAACTAGCCATGACTGCGAATGGTAACCATACCACCTATAAAAATGCCAGTCTGACTGAGTGAAATTGGGGGTAGGTGCAAATGGCATTGTTTTACCCACATTACTAGATACCCTCTGGTAAACATACAAAAAGCTATTGAAAATGGCCATAGAAATAGTTGATTTACCCACTAAAAATTGTGATTTTCTATAGTTATGTTAGTTTACCAGAGGATAATCAACTCACGACCGGCCGCCATGTCTGAAGCATCTGAAGCGAGTTTCAGCTTCTAGTCTGGCCACTGCATCCCGGCAGCGTTGCTCCACCAGGGCGCACTTGGCTTCAGCGAGTTCCCGGCCCCGAGTCTCCTGGGAGCTAGGCGCGACCGAAGATGTATGGCTCCTCGAAATAGCCATGGAGGTTTATAGTTTATGGCTGGGAAATTCATCCAAAATACAGTACTATATATATATATATTATCTATTATATCAGTCACTAGTTATAAAATTGGGTGTTTCAAGGATTACAAGGTGATTCCCCTCAGTTAGAAGTTGGTCTAAAACCTCATCCGATGATAGGTGTAGCTAACATAAACCCCAGTTGGCATAGTTATACACCAATTTAGCTAAGTAGGGGGCAGCACCTTCTTTTCCATGTATTGACCCATCTAATTTTCGCCATTGGGTTAATAGTTTTGAACCATAGCCATCTTCTGGGTTTTTGAATGGGATTTTGGTGGTCTTTTGCTGCAGACTGAGTCAACAAGGGGTTTGACACGGCCCCAGGTATGGCCTGGGTTAACATCTATGCGTAACCTACATATATATATATATAATATCAATGATGCAATACTGATAATAATATACAATAAGATCAAAATCGCGATCCGCAATGTAACCAGCGATTTCGAAGTCGCACCACACCACTTAACTCACTCAGCTCCTGAAGCCGTGCTTCCTCAGACGCCTGCAGTCTTGAAATCAGCGCAGCTTTTCCCATCTCTTCGTCAATCTCTGACCTCGGCTTGACCAGTGGCCTGGGACCTTTTTGATTTTTGGATGTCTGGATGCTGTGCTCATGGAAATTTCCAATTGCCAAGCCATCCAAAAGATGGTTTTCGGGCCCAAAATATGAAGGGCATCACCAAAAAAACCTCCGGAAACTGTACCCTTTTTGAGGCTGGAAAGATCTGGAAAGTACCGATTCAAGAATGATTCCTCTCAATTCATATTTATAAGTCTATGACCGTAAATTTCCAAAACCATCCCGTATTTTAAGGCCCAAAAGTTACAGTACATGTTTTTTTCTGCAAATGTCTAAACCAAAAATTGCTACACCATTCAACTACTACCTTCCTGGGCGATACAGCCATGGATTCCCAGACTGTTTTATTAAATTACCGCAGGATAAACCTATCATTTTTCCACAATTGTTCACCAATTTTCCACAAGTTTTACCGCCCATGTTTCTCATCATATCACAGTTCTCTCCTGTTTTTTCCATGTTTTCCATATGTTTTCCATATGTTTTCCATATGTTTTTCCATATGTTTTCCCGATGTTTGCTACACAATTTCCTATGATTTCCCCTGTTTCCACCATAAATTGTCCCATTGAAACCCGACAGGAGCTTCGCCAGGCGACGCCTCAAAGAGCTGGGGGGAGGCGACCGTGGCTTCTTGCAGCGATTCCAGCTGACGACGCAGCTCTTGGCTGCTCATCTCCTCCTGAAAATAATGGGGATAACGTGGGAGTATTGCTGGGATCAATGGGACATAGATAGAGATAGATATAGATATAGATATTAGATATAGATATAGATATAGATACAGATATAGATATAGATATAGATGCAGATGCAGATGCAGATGCAGATACAGATATAGATAGATTAGATTAGATTAGATTAGATTAGGTTAGATTAGATTAGGTTAGATTAGATTAGATGAGATTAGATTAGATTAGGTTAGATTAGATTAGATTAGATTAGGTTAGATTAGATTAGATGAGATGAGATTAGATTAGAGTAGATTAGATTACATAGATAGATAGATAGATAGATAGATAGATAGATAGATATAGATAGATAGATAGATAGATATAGATAGATAGATAGATAGATAGAGATAGATAGAGATAGATAGAGATAGATAGAGATAGATAGAGATAGATAGAGATAGATAAGATAGATAGGAGATAGAGATAGATAGAGATAGATAGATAGATAGATAGAGATAGATAGAGATAGATAGAGATAGATAGAGATAGATAGAGATAGATAGAGATAGATAGAGATAGATAGAGATAGATAGAGATAGATAGAGATAGATAGAGATAGATAGAGATAGATAGAGGTAGATAGAGATAGATAGAGATAGATAGAGATAGATAGAGATAGGTAGAGATAGATATAGATAGATAGAGATAGAGATAGAGATATAGATATAGACTGATATAGATAACCAATCAACTAGGTGGTGCCATGTTTTGAACCCACTATTGACAATCGATGAGAACAATTCATTGAAGAATGGCTAGGATATTGAAACTATGACATATAGTAGCCATATTCTAAGCTGTCACCGAAGGTCGGATAAGCCAAAACCGGATGGAACTATCTCGCTGAATTACAATAATTCACCAACCTTGAATATAGTTGTTGGATGTGTTTGGCTGATGAAACTGTAAGTAATCTATAACAACCACAAATTGGAGAGCCAACAATTCCATTTTCTAAACATCGTAATGTTTTGGGCTGATACTTTCCATATTTAACTAACATTCACTGAGTATCATCAATAGCAACCATCTCATCCTGTTCGCTTGATGATGGCGTAGTGTCTTTGGCTGATATTTTTAAATGATCTAACCCATATTGGCGAGTTGAAGCTAATTTCAAGTCTAACCAACCACATATCATGGTTCAGCTGTCACCAAAGACACGGAGCGGCTCCTGTGGTGAGTTGCTTCGAAATTCATTGGTCAATGTGATAAACTGCCATAAACCATCCCTTCACCAGAACTGGGTGGTACAAACCCTCCTCAAAATGGGAGGTCTATTGTTGGGTTGACCGGTTGACCACATTTTTTTGACATTCATGATCCAAAAGGGACGAATCATACGTGAAAAATATTTGTACTTAAAACGGGTACCAAAAAAAAGTACGGAAGGGCCTCACATGGATCCATAGCCACCTGATATCACATGATGCCACATGGCTGTTGAACCCGCCATCTTGAAGGGTCAACTGCCATGTGTTTGTTTTCCAAAACTGGACGATGGGTCCAAGCGCCGTGGAACATCCAATACCAAAACCCAAGTGTTGAAGATTCATTACAAACAACAAACAACTATATAGAATATCTCTAAATATGGATTTGTAAGGAATGGAATAAAAACCCTGTAGGACCACACAAAGCTGGAAATTAAACCAACAAAAAGGGTTGGTTGATCAAATCTAGATATGCAGATGGATGGTTGCCTCTCCTCGCAGAGCCTCTTCTGGAGTAAAACCTCATGGCAAGGCACTTTTGGACTGAAGATAGTCAAAAACTGGACCCCATTTGGGAGGCTTTCACCATCTCAGTGTTATAAAATGCTGGGAAAATCACCATATCGCATAACCATCCATCAAAATCCCAATCTGCCCCATATATAGGCCCCAAAAAAAGGCCCTATGGCCTATGGTCATCCAATTTGGCCAAGGAAAATCCACCGGTTATGGGTGATGTTCCAACTAAAGCCATTCTAAAGCCTCCATTCTGCGGGATTTTCCAGCCAGCCACGTTTGATTACTGGCTGGTAAGCAGATATTTTTCCATAAAATGTTGGATCCGAGCTGCCTTCTCCTGTTGGAACTCCCGTGCGTGAAGAGCTTGCCGCTGCCATTCCTGCCACATGGCACAGTTTCAGTTTGTTTCAGCTGTCCTAATATTTTTTTGGGACCCCTGCACCAGGGTTCAGACCCAGGGTTCCCAACCATCACCGTCCAAGGCATTTTCCACTTGGTTCATGAAAAACGTTCAGTGGCCGTATTTATGAAACCACCCATGGAACACCATGATTGGTGATGCCCCTACATAGCCAAGTTGGTTTCCAATGGGGTTTATGGCAAATATCAGTATGAACCACCAACGCTCCGCCCTGATGAAAACGCGCGCCGAAGCTTGCAGCAATGCAGTAATCTGTTTTCATCAGGTCCACAACCAATCACGGTCCTTCGTGATATCCAAGTATGTCGCTGGATCACATCCAAGCTGGTTTGCTCGATTTTTTCGCGTGAGCACCAATGCTTTCATCACATGAGTGCAAGTGCAAGAGAAGATCTCCTAGCGTAACATCCCGCATGTGTGCAAGTGCAAGAGAAGATCTCTAGCGTAACATCCCACATGTGTGAAAGTGCAAGAGAAAATCTCCTAGCGTAACTTCCCGCATCTGTGCAAGTGCAAGAGAAGCTCTCCTAGCGTAACATCCCGCATGCATGCAAGTGCAAGAGAAGATCTCCTAGCGTAACCTCCCGCATGTGTGAAAGTGCAAGAGAAGATCTCGTAGCGTAACTTCCCGCATCTGTGCAAGTGCAAGAGAAGATCTCCTAGCGTAACATCCCGCATGGCAAAGCACGCAAAGAAGCCGAACGCTAATACCTCAAGACATAATTAGGTGGTGTTCCGAACTGGTCCACACGCGCGTTTTGGCCAGTTCAGAGCCACCAACAAGCATGTCACTAGGGGGCACCACCTTGTAAGGAAGATTTGGGGATAACCATCACAAAATTTGATGTTAACCCAAAATACCTTTGCTATACACTCGCTGGTACAAGCGTAACTTTTAAGAACGGAAAATCATCTATTTTCATGGGCCATGTTCATCAATTTCTATAGCCGTGTTAAATAATAAGATGGTATAGCCGCTAAGAACATATGGAGTTGTTACCATAGTTAAAACCGAAGGGTATAGAATATAGTCATCATGTGTATATCACATTTTATCCAGAGTATTCCTACTCTACCTCCATGAAATATCCCCGGAAGTGTATATATATATATACATCCTTGCTGTTGGTTGTATCCCTGTATCATTGAGAGCCATAGTTATTACTACTAAGAACATAGCCACTAGGAACATATGGGGGTTGTTACCATATTTATTACCATATCGTTATAATCACTATAGTTATGAACTTATATTATAAATATGGTATATAGTATGGAATAGTACCAGTAGTACCGCACAAGGCGGTGGCGGAAGTTTCAAAAATAGGAAACCTATAGGAGAGATTGGTTGTTGTGAATCACGGATGGCAGAGCGAATCCACTGATGGACCGAAAGGTGGTTGGAGCTGTGTTTTTTGGAGTGGCCGCAATGGTTGCAGTGGTCACCTGGCCGGTCACCTCACCCACAACTACTGGATGTAGTGTGGTGTAGTGCAGCTGTAGCGGTAGTTGTAGTGTAGTGGAGTTGTAGTTGTGGTGTAGTGTAATTAGTGTAGTGTAGTGTAGTGTAGTGGAGTGTAGTTTAGTGTAGTGTAGTGTAGTGTCGCGTGGTGTAGCGTAGTGTAGTGAAGTGGAGTGGGGTGCAGTGTAGTGTAGCGCAGTGTAATGTAATTGGTGTATTGTAGTGTAGTCTTATGTAGTTGTAGCTGTAGTTAGTGTGATGTAGTGTAATGTAGTGTAGCGTAGTGTAATGTCATTAGTGTAGTGTAATGTAATGTAGTGTAGGTGTAGTGCAGTGTCATTCAATGCAGTGTAGCGGAGTGTAGTGTAGTGTAGTGTAATTAGTGGTGTGTATTGTAAAGTCGTGTAAATGTACTATTGTTGCAGTTGTAGTTGTAGTTGTATTTAGTGTAGTGTTGAATGTAGTGTAGTGTAGTGCAATGTATAGTGTAGTGTAGTGTAATTGAGTGTAGAGGAGTGTAGTGGAATGTAGTGGAATGTAGTGTAGTGTAGTGTGTGAAATGTAGTGTAGTGTAGTGTGGTGGAGTGTAGTGTAATGTAATGTAGTGTAGCGTAGTGGAATGTAGTGTAGTGTAGTGGAGTGTAGTGTAACGTAGTGTAGTGTAGTGGAATGTAGTGAAGGTGTAGTTCTAGTGTAGTGTGTTGGAGTGTAGTGTGGTGTAGTGGTGGTTGTAGTTGGCAATGCTACAAAGCCCTCACGTTTTGCTCACTCTTGACAAGGTGCACAATCCCATGCGCCTGTCACGCGAAACGACACCTGAACGTCCAAAAGTGGCGCGAACATGTGGTGCTTTTAACATGTTGACTTCCACATGTGCTTCGCGCCACAACGGCGTGCACTTTTTCAACATCGCAACTTCCAAAAGTGGTCCGAACCTGGTGTGCTTTGTGCATGTTGACTTCGAAATGTGCTTTGCGCCACAACAGCGTCCACTTTTTCGACATCTCAACTTCTAAAAGTGGTCCGAACCTGGTGTGTTTTGTGCATTTTGACTTCGAAATGTGCTTCGCGCCACAAGGGCGTGCACTTTTTCGACATCTCAACTTCCAAAAGTGGTCCGAGCATGGTGTGCTTTGCACATTTTGACTTCGAAATGTGTTTCGCGCCACAACGGCGTGCAATTTTTCATCTCTCATCTTGCCAGCTGGCTCCGCACCCGCCGCTTTAGCGAGCGTACTTTTCCACCCTCCGGAGTCACAAATCATTGGAAAAACACAGTGTTTCGCGACTTTCCTACCTTGTCGCGCACCTGGATCTTCTTTCTTCTGAGACTTTCTCTTTTGTGATCTTCTTTCTTCTTCTCTTCTCTTCTCTGACTCTTCCCATCCCTGCTTTTCATCTGTCCATATTGTCGGAAGTTTGACTTCTAAACTTCCTTCGATTATGTGTATGTGTATATATATATATTGCCATATTATTTTGGTGGCCATAGTTTTAACCATAGTTATAAAATAGTTGCAGTTGCCATGCATACTTATTACCATAATTCTAACCGTAGTGATAAACTCACGATAGATATTATAGTTATAATTTTCATTATAATAAATAACAATAGTTATAATCACATACACTTCTTACCATAGTTATAAAGTTATTGTTATGATCCTTTTTGTGCCACTTTCGGAAAGGACTCAAAAAGTATGGCCAAGGGACTTTTTGGGAAGATTGTAATAATATTGTAAAAGGATAAACATGGATAAACCATCTACCAACTGGTGCAGGATTTCTTCCATCAATAGTTATAAAGTCATAACTATGGTTCCTATGGTTACTATACTATTACATAGGAGTAATAACTATGGTTACTATACTATTACTATTACCATAGATACCATAAAGGATCCATACATCTATAAAGTAGCTTTAGCCAGTAGTTATAATCAGTAGTAATAGTCATAGCCAGATCTTAATTACTGCCCCAACTGATCTATTGCCAGTTCTATTAGTTGCTAAACTACCATAGTTGCCTTAAAGATCTCATGGTATAAACTTTTTTCTATAACTATGGCCAGTAGATAAGTAGTTTATTACCATAAATAAAGATCTATGGTTACTATGGTTATTACTATACTGGTGGTTTTATCCATCTTGAAAGATTTTAGTCAATGGGAAGGATTATCCCATATATTATGGAAAATAAAAAATGTTTCAAACCACCAACCAGTGAATCATTTTTTTTAACCACTAGCAAAATCACTATTAACCACCATTAAACCACTATTAACCAGTCTTAACCATTATTATACTGCTACCACTAGTTATGACCCCAACCTGCTCCCGGCTACGCACCTCCAGTCGCACACTGAGTCGTGCTGCGGCCTCGCCAGCGGCCTGAGCGGCCTCCGGCCCTTCCTGAGCGAGTGAAACACTAGTTTTAAGGCCTTTAGATTTTTAGTTAGAAAAGTAAGTTACCATTTTTTTCAGTCAGATTCTAGTGCTATCTACTGTTCGATATTCTCGGGCTTTGCTAGTGTTTGTATATCTTTGCATAAGGGTTTTTAGTTTCAAGTTTAAACCATAACATCCAGAAATCCAAGTCTCCATAGATTGCAAAGGAAGATCATTGGTTATATATATATATATAATTAAATATAGTTCTTTTTTAGTCCAAACATGTCCAGAAATCTTGGATACCTGGTGATTTTAATCCAACAAAGTGGGGCTACAACATCATGTCCAGAATGGGGCTCAACGGGACAACTAGGGATGGGCTTTGACCAAAAATCGCAACGAAGATCAAGGAAGAAAAGGAGGCTCACCTCAAAAAGTCTAGGTATGTACGGTATGGATAGGTGTTTTTTGTGGTTTTCAAGTAGATTTAGAACAGACATGACATGTTTGCTCAATGCTTAGAAGCCACCATCTTCATGATTCCTATCCTGAGTCAAACATCCGCATGTCTTGTCGCTTTGACGTCCATGGTTACCATTGTGTGGCTTTAACATATCGTTTCTTCAGGGTGATTCAGGATCTTGGCTTTTTATATCTTTTTATGGTCACTCTCTGAGAGTCTGGCTAGTTCTTAATCACTGCTTCCCTTGCTTCCATCTCAATTTTCGGCATGCCCCAGATCACTCGCACACCGCTGCTACTACGACACCCATCACCTGGAAAATGTAGCTCTCCCTCGTAAACAAAAAACAACTCATATGACATGCTCCTCCAGTCTGTGGGATCATGGTTGTGCAATAATGTGGTGTATACAGGGTTTTGTTTGAAAATAAGGTGCCCCTACATCTAGATAGTTCATCATTTCCCATATCAAAAGTACCATGTTACGGGTATATCTCATTTTCAGACACGCCCACATTCTCATCACATATCAAAACACTCGAAGTAAGCGTTGAAGAATGGTGAACATTTAATAAAGCTATGGGGGTTCACATACCAAAACTATATGTGTTTTATTTTTATGGGTAAACGGAGTGTCCAGGTAGCTACAAAAAAATCATCAAACATCACCCATTCACTTCCCTGGTTTTCCCATGCCGCCGCGGTGCCAGGTCCCTTCCCTGGAAGTTGGATGCCAAGTTGTCAAGGTGACGTGCCATGAGGTTCAACAACTCCTGCACCGCTGCTTGTGGGAGGCCTGATGGGTATAAGTCACTTCTATGGGATTCTGGTGGGGTTTACAGTAGTAATAAGTTGTAGAAGGTTTCGAGAATGGTTGATACGTTGTTCAGTGTGTTTCAATGAGTTTTAATGGGGGTTTAGTGGGTTTCAGTGGGGTTATAAGCTTCACAACCGATAACAATCACTATATAATGATATCTTGTTTTTTAACACCATTAATGATTAGAGGTTTATGATTTAAGGTGATTCATTACTGATGCAATATATAATCCACTGATGATTGATATCTGGAAAATTGTACCAGTTTCCAAATATAGACACAAAAATGGGATGATCCCCCATACACAAGGAATCGTTTGTAGAGTTCGGGCGCCGCAAGGAGAGAGAATGTTAGTTGTTGTGACTACCAATTTTATTGGGTATGATTCAAGCTGGGGGTTATCAGCAAGCAATGATGGGCAATAACATTTAAATGGATTTGTTTAACAAACTTTTGGGACAGTCCAACATAGTGGAGTACAGAGTATAGTCAGGTAATGTCGGGTATAGCCAATCAGAATTCGGTTGCTGGAAATTGTTGGTATACAGTAACCGAATTAAAGTTAAAGTCCATTCCAGCTCGGTTCAAACAGGTTCTTCTACTTGTTTACTGACTGGTGCTAAACGTAGGGAATGGATGGGAATGGGGGTTGCTGGGATTATTGATAGTTAGCCAGTGGATCATTCCCTCATTCCCTACGTTTAGCACAAGTAAGTAGTGATATATAGCTATGGAAAATGAGCCATTTATAGATGATTTATGATGATTTAACGATGAATAACCGAATAACCACATTACTTTCCTCATCCATTTGTTGCTGATGTTCCCATGATGGTTGACACAACAACCGCATCTCTTGGGGAACAGAATCCCATAAGCACCCCTTTTTCAATCCACTTAGCCATTCAAATCCCATTGAATCGCCGCTTGATATATATATATATATTTATATTTATTTAAATTTATATTTATATACGTATATAATATATATATATATACATTATATTATATTATATTATATTAAATTATATTGTATTATATTATATTATAATTTGTATTATATTATTTTATATTATATTATATTATATCATATTATATTATATTATGTCATATTATATTATATATTATTTTCTATTATATTATATTATATTAAAATATATTATGTTAAATTATATTATGTTAAATTATATGATATTATATTATATTATTTTATATTATATTATATATATCCCCATTGAATCCCCATTGGCAATTCCAGTTGCCTATTCCGAAGCAAGTTCAGTTTGAGCTTGTCTGGCACCGCACACTGCTGACCGGCTTCAGGCCTCTAGCTGCTTATTCTCGGCCAGCAAGCTGTTCACCATCTCCTCATAGTCCTTCTCCTAAGGTCCCAGCATGTTTCTTGGAAGCTCTAGAAGTACCAGAGTTATCCTATCTAGAACTTGTGTTTTGCCATGTTTTTTTTTCTCCTTTTTGAGCTCTATAGAATCACCAGAGTTATGTACCAGCGACCATCAGTTAGCATGGTCAAGCCCAGGTCACCCTGTACCCGGTAGCCAAGACCCAGTAGCCAAGTTGCAACACCTTGCAGAAGCCTCCGGCACCATGACACTTCCAAAGCCACATCTCGGCTCATGATGCTTATGGCTTATTGCTGAGCCTTGACTCTCAGCTAGTGCTTTGGAATCAGATCTGTGTGTTCATTTTCAGTACACATATGATCAGTTGCCAAATGGCGTTCAGATGATCACGAAACAGAAACAAATGCCAGATGGATCCATATTTTGCAGCAGTCTTCAAATTGGCTAATTTAAGCATTGCTGAAAAAGACGATGCAATATGGATCCATATTGTGCAGCAGTCTTCAAATTGGCTAATCTAAGCATTGCTGAAAAAGACGATGCTTTCCGTGGCATACGTACTTGTGCCTGAGAGCAAAGCAGCAAAGAACCAGCTGTGGAGGGCCACCCTCCCACGATTCCGTGGCGGGCAAGCGTCAGGGTTGCAGCGCAATAGTTTTACAGCTTCTTTGTGAGCTAATGTTGAAAGATTTTCCGTTTCAAGAGTCACATTGTGTATGCAAGACAGTGTTTCTTTGTGAAAAGACTTGAGGCAATATGTTTGAACATGCAAGACACATCTGCATTTAATCATCAACAGCAAACGTGACACAAGATAATGACATCGAGTGTGTCGTAACAAAATGTGAGCGATAGACGATACAGGCGTCTTTTCCTTTGGATATCAACGTTCCTTGTAACTTCTGGGAAGTAGGATCATTCAGAAAATTGGCATCGCGGCAGTGGTGAGTGGACATGGCAATTCTATACCATTCTCAGGGACAAGAACAGTTGAATCTGACCCGACACAAACCCCAGCGCATCGCGGCCGCGTGGCATCTTTTCTGCTTCGCGGCCGGTGAACGGCACCCTACCATACCATCCACCATGGACAGCCACGGCACCCGGCGTCTCCTGACGTATCTGGGTGATATATATATATATATATATGAAGTAGTGATAGATTATAATATCATAAAATATCATATAAATAATATCTATAGGAGAGACTAGGTCACTTGCAATTGGTGAATTTTGCGGATTGTCCCATTAGCTTTCGATGCTGGTTGCCCTGTTCCACGAAAAAAGGACCGAATCTGAATGGGATGTGGTCGTCCCAGGATTCAAAAAAATCATGGCCAATGCCATCCACCGTATATTGAAAAACACCCACCAGAAAATGATGATTTAATAAACATTCACATGCACATATTTGAGACCATGCCAAGATGCCAAGATGCCAAGATGCCAAGGGAGGAAGAAATGATATTCACCCCCAAAAAAAGCAACTGATTGATGAACATGATGAGCATGTACATAATGATAATGTGCTTGATCATGGCAACTCCCTGGCAGCAAGCGATGAAAAAATCACGCCGCCTAACGGTCTGATGGGGAAGCCTCGGTACCTCAGCGGTTGATGAAAAATGGTTTTCATCATGGCTTTGTCGAAACATACCCTCTGGTAAACATACAAAAAACTACGTATGGAAAATCACCATCTTGAATAGGTAAATAAACTATAAATGTGCCATTTTCAAATATAGCTTGTTGTATGTTTTCCAGAGGGTATCCAAACATAATGGCAATAATTTGGGTAAGAATTGTGTAATGAGTTTAACAATTATCCCAGATGGTACTATCCAAGTGCCAATGACCAAGAGTAATAATTGGGTGATTGTTGGCTGAATCACTGGATGACCATTGGCGCTGGTTGGCCCTCCATCTTCATGCCAGAATCTCTTGCAGGATACAATGGTTCTATGTGGGGATGAAGAAAAAACACCTATATTTCATATATCTAGATTGGGATAAACATCCATTTACCAGCTTTTTTGATGTTCACCATTTCAGGCTAACCATACCCATCTGTGAACCCCCAACAACAGATAAAGTTTTCGGCTCTAGACCATCCCGGGCCATCGGTGAATCATCATTCTCCCCATGAAAAAATGGCTATTTAAGGGGATATACCCTACTAAAAAAAAACAAGAGATGCACATAATTAATGTTGGTAAAGTAATCATATTATAATCATAAACCATGTATTTTCATGGCATATAGAACCCATTTACGGTAAAATTAGGGATTGTTTATTATGTCTTTACCAACAGATAACATTAGTTATACCGAATTATACCAGATTCATTCTTACCAACCTTTCACCCGACGACCGCTTGGCAAAGCGGTTGAAAAAACGACCGGGTCGCTGTCTTCGACGGCCTCCTCTTCTGGAACTTTCACCTGACAGAAGTCCGGGGGTGCGGTGTGCTGTTCGTATCCCCATGATCATGGAGAATGTCAACTCCGGATACCATCTGGTTATGACCATCTGGACATCCTCCATGGAGAAATCATCTACAAATCGAGATTACCCTCTGGTTATGACTAACATAGCCCCTGGTTTATCATAGGAACATGGTGATTTAATGGTTAACAATGGTGAATAATGGGATGATAATGGGATATACCCTCTGGTTATGACATTCACAGTTTGCCATGGAAAATGATGGCCCATAGAAATAGTTGATTTACCTATTAAGAGCATGGGTGGATCTTTCCATGGCGATCTGTTAAGTAACCAGAAGGTAAATAAACCATGGTTTATGACAAACTGTGGGGGTACCCTCCATTTATTGTCACAATATGATAATATGATACATAAATGGTATATCCCCCCGATTATCAATTAAACAGCCGTTTGGGGTTTATTAATCCGGGGTTGACATTAATGATGGAAAATAATGGGTTAATCATGAATCCCATATGATATAGGTTTCATGATGATCCATCAATGGACTATAAAGGGATTTAAGCTGAAATGATGGATAATCATGGAATAATAATGGGATTACAATCAACACAATGGATATGTGAGGGTAATGGACTGATCGCGTTTGCGGAAGTTCTTCAGTTTTTTTGGAACGTTTGGGCAGTTCAAAGTTTAATCATAGATTCTCGATCTTAGGTGTTCGAATGTGGCACATATCGGAACATCACCCTGGCACATTTAGACCCAGTCCCTAGCCCTGTCTGTCCTTGATATCTTCCTTGATATCTTTCTTTTCCGGCGATGGAAGCAACTTTTCTGCATTGCCTTTCTTCTTCTCTGCCTCTGCGACAACTGTCATCCCAAATCCCATCATATAGCTGCTAGGCAAACCCTTTCATCATCCCTCATCCCTCTATCTGTGACGTCACCCAGCAACTTGGGAAACAGACTCCATTTTTCTGCTGGCAACAAAACTGAGTGACTGATACAGAAAATCACCTCAGCACCCAGCCTCAAGCTTGCGAGCATTGCCGGCCCAGACCAGCGAACAGGTCTTGTAGACCGTCCTACGATCAGGAGCGAGCGATCGTGTGTGCTTAATTATGGTTGCTTCAACCAGTCATCAATGGTGAAGTAATATTCAATGAAATGTGGGTCAGCCAATCGAACAATGCCTTCACCAGAGTATATAGTTTCTACACAACATAAAAATGGACAAATGGAATAGTCTGAAACATATAAATATAGATGATGATTTACTATACCCTCTGGCAAACTAACACAGCTATGGAAAATCACTATGTTTAATGCGTAATTCCACTATTTCTATGGCCAATTTCAATAGCTATGTTAGTTTACCAGAGGGTATTTCTTGTGGGTGATACACGCCTAATGATAACAATAGATATCTGATATAGTAACGTGGTGACTATCCTAATATAATATTTATATGATATATCAAATATAAATATCATAGATCAATATATCTGATATAGTAAATCAAATATAAATACCATATGATATATCAGATATAATAGATATTTACTATATGGGATGATTTACTGTAATAGAGTCCTTGTATAAATATATATATACATCAGATATCTCAGAGTCCTTATATAATAGATAATGATTTACTACATCTAGGCTAGTCAACACGTGCCCAAGACATCCCAAGACTCCATGAGATGTCCTGGTGCCCGCAAAGCAGGCGACCAACTGCACCACGGCATAGACATTGCCTCGGTGGGTTTTTTGGGGGGTCCCAGAGATACGGGGAGCCAAGACATCCAAGCAGTTTATGTAGTTAATGTACTACATTAATATAGTTATTAATAGGACATCCTCATTAATAGGATGAATATGTATAGGCTACGGATGTCTTAGGATGAATATAGTTCATTAATGGGATGAATATGTATAGGCTATGGATGAATGATGAGTGTATATATGAATATAGTTCATTCATGGGAGCCCAAAAACATATGGATGAATAAAAGTACTACCAATTTCTGGAGTATACTCATGTTGCGAAGAATTTGATGGGTCAATGGAGGGTCTAGGTAGTGATCATGAGTCTCCTGTAGTCTCCTAATGAGGACAATCTCCCATATCCATTATGTGTATATATATATATGGGTAAATTAAAATATGTCACAAACCTGAATTAAGGCCATTTGGGGATGATTCCCCTTATTAACCATGATTCCCAGTGAGGTCGCAGTGAGGTCGTTATAATGTATGTATATAATATATATATATATATAAGTATCATATCACGGGGGGAAACGGAAACAACGCAAACACCAACCAGTTACGATTCGTGGGGTGGTCCTCCAAGAAAGGTCGCGAACTGGAATCACAACGTACGTCAGAACCGCGGTTCTAACTGGGATGATCAGCACCCTGGAAAATACCCAAAGCTATATACACAATTATATACACAGAACAAGGATATATCATTCTAGCAAAGCCCAACAAGATCGAAAAGTAAAAAAAACTTACTAAAGTACAGGTGCTTTTTGTTTTTTTCGGCATCTTTTTCTTGTTTATCTTTCCACATTTATTCATATATTCAGGTTAACCATGAAACCCCATGGATCCGCACGAAACCCCCAGGTTCGAAATCTAGGAACGGCCTCCATAGTCGACCAAGAATCGGCCAATGATTGGTCCTGAGGCAGGATACCCGGCCTGGTAAACATACAAAAAGCTATTGAAAATGGCCCAGTCGAAATAGTTGATTTACCCAGCTATTATAAAATGGTGATTTTCATTTGATTTTCCATAATTAGGTTAGTTTGCCACAAATTGGGGTCCAGCGATCTTCTGTTTGAAGTCATTTCTGTTGGTTTCTGACCTACTAACCTACTTGGTGGTTTCAAAACACATTACTGAGGTCTTTCGGATCATCGTAGGTAGGATGGAAATGGATGGAACATCAACATACAGAAATGGCACAGGAACAAACAATTCAAACAATGCAAACTAATACTGAAGACAATGGCAATCCGGCAGACAATTGCAGGTCAGAATAGCTCCACATGAGTCAAGTTTCCCAGGAATCGACCAAGAGTCACCTGGGCTTTGGCTGGGGTTTTAACTGGCATTTTTGGAGTCCACATGGGGATCATTTTGGATATTTTGCTTGGACAACCAACCAGACCAACCCGCTCAGCTTCAGCAGTGATGATTTTTGGTGTTCCCCTTCCCACTGAGGTGGCCTCTTGATGGAACTTGGGCTTATCCCAGCCCCGCTGCAGGCGATGGAATCTGCGTGAAAAACACGAATGAAACATGTCCAATCAATTTCATCGAATGATCCGCTTGTCAGGGCTAAGACTAGATGCCCCCAAAAAAACATATCAAACATATACCCAATGAATCCCAATGATTAAACGTATACCATCTGGTTATTTAACATAGCCATGGAAAATCACCATTTATAATATGTAAACCATCTATAAATGGGCCATTTTCCATGGCTATGTTAAATGACCAGAGGGTATATAAAAATGGTGGTTTCCTGCTATATCTCCTCTATAAAAAATGTCCCAATGATCCCCTGGACCGAAAAACGATGGTTTCGTCCCCTCGAGAGTTGCCGAAAAAAAACCACAGAACCATGGCCTTGTCGAAAAATGCTGGGAAAACTCCAAGAATATCATGTGTAAACCACTTGTTGATCATTTCATATCATGTTCCCACCATTTTCATCCATTTTCTCCTATATGTTCGAATCATTTCCCATCATTTTCCCCTATGTTTCTCCCATATGTCCCATATTTTCCCCCACTCAAAATGGCCATCGCTGTGGGGGTGACGCTGACCCGGTGACGTCTCCGCCGCTCCGCCGCAAAAAGCCCAGTGGCCGCTGAAAGCTGCCGCACACGATACTCCGTGTTGCTGAATCCTGGGCTGTGGTTATGTACGTTATATTATATATGGTTGTAATGTTAAATATGTTAAGAATATATATATATATATATGTTATATGATGCTAAATAATATAGATAAATACAAAGCATGGATGAATGTGTTGATAATTATACGTATATACATATGTATATATATATATATTAGATTTATTAGTGGGAATCCGTTAAGATAAATTACATTCCATTTCGATTGGCATGACATGATATTCAAGGCCATTGATGTTCGTCTGATGGTTTGAGGCTTTGAGGTCGAATTGAATGGTTGAATGCTGAAGTAGCAGGCCCCAGGACCCCAAATCTGCTGGTTGATTGTTCCCATGATAAAATATGGATGCATGAAAATGATATCGAATTCAACCAGGAAAAATGAGCCACTATATTTCAGTATCATGTTTTTCAGTGCTTCAGTAAGTGCAAAATTCTTCACAACCATCAACCAACCAGGGGTCAACTGGTTGTCAAACGTTATTGTATAGACGTTCGTGAACTATCATATATCAAACGACATCACATAATTCCCCCACAAACCAGTCGATGTAAGCACATATCACACCATATTTCACTGAATCAAAGACCAGGGAAAACACCAGGGAAAACACCAGGGAAAACACCAGGGAGTTTTAATGAGCATCATGGCCAATTGGTAAATTCTCCCATTCAAACATGCCAAGCATTACTTCCGTCCCAAGCTGTCCCATCTTTTGGGTACCCTTCCCCCGCTACCAGGCATGGCCATGGCACAAAAAACTGCTCAAATTTGGATGGCTCAATCCCCATTGTTGATACTTCCCCGTATACATGTTGATGCTGAAAGACCCCAAATCCATGAAAAACCATGATGTTTGAAAAAAATGCACCTATCATCCCAACTCTTGAAATACGAGTACTTGTTCGCTAATAGATCTCTCGTTAAGTACGGGTTATAAGTTACATCTATCCCCAGAAAACCAGGTAGTGTAACCCGCATTTCATAACCAATCAGCAATCAACCATCATGTCTCAACGCTATTCCCCCATGTTCGGTTTAAATCCAGATTGGTGTTCAAATCAAAGCGCCCCATATTTTAGGTCATTGAACCACCAGAAATTCTACTGAAATCCATTCAAACACCCTATTTCCTTCGTAGGACCAGGTGTCTGGAGCCCTCTTTGGCAGCGCGGCTGGCCCAACCCTCCGCGATACCATTCGCCACCTGAGCACCGAAAAAACCAAACGAAAGGAACGTTGAAATCCACGAGAAGCATGTGTCTGAAAATGGGGTATCCCCCCTCATGGCCATGTAATAGGGGAAAATGATGATAAACCAATGATAAACCATTGGATTTGGGATATACCCTATTTTCAGACAAACCCATACTAATATGTAAATTATATACATATTATATACATATTATATGTATAGATTGGACTGGACCCATAATTTTATGGTGTGTAAGTTATATAAGAGGGTTTCACCTAACTTTTGTTGGGAGTATACCCATAGTTGGATCATTTTGACTGGCAAAATGGATCAAAACCGTGAGGGCGTGTGAGGATACTGATTGGCAAAATCTCTATACGTTTGCTATGGAAACATGATTATAGTTGGTTGACCTATATAACATGGTGATTCTACCTATTATAGTTGGTTTAGCTATGTAACTGATAGAAATAGATGGTTTACCTATTGATAGCATGCGCGTTTCTGCAGTAAACTGTCAAATTACCAGGGGGATCCAGAGGGTAAATGCTGGAGAACTATGGAAAATCAAACGGAGGTCCAGGCTTCACATGCGATGCCTCAGATGGTAGGGATGCTTGGGGTAGTAAATTCAATCTGCGCATCCCCAGCCTTTCCTGAAATAGATAGAATTAAGTTTTAGACATCCCCAAACCAAGTCTATGACACTCTAGTTTAGTACATCATTCCGATCTAGGCAAAGTTGTAGGCGGCTTGCAAAAACAAGTGTTGATGGCACAAGTAGTCTACCACATTAATACCACATAAAAACGATTACCATGATTACCACCTCAAAAAACAATGTAAACTCGAATCAGATGATTCATCAGCCATAAATTTCATAGTTAGTTTACTCATTTAATCATGTTTACATCATTCTAACATTCATCAGCCAAAAATCATTTAACTCCATCTGTGGTCCTTTTTTGCGGGTGAACTCTAACACCCACGAGGTGGTGTGGAATTCTTCGTTGCATGTTGCAAAGTTGGTGCAAATAGCTACAGTATACGTAGCCTATATGCCTTTGTAATAGATAGACTATACAACCATTTTATATATGATGTTTCGTATGAAGTGTCCTATATCTTAACTCCATTATTGATCTCCTATATGGTAGATGTATCATGATACAAAAATATTGGGGTTTTCCATAGTCATGGGGGATCCCATCAAGAAACGCTTGGTTTATTGGAAAATCCATCATGGATGACAACTAGGGCTACCCCCATGACAAAACGGAAACCTCCATAAATCAGCTCACTGGGCTAATCCCAACTGTTCCACAAGATATGTCTATTGCAGCGTGGGTGCAATGTGTGTCCTTAAACTGCTTTGCGCCGCTGCGCCGCTGCGCCGCTCCAGTCGGTACGTGCGCGCTATGCTTTCTCTGCTACTGCGCCGCTGCGCTGGTCTATTGGTTGCTGCGCAGTTAAGTCACAAATTATAACCATGATATAAAATATAAAATCTGCTGATCCCATCCCAGATGTCCAATATATTTACTCTATATATAATATTGTATGATATTAAATGTATATATCATATATTGACCATTGCATATATTATAAATATTTATATATATATATTGGGCCCTGCCTCGTGACACTAACAGTGACCACAATTCATACCAGAAAAAAAAACCGAACAAAATCAAGTTGTAGCCCCCAATATGATTTTCATTTCCCCTTATTAAGGCTAGATGACCAGCCATATTCCCTGCAAGTTGGCTCCACGGTCGGCACATTTTCTTGCCATGTCCAGAAGTCCTTCCTGTCAAAATTCGACATTGGCATTTCCAATGGGATGCCTCATGCATCCAGCTTGTCAGCACCTTGTGGGTAGTGATGTTGCTGATGGCTAAGCAGTACTGTTTAGGGTTTAGGATGCTGCCCATTGCAGCGCTGATGGCAAAGCAATACTGTTTAGGGTTTAGGATGCTGCCCACCACAGTGCCGATGGCAAAGCAATGCTGTTTCGGGTTTGGGATGTTGCCCATCGCAGCGCCGATAGCAAAAAAATACAATGTGTGTGTACAATACATATAAAAGGCCGGGGCTGCTCAGAAAAAAAAAGACTGAAGCAGAAACAAAAAGGAAAATAACTTTGTTTTTTTGTGATATGACTTGTGTTTTTTGTGTTTTTTTCTGGTATGAATTGTGTTTTTTTTTGGTGTTTTTTCTGGTATGAATTGTGTTTTTTCTGGTGCTTTTTTTGTGGTATGACTTGTGTTTTTCTTTGTGTTTTTTTGTGGTATGAATTGTGTTTTTTGGTGTTTTTGTGGTATGAATTGTGTTTTTTTGTGCTTCTTTTTGTGGTATGAATTGTGTTTGTTGTGTTTTTTCTGGTATGAATTGTGTTTCTGGTGTGTTTTTTGTGGTATGAACTGTTTTTTCTTTTTTTGGTGGTATGAATTGTGTTCTTTTTTGTGCTTTGTATTGTGTTTTTTTTGTGGTATGAATTGTGTTTTTTTTCGTGCTTCTTTTTGTGGTATGACGTGTGTTTTTTTTGGTGCTTTTTTTTGTGGTATGAATTGTGTTTTTTTTGTGCTTTTTCTTGTGGTGTGAATTGTGTTTTTTTGGTGCTTTTTTTGTGGTATGAATTGTGTTTTTTTTGTGCTTTTTCTTGTGGTATGAATTGTGTTTTTGTTGGTGTTTTTTTTGTGGTATGAATTGTGTTTTTTTGGTGTTTTTTTTTGTGGTATGAATTGTGTTTTTTTTGTGCTTTTTTTGTGGTATGAATTGTGTGTTTTTTGTGTTTTTGTTGTGTGGTATGAATTGTGTTTTTTTTGTGCTTTTTTTGTGGTATGAATTGTGTTTTTTTGTGTTTTTGTTGTGTGGTATGAATTGTGTTTTTTTGCTTGTTTTTGTGCTTTTTTTTGTGCTTGGGAGCGCCGGAAAAGCAACCAAAAAAAAAGCACAAAAAAGCACAAAAAAAGAAAGACAAAACAGCACAAGAAAATCAGCATTTATTTGGAAAAAATGAAGCTCAGGCCGCCTGACCTCGACAGCCTTCGGACCAGCGGCCCAGCAAATGTCTCACACCATTTCCTTTCTCCAACCTCCTTTCCAAAAGAACCTCTCAGGAGTGAGCCCATGCCAGGAGCGGGAATGTGAAAAAATGTAATTATCATTATCATATGATGTGTATTGAGAACCTCAACAACTATTGTTGGAGGCACGCCTTTGCAGCGCTTATAGCTTAGAACTTACACTGGTTGGATCGTTTGATTGCGGTATCTCGGTATCTCAGGTATGCTGCGATCAATGCTGTAAAGATTGTCATTAATATCATATCATCATCTCGATACAACACCTTGCATCATCATACCATATCATCATTGCCATTGCTATTTGACATACAAAAATTAAGATAAACATGGTCATGTCAGCTGTCATACTTTTCAGAACCATTCCAACTTTCCAACCATCAAAGGAGATCAACACCAACATCGATGCTTTGATTTTGGCTAGTTGATGACAAGTTCAGCGAACATGTCCTGATGGCTCCAACAACAATATGGTGCAATACAAGCGGATGTTTGTTAAAATGATTAACATGATTTAACCACAAACAATGCCACCTCAAAGGTAGTGATGTTGTTGCATTAACGACTCCACCCTTTGTTACTTGTACGGCCATCCCAGATCACATTTTCTCCTAAGCAGACCCTAAGGATTTCCCTAAAATGGCCTAAGTTACCACCAATATGATTGTGCTTTTCTGGTATGTGGTTTGTGAAGGGGGGCAGTTAGTGGGGGGGGCAGGGCCCAATACATATATATATATATAATATTATATATATTATATATATATATACATTGATCATATAGTTATTAACCAAAATCCAACAAATCATCCCCATCTTTCTTGGTGGCCCAACGCCACCATCCTTCGTCCCAAGGAACCGTGGCTCCGGTGTAGATGACGCAATCCGCCACCAAGAGCACCCAGCCGGCCGACGGGACTGGCTGATGCGACACCAGGCCCCTGATGAAACCCATCCGAAACTCACCATGAAATATGGGAAATAGATGGAAAATGATGGAAATATGGAATGTGGGATGAAACTTACCCAAAAAATGTGTTTTGCTTATAGATTTGGAAGATGGAAATAGTCAAATATCACCATAATGTTTTTTAATGCAAATGAAAACAGTCAATCACATTCAATCCCATCTAGAAAGTACGACATCACTTAGATAGACGGAACAAAGTCAGCTGTGCCCTGTGCACTGCCAAGTTTTGCCATCGTGGCCATGGCAATCCCAATACAACGCACATGCAACCCCATTTATAACTATAGTTAGGGAATTCATGAATTCTATCTTTTTGCGGGCTACCATAAATACTAAGTAATAGAACAAGTTCGTAACCTACCCCATGTTTCACCGTCGGATTTTCTTTTTTTGTCCTTAGGGAAGGTCGTTGAGCCGCGCCTATTTCGAACAAGAGGATAGAGCCAAAAATCGAAGAGGCTGCAGCGATCATAAAGACCCACGACTCCTACACAACTCGCGGATGCTTTAAGGGTGCCACCTGGGGAGCCACCTGGGGTTCCACCTGGGCAGGGACAACCAGTTTTCCGGCATATCATCATGTCCTGTCCTGAAATTTACCTTTCATCAGCATCACCTGAGCGACCGCCGGCGACCGGCTCAGAACATGCCAAACACTTGTAGGCAACAAACAGTGAAAAATGATGAAGTCTGATTTAGTTTGAAGATGAGGATGATGAAGGTTTCCAACAGCTTCCGAAATACGATGAAGCTCCGCTGCGGCCATGGTGAAGACCCTCATCTCATGGCATATGTGGCATAGACGTTGACCCGTACTGCTCATACCCATAGCCTGTAGAGGAAAATCACCCCGTTCCCCCGTGTTCCCCACCGCTTTTGCAGAAAGTTGCAGTGGTGAAGATTGACATGACAATGCCCACCGAGCAAACAGCGGTGAAGCAAAGCCCTCGGGAATGGTGGATCTTCCAATGGCGAGTTCAACTATTTCGTGGCCAAGCAAAAATGATCTAGGTCACTGCAAGGATCTGCCAGCAAATTGCAAGCAAGACGCCTGTCCAGTAGGGGTCCCAACCTCGTTTCAATCACTTCAAACTGCTTCTGACCAGGTGAAGGGAGATCTTGCTCCCCAGGCACGGAAGCTCCACAGATGAGACAAAAAATGGTAACTTACCTTATGGATGCATCCAATGAACAATCCGACTTCAACACAAATCTGAATCTTATCACATTAAATATGAAGTCTAATTTTAAGTATCTTCAAGTATCTTCAACTTCAACCCAAAACAACAAAACATCCCCTGAAAAAAAATTAACAAAACATCAGATATAACTAAGTCATGACTTAAGCTATAAAATGTTATAAAACTCCAAAAATATCCAAAAATAGAGTATGACTTCAATTTAACTTCCGTACTTTTCAGTGTCATAACTCCATGTGAACTTTTCAGGCACACTCCGGCCAGGATCAAGGAGATCTGCAGCTGAATGACCATAAAATACTTCCAGCATCATCAAAGTAGACACTTCCACCGCCGCCAAAGTGAAAGGACGTTCCTAGCTGGGATCGATGGTTGGCTCATCCGGTTTTTTTACCTATCGGACCTATCAATGATTTTAGGTGGAAAAGCCATGGAAAACTACCCACCCCAAGAGCTTGCCCAACATTCAAATATGGCAACAAGCCATCCATTACCCCAGAAAATACTAAATATGAATATGAGCACACCAATATAAGGATGCACAGCGAACGAATTTTCGGACGAGTTGCGACTGCGTACCAGATCATGCGCCAAACAATTTCCTGAAGCGGGATGTACCAGCGATTTCGCCACCGACCAAAGTGGGGGGCGACTCGTCAGCTGGACCAGATTATATCATCTCCAGTCAGTTGGTTGCAATCCCCTACAATTAATGTCCATTAACTCCCCATTAATGCCCCCATCATATCCACTGGAGATATCCTAATCATCATCCCCATTAATCCCCAATAAATTTGGCAATGAACCAGGGTATAGCTTTATCCATTGGATTTAATTACCCCTGGTAATGACATTCACAGTTTGCGAACTTGAAAATGGCCCATAGAAATAGTTGATTTACCACTTGTTTCCCTATTATTTTAATGGTGATGTTCCATAGTTATGTAAACGTTTACCGTTCTTAAAGATGGTGATTTTCCATCGCAAACTCCACCAAAAACTTCCACCATCTTCGCTCCTCGCGAGCAGAGTCGGGCAGTTCCTCGGGCTTGATATCGCCGGTGAGGGCGAAGTCGCAGCTGTCCTGCGAAGCGTCGAGCCCAGCGCTTCACCATGGGAGATGTCGAAAAATTGCTTAGGGTTAAAGAAAGTAGCTTTGAACATGGTTAAAAAAAAACTATGTTTGTTGAAACAACATGTGAAACATCAGTTGAGTTAGTTTTCATGTGGATGTTTGGAGAAAATCGAGTGGAAACATCATGAAACCATATTTTTCCCATAGTTTTCCCCTGTAGATGTACGGATGTAGAGTCGTAGAGGTTTCCCGCTGGTTTCCTTTGCATCCGATTCTGGGAGTATGGTAAAGATATTTAAAGAATATCATCCCTGGAAAGAATATGGGCTCTTATCATACCATCTATATGGGTCATCAATAGGTTATCAACTTGTGTCTATTCATATTGGTTTGTCTGAAATGTTGGGAAAACCCCAAAATCATATTTGACAATGATTTTTAGGGCCAAATGTCGGGGTAAAATCCTCAATGAGACAACCCCAACTGAGCGAACCATCAAATGGAGACGAATCAAAATGCTGGGAACCGGGCTGGCAGATGTCCGAATGACAGCCGGGTTGTCGAAAACTGGCAGAAAAAACTGGATACTTCGATGCTCCTACAAACAAAACATGGCCAGTCCATAGTACTATAGCAGACTATAGATGACAGCATACCACAGAGGGGAGGGCTCTGACTTTCACCATATTTTTGCTAACTACCGAAGTTCTCCCCATCCCCGGTGAAAATCCCCGGTTTCGGTTTCGGTCATGACCATCGCCCTTGGGAGGTTCGTTGGGGATCTCCGTGGGCATGATGGAAATGCCAAAGAAACTGCTCACCAAGGCTTGGAAGAGCAGGAAACTCAGCGCCGAATTCCACCGAGGAAGTCGATAAAAGATAGATGTGTGTATAGATCAGTTGTTGTTGTTATGTGTGTATGTGTGTATGTGTGTGTGTCTGTCTGTCTGTCTGTATATGTATATGTATATGTATATGTACATGTATATATATATGTATATGTATATGTGTATGTGTATGTGTATGTGTATGTAGGTAGGTAGGTAGGTATGTAGGTATGTAGGTATGTAGGTATGTATGTAGGGAGGTAGGTAGGTAGGTATGTATGTATGTATGTATGTGTGTATGTATGCATGCATGCATGGATGGATGGATGCATGGATGGATGTATGCATGGATGTGTGTATGTATGTATGGATGTATGTGTGTATGTATGTATGTATGTATGCATGCATGCATGCATGCATGGATGTATGTATGTATGTATGTGAGTATGTGAACTTCAATTGCCTTTCAGTGTTTAGGATTTACTGTAGGATTTTCTAACTGGATACCCAGCGGCTTACACCTCGTTTGTTCATGTTTTTATTGAGGGGCGGCAGTTTCCAGATCATTGGGTTTCATTGCCAGAGCCTCCCTGATGGAATGTCTCCACTGGTTGCTGAAGAGGGAGACTCAAACATAATTCATTCATAATGGGTATGATGGATTTAGAGTTCTATGAACCATTATGACATATTGTGACACTTAAAACCTCTACTGACTTTGCGCAACCAGAGTTTCCGGCACTGTTCAGGTTTGATGTCTTAAAGTTTATATACCTGTTTTGGATGGCAGGACAGCTTTACCTGGGCGGATGAGGTTGGGAACCCGGCACCCTGGGGAAGGACAATTCACTGATGTGTTTGGATTACCCTCTGGTAAACTAACAGCTTTAGCTATGGCAGCTATGGCCCATGAAAATATATATGTTTTACATTGACTCACCTATAAAAAATGGAAATTTTTGCCATAGCTAACTGATTAAGTGTCAGTTTTTTTCACCCGTTGAACAGGCATGAAATATATGAAATTCCAGCTGCATCCAATGCACATGTTGATCCAGGCCATCATAGACCGAGGACTGACCTGGTCGCCGTGTGCGCCATTTGTGGATGGTGCGGTCATAGGATCCCAAGACCATCCACCTTTTGTTTGTTTTACATAACCAACATATATATATATACATAATATATATATATACATAATATATATATATATGGTACCCACTCCAAGACCTACCTTTTTGTGGTTTTTACTGGTATTTGCCGTAAATTATGCACATTTTGAGCTTATATACTGGTTGGTGGTTGAACCACCCCTCTGAAAAATCATGGAGTTCGTCAGTTGGGATGATGAAATTCCCAACTGAATGGAAACATAAAAAATGTTCCAAACCACCAACCAGTATATATTATATGGGTATGGGTCAAAATTAGGTACCCCCAAATTATGGATGGTTAATACTACACTAGACATTCACATCTGTGGTCCCACATCGGTCTTCTATTTTGACCCACATCCATATCAACAAAATCATTAACCATCATTTATTAAGCAGTATTAACCATAATTAACCATGAATGGATGTTCCAGTCACCACCAACCAGCTTTTATATATATATATATTTTCATAACACCTGCATCGAGCTGCATCCATTGCTCAAAGTTTGACACCGAAATCAAGCGGGGTCACATTTTTTTTGGGCCTCAGGTCCCCAGTTCCCAGTTCTGGATTCACTCCATCACTTCTATCCAGATATCATGAACACCTAGGGATATGTATATGTAAATATATATATATATACATATATATATATATATACATACATACATATATATATATATGTATTTATTTCTATAAATGATATATATATATATACATGATGTTCCCATGAATGCCCCCCAATGAAGGACACCACCACATGGCCGTGAAAAATCTCCAGCGAGCTTCTCGTTCGCCGTCTCCAGTGACCAAGGTCTTGAGGATGGTGAAGACCAAGGGTCCCACGACAAGACCCACGTTTCGGGCGCATTGGGTCATAATCCTTCAGCAAGCTTTGGCATGGCAGCAGAAGGTGATTTTGTTACATATTTTTTGAGGGGGTTATGAAGTGGCTATTAATAATCAATAAATAATCAATTCAATTGTAATACTTTATTTTTTCTAAAACTCCTGCTCAACGAGAAGGCATTCAATTTTTTGGGAGCTGATGATCAGTTCATACTGGTGAAATCGTGCACTGGCTGTTGATATTGTTGATATCTTCTGCAAATTAAGATCATAATTCCCAACTAAGAAATGTGGCCCACTTTGGGGAGGACTCACTAGAAATCGTCGTTTCTGGTCAGGCCGTTATCAGGTTGGCAAGATTTGCCCAGGTAGACAGAGGGCCGGGAAAGATTCGCAGCACCAATCAAGCTGTGAACATTATGAAACAAAACTGATATTATCCACTGTGCATAAAACAAGTCTCTAGAAATATCTGATCTGAGGTCATATGATATAATCTTATCATCGACTCATTGAAGGAACATCAAGTTTGTTGTTGCTTGAGGTCTTGAAGTTTTTCAAGAGTTTATCATAATCTTCTGGAACAAAACTGAGTCTATCAAATTCCTTCACCACCGTTTGAAAACACTATCCTTGAGAATGCCACAAATATCTCCAGGTAAAAAAACAAACGCATATACAAAATATATATGTATTGGTCAGGTCAAATACCAATTTGTGCTGTGTCAATGTAGTTACAAATATGGGTAGATACGGCAATGTGGAAAACCCAATAATAATAACCCTCCAACTGAAGTGTTTGTACCAACCATGTTTGATAGAATTGAGGATGGCTTATGATGTTTTTTTAATATATATATATATATAGAGTTTAGATATGATTGAGTGGATCACACTGCCAAACGCATTACCCAGATACATTATGAAACATTACCAATCTTTTGAACATATGGGTTTATCAGTTTATCTGAACAAAATGTTAATATACCCGCGACTCTACTATTAATCATCATGTTCCCTCTTCTTGAATGGCCCTCGGGACTCGGGAGTAAACCCCAATTTCCAGACACACAACAAATATCTGCTTCAAATGGTCAGTTAAACAGCATTTCTGCATATTTCCGCGGCTGTTCATCAGCTCCCCAATTTTGGTGGCTGGTTATGCCACACAGATTTTTGGTCAAGCTGCATCCAGAAGGTCTTGCTCTCATGCACAGTGATCTTCGTCCAGAAAAGGATGCCGGGAACCACCGTCAGGGGACCAATAAAGGACGACACTTGAATAAAGGCAAGCATGACCCACCTGAGTACAGTGAAGTGGCAAAACTCTGGTTAGCTCTGGTTTAAAAAAACAGCCGACACACTGTAAAGACAAGTATTGTATATTCTATATATATATATGATGAAATACAATATTTATGTGTATATATATATACATATTATATATGCATATACATATATAATTATACATATGTGCCGAATAAAAGGATGATTTGTATGCCCGCGACAGCACATAGCCAAGAAGCCATACCATGTTCACATTGGGGCTGTTGGCGGTTTCATTGACGAAGACGGCTGATGCCAAGCTCAGAAACATGCAAATTACAGGGATGACAATCATCAGTCCACGGACAAAGCGCCTGGATGGAACTTGGATGAAGGGGCCGCAGTTCGTTAGCTAAGCTGGTGCAAGTTTAACTGCAATATATGTAGGATTTTTGTGGATTTTTGGTAGACATCGTATAGTTACGATAGTTAAGTGGAAAAAACAACTTATGACTAGGGGTGCGGTTGAAACCTCTATCTGTGGGCGCACAAAAAACGTTCCGGCTTTCAGATTTTCCATGGAAATCTATTGGAGCCATCAGCTTGAAGTGATGCAGCAAAGGACATGAATTGCTTCCGGGTGAAATGGTCACTTAACACATTGCCCCAGCTAAAGCCTGCAAAAATCGTAAGTTCGAATGTAAAAGAATGATTTGGTCATGATTTGGTCCTGTTTTCTGCATGATCCCTAATTCCAAACCAATATCTGACACCTTTCTCTGGTCACCAAGCAGCTGGTTCCAGCGGGTTTCGTCCACAAGCCATTTGCCAGCCTGATGTGGTTCCATCTCTTGCAGTTGGTGGTAAGGCAAGCCCATAGACGGGTTGATTGATATCCTTTCCAAGTCGGAATGAAAACACGAAGGCAAACTTTGAATGGCAAATCCACCATAAATCCACCATGAATGAGTATAACCACCAGGTATCATTATCCCCCCTATCTATGATCCATAATATGATGCCACTGCAAATTCCCACTAGGTCCCTATAGGTATCATTGTCTACCATCTATGGCAAAATCATGCGAATAGAACCACCAGACCACATCATCAAGTCATGGCAAATACCAGCACCAGATGATCAATCTGTTTGTTGATAACTTCATCTAAACTGTCTATTATGTTCATAGATTTGGTTGTTAAATCAGTTCTATCCCAAGAGTTCTTGGTGAAATCCCGACTTTCTCAGCCGAGATATTTCCAGAGGGCAACCACCCTCTGCTAACCTAAGCTCCCGGCCACCATCGCCAACCTCGGCTGTGCATGGCTCATGGCGCATGGCTGTGCATGACAGGTTATCCGGATCTCATGGACAGTCGCCCATGATGTACTGTAACTGGGTGTAAGGAAACGCTGACAGAAAACGCTGGTGTTCACCCTGTGTCAGTGTTTACTGTACTTTGTTCATGCAGCTCTGCGAGAGGTCTGGAAAATGATTTTGCTGGTGGAAACAGTATTTTTAAAGTTCAGTGTTGCTGCCCTGGCGTGAAATGTCAACCCTGGATGAATGAGCCCTGGTTGATTCATCTAAGGGGTAGTACGTGCCACGGAAGTCGCGGATGTCCTCCAAGAAGTGACTTAAAACACATCAATAATATGGAACCACTCAACTCAACAACCGGTTTACAACAAATACCGAATACATTTCTGTTCATTCCTCAATATGGAAGGGCCTATCAACACTGCTACTACTACTAATAATAATAGTAATAATAAAGTAATATAAAGTAAAAACAATAACCAATAATAATGAGTTTTTGATGGGGGCTCGAAGCCCAAAGAACTTCGATTTGGATTCAAAATTGACAGAGACCAGCTATCAACCATCACAAGTTCAGCTGACAATAATCTGAGTGAACTGTGGTAACTCACATGAAAGGTTTCTCTACTATGGGTTATCATAATCCCGAATAAATTAGTGGTAATGATTTTTGGTGATTTTGGGCGAGTTCCGTTTCCTGAAACACCACCCGAACTCGACGAATGGATCAAGGTGCAAGCCGGTGATAATCCCAGCACTAAGGAAGAGCCCCGACTCAGTTGCTCCTCAAGGCAACCAATCATGGAGGTTGTCGAAGGAGGACCATTCAACCCAACTAGAACAGAAACGTTGAAATTTTGCGAAATTATGGAAGGGACACATCATCCTGAAATTTTCTGGAAAGACGATAATCCAGGATAATCTATCGGGGACGCGGAGAATAATTCACATCCCTGGTGGAGAATCTGCATTTCAAAAATCTCCCTTCGGCAAGCCGGGCCCATTTGGGTCCTCTGTTGAGGGACAAAGCAAAGTCCAGGGAAATGGGAATTTGCATCGACATGCCCATGAAACCTGCCATGCTGTTCCACAAACCTCAGGATCGATATCGTGGAATTCACATCTGTTGCGAGGAAAAACCCGCCGTCACCAGCATTCAGCATCCAGATAGTTTTCTTACACCAATGACACTGAACCGAAGGATTCGAGGTCTTTCCTGCCAACCATGGCCTGTACAAACTACCAAACAGCTGTTGCAAGGATCTTTTTGGCTGAGATACATTCATGCCCGCCCTCCTTCCTCTCTTGGTTCTGCAAAATGGGTAAGTCTGAAAACAGAGGATATTGTATGTATATATATATATATACTGTATATCATTATATTATCTCTTTAAAATAGTCATGTTACAGGAAAACTAATGATGAACGATAGTATTTTAGGTACCCACTTTTCAGGCAAAACCAAATAGTACACAAATACCAACAACTTGCTTGCGAGTACTTTGTTGATGCTTCGAAGGACTTGGTGAAGATTGGTTAAGTGGCCAGTCATCAGAACAGATATGATAAACATTGATAAACTGCTTAGCTGCAAAATTAAGAAGTGTAGACAGTGTAGACTCTGGGAACTTCACAGTTTGCTATGACAAATCAACATGTAAATCAGGGTAAATCATCATAAATCTACTTTCATGAGCAATCTTCCAACAGCTAATACTGGTTGGTCGTTTCAACCCCTCTGAAAAATATTAGTCAGTTGGGATGACTATTCCCAATATATGGGAAAACAAAATTCCATGGTTCCAAAGCACCAAGCAGTGAATCATTATTTAACCACTAGCAAAATCACTATTAACCACCATTAAACCACTATTAACCATTTAACCACTATTGATTGAGGGCAACCATCCACTGACCCTACACTGCCAGATGGCGCCAGCCAGCCATTTCAGCGCGGGTTCCGAAACAAGTCACCCATGATTTGAACACTCCATGACAGGTGCACTGGTCCCCGAACACCCAGCGGTTTCATGCCCTTGTATACAAACCTAGGTGCACGGTTCAGACACGTTGCGTTGGGTTGGCGAAACTGTGAAAAACTAAGGTAATCTCAACCAAAAAAGTGGGAAAAACTTGAGGCCAAAGCGGCATCAACAGTAAACAGGTACCTTTTGAATGATGTTTTTTAACTTATATATGCTCTCATAGAATCAAAGCTGGTTTCGAACAAACGGTTGCAGTGTCAGTTGCTATGTCCCCACATGTCCCCACAATCTACCCCTAAGGCCCTAAGAAACTATCACCTCGGGGTCTAACACTTCTCTAGCAAGTTGCTCGCAAGTATTCACCTTGGCCTTCTGCTCATTCTGCTTTACATAGCCAGTTTTACATAATTACGTTGCAAAAAGCAATTAGTTGTTCATACAATAGATCAAAAGCAATGTGTTGTATTCTGGTTTCTCCCAAAAGGGGCATGCCCATAAATGGCCTTTTATAAAACGGACATGAAGTCTTCATGTCTTCATTAAACCATGCGATTTCGGGTTTTTCCTACACACCTATTCTCCCTTCTTTGGCAAGAACTGAAGCCATCAACCTTTCAGTGGGTGAAATGTGGTATCCACGATAGTTCGTTATACGAAATGATCCTCTCTTATACATCCTCCCGTTCGTAAGGGCTTAAACCCAAACATATTCCTGATCAAAAACGGGGTTGTCTTAGTGTGGATCCCCCTTTACACACCCTAAAATATTTCATCCCAATTCATAATCCTAAGAAGTTGCCAGGGTTTTACGGGGTATGTTATGATTTAAGAATATTTTTCAGAAACAGTCAGAAAAAAGTTAGTATCCTAAAGCATGTTAGTATCTTCCCCTCATATTCAATACTCCCAGTAATAAGGGGCACACAAGGATACCTTTTGGGGGGAATCCCAAGGTCATCCAGAGGCCACCCGAGCGGCCATTCATGGATAGCGAGGATCACCAAATAGACAGCTATGCCTCCCCCCGACACTGACTTGGCCAAGTCCAAAAAGGTCACCCAGTGGTTTAAACTGAGCCAAATGATCCAGCAAAAGAGATAGGATTGAATCCAAAAAAATGGAGATTGAATTGATTGAATGCAGGAAATTTGGGATTTGACACAGCCAAAGTGTCATTTTTGCGGATGAGTAGTGAAATCTTCGCTTCAAAACACCACCCTGACCCATGGTTTTCAAGTCTGCGGCCCCATCTCCTGCCTATGTAAATCCAGGGCGGAAAATGCACCACGCGGGTTCCGAAAGTGGATCTGTCCACTTGGTTCGAGTTCGGGGTAATAACTTCACTCTCTGCCTGGGATGCTGCAGATATCTGCAGATGCTGCAGGCTGAGTCACGGTGAGAACGGTCCATGGCCCGCCCAGGAGGCCTGGTTTACAATGGACTAGTGATGTACGAATCTACTCATGGTCATTCCTGGCTATGAATGAAAACCCTGGGACCCGGATGGTACATTCAAACAGCTGAGATTTATGATTTATGGATGTATATTCCAGAAAATTTGGTACCATCTGGTTATTTAACAGTTTGCCATGGAAAATCACCATGCTATTAATAGGTAAACCATGGTAAACCATCTATTTCTATGGGCCATCTATACCATGGCTATGTTGATCCATCCCTTTTTTAAATGTCATATAAACAGCTTTAGGCCATGTTCATAGATCAAGCCAGCGCCGGCAAAGCCCACGCAGATTCATTCACCAAAACAAAGACGTTTTGAATATGGGCTTGGTGGCTTGACCATACCTGATCAATCTGATTGTTTGTACCAGGATTCAAAAAAAAAAGAATGAACACCTAGAGCTACCGCCAAAAAAATGGAACTGTTGGACATCTGAAAATCATTGGGGAAAAACACCTCATCTATATCTTGGAAATACCTTGCCTGATCTTTTCCAGTTTTTTGGTATACCCTCTGGTAATCAAACGTAGCAATTGGAAACCATCTATAAATGTGGTTTTCATAGAAAAATCAATGGATTGGTTTGTTGGGGGAAATCTACAGGAAACCATGGTTTTTACATGTTTTTACCATCAGATATAGGGCTTTCCGGTTAAAATTTTCCCATCATCCAATTCTGTGGAAAAATCATCGAACATCATCCAACTAAAGGGAGGGATTCTCCACAGATCTCAACAGCAGAGAGAAAGAAACCGCTCCCCTAAAAACGGGTGCCCCTCACCATCTCTGACACGGAGTTGGTTGCCAGGCGTTGACTTACCTGCCGCGTCATCCATGGGATTTTTTTATGATCTGGACATGGGGAATTCGAAATGAAGAAATGGTGGTTTAACCAGCAACAAATGGGAAGTTCATGGGAATTGATTGTTTGGTTTTTACATGTTTTTACCATCTCACAAAATCATCAACAATCTTGGTCATGATGAGTGATTGTTCCAATTTTTCCACGTTTTTCCTCATGAAGACGATTCTTTCTGCTTCAGAGATCAGGCTACCCTCGTCGGCCTGGATCTTATCCTGTAGGAAGGAGGTATCATCTGTGAAGGAACAGTCCTCAGCCAGGTCAACCACCCAAAAGGCCAGGTCAACACACATTTGGCATCACTGTGCTCAATGGCAAAAATACCAGACTTACCATCTGTATGTTTCCGGATATGTTGAGGATTGAGATGGATTACCCTCTGGTAAACGTTTACATAACTATGGAAAATCACCATGTTTAATGGGTAAATCCACTATAAATACCCATTTTCAATAGCTATGTTTGTTTACCAGAGGGTAAGCTTCTCAATAATCACAATGATCGTTTCCGGTCGTCTTTTCGTATCTAGAAAAAGCCAGTCGCAGAGTCTCGGGGCCAGTTCCGCACCACAAAAGACTGGGCTGCACTAATCTGAGTGAGAGTTGAGTTCCTCATTTCCCCATAATGGAATGACTACATCATCCAAACTAGGGGTATACCCAATAAGAAACACCAATTGGGGATGGCCCCAGGATGGCATGTTATTGTGGATTCACAATCATAAACTATCATAAACTCCTAAGATTCCCACATATCTCACTGCGAAATGTCCATATAATTCCATTGTCTATCCGCTATCACTGTGTTTGCTTTATGATTCATTCTCCCGTTTGTTTCCCATAGTTTACTGTACCATATGATTGGGCTTAGGAGACACTCACTTTGTACCCACAACAACGGCTGAAGGTACTGAATTTTTGGGTAACATTACATACCAATTTCCATGGGTCAATCAGGCTGCAAGGTGATGCCTCCCAATCATAAGCTGGTTTGAAACCAATTTAGCTAAGTAGGGGTCACCACCACCTTCACATTTTTTTTAAATGTAGATATAAAATGATATAAATATAGCTGGTAGATATTGGTGTATCACCAGTTATAAGTACATAGTAAGACCATTATTTTATTTTGGCGGGGCGCTTCTGTCAGGCACTGCTCCTCCGCCGTGATGGCCAAGATGGCCAGAAAGGCAATAGCACTGCGAAGCATGGCTACCTGGTGCAATCCAACTGTGCAACCTGGAAACCACCTGAAAACTGACTTCGATCAGACACCAACTGGAACCAACTGGAGGATAAGGCTTGGAAAATCAACAAAAACTTAAGGGAGTTTTTGCTGAGATCGGATAAACGGATAAGCCTAGATTGATACCGCAACACATGGGTCCGGGTTGCGGGTCATTGGTCACTTATCTCCAACGGTTCTGATGAAATGACCTAAACATGTGCATGGGATTTCTGAGGCCGTGAATAAAAACACAAACGATAGAAAATACTCCCCTGAGATTGGTAACTGATTTGCCCAGTAATATAATGACTGAAAAAGTTGAAGTACGCCATGATAAGAAATCGGACATTGCTGCCAAGAGGCTGCCGGTCGTTTGTAAGGGTTCGATCACCTCAGACTCGTCTACATCTCAGATGGTAACAGCTCTAGCATTGCCCCATTCTACGACAAGATCGAGGTTGAACTCACGGTGGTTTGAAATTACATAAATAGTGGTTTTTGGTGGGTTAATAGTGGTCAATAGTGGGTTAACCCACCATAGTTGTAAGCCCTTTATCATGCATATATATATATATAATTAAATATATACTATCTTCATAAATCAAGAGAGCCAGGGGCTGAGGACAAGGCAATGCTTGATGAGAAGAGCTGATTCTCGAATTAACATTTGAATTCTGTGGAGTTCTTATGTGTTCGTTTCACAACATCTAAACTTTACGCATCAAGAGAACACCATCACCATTTTTTCAGCCGTTTTTTGAATCGGCTCGCAGCCAAGGCGCGTATGAAAATGATGGGTTGAGGAGGGTTCTCCCAACTCTGAGCAAATGGCAGCAGCAGATCCAAAAAAAAAGTTTCGTTGGACAAATCTATTGGTCATCACATGGGATTGTTTGAAAATAGTGTACCCTAAAGCCAATGGTTCATGATCATTATCCCTATTAAATGGCTATCATTGGGGGTATACACTATTTTCAGACAAACCCACATTATCATCCATCCTCCGGTTGCTGAAAACACCAGTGATCACCAGTGTAAAGCGGAGGACTCCCGCTATGTGTATCAGTTCGGACAACTTGTCAACCTGAAAAAAAAACACAAACAAATGTACGTTTTTCTATGGTGTTTGAGTGTTGCGTACGAAAAAAAAACCTGATTCATGGCACAAAATGACATTCAAAAAATCTACGAATACCATTCCTCGGCATATCGACTTCTTGAGGTTTACAACAGGTAAAGGTTCTGATGCCCGAGCATCCCAAAATTAAACAGGACTGATCTATTATGTTGAGGATTCTCTCCTGCCCCATTTAAGAGTGTTTAAATGTGTTGAATGTAATGAATATTGACTATTGACATGTTTTCACCCGTGCTCATCTCAGTCCTTGACATCCAAGTTGGAACATGATGTCGGACTCCTAAATAGCCACCGTTTCCAGCTACCACTTTCAAGTACTAGAAACCAATATACAGAAAAATAATGAAGCTGCAGACTTGAATGCTTATTGACGGTGAGATTTTTCGCGATGGTTCTTGCGTTGGATATTTAACCCAAATGTCAATCGGATTTTCTTCTCTTTTGGCCACGCACACCACCAGCATCTCTGCTTCTGCAGAGACGGCGACCCCAAAATCGCTGAGTATTTTCTCGCTGCAGTGGACAGCGGCAAAGCTGGCAATTTTTCGAAAGTTATCTGGCAACTGACCCACTGGAAAAATACAGGGTTACCCTGTGGTAATCAAACATGGCAACGGACAATTCCGCATTCATAGATGTTTTTTTCCATTGCAACCACCATTTATAGCAGATGTTCAATTTCCATGTTTGGTGACACCGGAGGCTACCATGACTCGTGCTTGTTTGGTACATGTCCATCTACGCCCTCCTGTGATCAATGTGAGTTCATCTGCCAGCGATGGTGTCTCTGTCACACTGCCTACACCCGAAAACTGAGAAGGCACTAGACTACAGTCCCAAAATAGATGGGAAAGCGCAAAATAACTTTCATCTGTTTGAATGTGTTCTTCTCCTTTTCTTTGATAAGGAAAGGACTTTCAGTCTTTCTCCCCTTCTTTCAATGGGTTTTCCTGGCTCAAAATCCGACGTTTTCCATCTTTTTGGAGACTAAAGTTGCGGAGGGGTGTAGCTCGAAGTTCCGCTGGAAAGCAACCTGCAGATCCGGTGATCTGAAGGGGATCCCGGTGAAGATAACTCGCCTTACGCAGAGGATGTACCTTGATGATAAATAATGGGTAAAGGATGATGGTTGATGGTGGTATTATAAATCTATAGGTAAATTATATCTGGGTAAAATATGATAACTGGGTAAATTAATATATATATATGGGTAAATTATAATATTTCACTAACCTGAATTAAGGCCATAAAAGGGGATGATTTCCCTAAAATATACCATGATTCCCAGTGAGGGAGAACAGGGTTCGGTCGTGATCAAATTTACCCAGAATAATGGGTAAAGGATGATGGTTGAGGATGGTTCATGATTTGTTGTTCCAGTCACAGATGAAACACTTCTTTTTCTTCGACTAGTTTTGGAGTTTCGGAGTCTTGACCCACCTGTCAGCCTTAGAAGGACCATCCCGCAAAACCAACGTGTTTTTTGTCACCACCAGAAATCATCAGGATGATCATGGTGAGTGAAACAGTGGACTCAACGGAAAATCTGGAGCTGGTGCTTTTGCCCTACCAAAAAACTGGCCAAAAACTATTTGTCAATGGGAATCATCATCCCAAATATGGTTGCAATGTCAAAACATATTTGAAACACCAATCTGTTAATAATTTATGAGTTTCCTTCATGTTATTGGTGTCTAATCCCCATTTTTGATTGGACAATACTTACAAAACTGAAGTGCTTCAACCTACAAGTTGCGTGCTAAAAAATGAACAGTTATTTTAGTGGACAAAAACCAAGTTCAAACAACACTCCCAGTGATTCAATGGACCAGTGGAATACACCTGGCGCTTTTTTGGAACTGCGGATTTAGATCGCAAAGTTCGAATCATGTGGCTTTGTCAATATTGTATCCCACCAAAATACCAAAAAAAAACGTGTTTTAACACATGTTTTTCCCATAAAAATGTTCATCAAATGGTAGAATACCTCATTTTCAGACCCACCCAAATCGTTGGTGTTATATTGTATATCCCATTATATATCCCACTACATAGTTAATTAAACATCATTGAACCCACTATGAAACATCATTAAACATCATTAAACATAATTAAACATCATTAAACATCATTAAACATCATTAAACATCATTGAACATCATTGAACATCATTGAACATCATTGAACCAGTTAAACGAATCATACCCCACTATTGAACCAGCTATTAAACTATTTGTCTATCCCACTATTAAAAAACATTTATCCCACTATTAAACTTTCTTTTTACCCTCAAATAGCTGGGATTTTTGATCTTCAGAAGGGCCAGTTCAAGGCACCCATCGAAGCTGGTGACTCCAACCTGGGAAAAAACATCTAAACATGGGACGATAATGGGGTATATATCTCTATAGATATCTGGATAATATGGATAATAGATATATTTAGATATTTGTAAACATGATAATATGGTAAATATCTATTATATAATATACATATATATATATAATATGATATAATATGTATGTATATATATATAGGATATGTTAAGCAACTATAAATGGAGATATCTATAGATATCTGGAAAAATATGTAATAACTCACCAACCTGAAATGTTGAAGCATTTGGGGATGATTCCCTTTACTAATCATCATTCCCATAGTGATGTCTCTCTCTCTCTCTCTCGGTCGAGATGAATCATCCTGATCAATGGGTTTCCTAAGGCCCAGCCATAGGAAAATAAATGGATCTTGCAAAAACAAACATACCCTCTGGTAAACGTTTACATAACTATGGAAAATCACCATTTTTAATGGTAAAATACACTATAAATGGCCATTTTCAATAGCTATGTTTGTTTACCAGAGGGTATCTGCTTGGTGGTTTCAACCCCTCTGAAAAATATGAGTTCGTCAGTTGAACCAGCAAACAAACATATGGGCGTGTTCGAAGTCATAGGGGCAAAATCATACGTAGCATTCTTGGGTAAATTCTATAGCACAACATTTTTTGGGGTACCCCAATTGAGCTGGATGACATATAATAAAAGCACTAGCCATGCGTGGTGGCGGTCTGGTGAGGTCATGATATTTCACCAAACACTGTGGTATTATAAATGTAGGTAGATTATTATCTGGGTAAAATATAATAACTGGGTAAATTACTATATATATATATATATATAGATGGGTAAATTGTAATAATTCACTAACCTGAAACGTTGGGCTATTTTGGGATAATTCCCCTTACTATCATTCCAGTGAGGGAGAACAGTGAGGTCGTTAGAATTTATCCAGATAAATCATCATAATTTATAATCAAACTACTCCAGGAACAAGCTACCGTTGTCATCATCAAGGGCAGTAGATCCGAAACGACCATTTGAATTTGCCTGGAAATGGGTTATTATATGGAGAATCTATATACCTCCAAATGTATGGGAATGATGTGTCAAGCCAGTGGATTTTTGGGTTTCCCTAATCTTAAGACAAACATTAAAAACAAAAACACATGTGGTTGCATAAATATGCATAAATCATAAAACCATGACCATGGGCATCATGGGAATGTAAAAACTACAAAAAAAAGTGCAAAGCTACCAACAATGATGGTCTTTTGACGTCCACGTTCACAAAGAAAACAGTCGCCTGTTTGGACCAGAAGACTCATGGATTTGTCTGAACATGGGGTTCACCCAACTCCCATGGATTCTCCGTGATTCTCAACATGTTCCCATTTTCAGACAGATTAAACAGCCAAAGTTTGGGGGCGGCACACCCCATTCTCAAAGAAATCGACATGTTCCCATGGCTACCGACCCCCACTGCCAAAGGCTTCCAAGGTTTCCAAGGGCTGCCAAGGGGCTGTATGCTCCGAGCGAGTTACCATCTCTTTCTCGGCGATTTCCGCCATCTTTGCGCGCTGATCACCTGGAGGATATGGAAAACCGAGCGATTTCCTTACGAAATGATCCAAAAATGCTGGGTTTTCCAGATGGTTTTGTGAATTCGCTGGGGGGCAGTGTAATGCAATACTCACTATATAACATTAAATAAAGCTGCTTGCTAAATCCATCTAAATCATTCTAAATCCGTATTTTGGAAGATACCAACCCAACAGGTCCACGCTTGCTCATGCACCCAAGTTGAGGTTGATGGTGGCCTGATGTGGGTTTGCCCATAAATGCAGTCTGCCCCAACATTGTTGTAGGTAAATGACACTCCGTTCAATTTTTGCGAGGATACCCTCTTTTGGAACCCATGTTGTCGACCCACGTGCGCTTGTCGCTTACCCAATCAAAATTCAGAAAATATTGGGAAACCATATAATGATATCCCTTTGGGAAACCAAAATATTGGAAAATAATCCCATAGCTAAATATATTCAGAAAATATTTGGATATCTAAAAAACCACCCACCCTGGGATGCAGCCAAGATTCGCTTCCAAATCATGGTGCGGACCTCAAACCACAGGAGGGGCAAAGCACTGAGGCCAATTTGTTTCATCGAAGCTCGCGACAAAGGCGAGAGACTCAAAGTGCCCATAACAATGAGTGAAACTACCACAATTGATGAAGTAAAAATAGGTAAAAAAAAAAGTAAAAAAATACCATGTTTACATTTTTTGATGGGTCAATAATGTGTCTAGAAACCTCTTGGACAATCTCAGTTGAAT